AGCGGTGTCGTCTCGTGGTTCATGGAGCAGGCCAAGATTAACGGAACACTGAAGGTGACTGGTGACGGCGAGCAGTACCGTGACTTCGTGTACGTTAAAGATGTGGCGCGTGCCATTCGCACAGCGATGCTCCTGGGAGACGACGAGTTCGACGTGTTCAACGTGTGCACTGGCATCAAATCCACTATCAAGTCGGTAGCGCAGCGAATTGTCGAGAAGTTCGGATCTTCGGCTGCAATTGTGAACGTTCCGTTCCGCTCCGGTGACGTGAAGGAGTCGGTGTGTTCACCCGTGAAGGCAACCAACAAACTGGGCTTCACAGCATCATACGACTTCTCCGATGGAATTGGTGAGACGCGCGATTGGTTCCTGTCGCTCTAGGGATGTTGCGTATTCCACGAATGATTCATGTGCCCTACGACACCTTGTATCCTGCACCGTGTATGCTTTTTACCTTAGATTTTCATCGGAGACGGTTCCATTCAGATAAAACGCAGTGCACGAAGAGAATAATAGCTGCAGCGATGTTCAGAAACTACAAGTATTATAGACTTTGGCTGCGTCGATGAGAAGATGGCTGCGTCTCACACTTCAACGTCCTCTGTAGTGAGCCTATCCAGGCAAGACTCGGCTCAGATCGCAGAAAACGCAGCGTGGATGTCCAGTGTGTCCGGCACTTTTCTCCTGATGTGTCTCCCCTGCTCACCGCAGTCGTGAGCCCCACAGTTTAACAAATGCGCGATCGTCCGAACGTGCTCGCTCGTTTGCGCTTACGAACGCTGCCACCCTCTCTACGCTCTGTCGACGAATTCCGAGCCAACTTCAAGATTGGGCAACGCAGTTTATGGCGTGGATGTATTTCACAAGCATTTCCGGTACAATGCCTTAGCGGCTAAGGCGAGAGGATGACTTCCAACGCTTCGTATGTGTCGATAATATCGTTCTTGAGGTGAGCCTTGGCAACACTTGCAACGTGCAATGCAAGCAATACAGACCGAGGCAGGTACAAGTAGACGCTCTTCGTTCGCGTTGCACCGACACAGATGGGAGAAGCGTTTGCGCGGCGTGAAGTTCACGGTGAACGGAGTGTCTCCTCGCTGCTGGCTTTCACAAGTGCATGCATGTATACATACATAGCCCAGTGCGCGAGCAGCTCTCCCGAAAGATCCTGCCGCCATGTTTACCAAGATGGGGCTGCGCTGGGACTTCTCTCGCTGTCGAAGTCTGCGTTGTCAGGCTGTAGGCAAGAAATTCGTGCCGAAGATACAGCCTGTTCAACATCAAAGCGCTCCACGTTGAAACCACCAAGCAACGCTGGACTTTCTGAGGGCAACATTAGAGAGGCGGGTCCCAATCGCCCATCCCACACTACACACAGTCTCCGCGGATTTAACTTGACTTCACTATTGCCTCCACAAGTCTGAAATCGCCACCTCAGTTGGCCATTCTCCTTGCCACCACCAAGCAATACCGCGCTCCACCTCTCGCCGTCCTCCAATGTAGGCTATGGCGCCACACTTTACACTCGATAATGTGTATAACTTAGTTTTGTATCCATGTTATGCGCAGCTTTGCCGACGACGTCATACACCTTAGAGGCTGAGCGAGTTCCCCACGCCGCATGAGGCCCAACCAGAACTACGTGCTGGCCAATGCGCGACCGGATTCGCTTCCCACTCAAACGGGCGCCTTCATCTCGGTGATCAGCTGCTCTGTCATCGTCTTCTCCTTCCTCTGGAAACGCAAGTGGCGACGTCACCCGAACCCGATCATCTACTGGAAAGCCGTCGTCGACTTGCTCTATGCGCTGCGCTTCCAGTACAACTGGGACGTGTACACAAATCCGCTGGGCTGCCGTGCACTCGCCACGCTCACGCAGTTCTGCATCTTCTCGTCCGAGTGTTGGTTCCTCTGTATGTCCTTCAATCTGTACCAGTGCTCCACCAACCCGTTCACAAATCTCAAGCACAATTTGCAGTGGTATCACGCCTTCTCGTGGACTGTCGGAGCTGTGTTCGCAGCTCTGTTGTGGCTCTCAAGCGTCCAGTTCGATCCCAAGATCCACCCGTCCTGCTTCGTCGACGAGACGGTCCCTAACGAACTTTTTGTCTACTACGTCGTGGTCATTCTAGCTGTTCTATGCGCAGTAATCTTTGCTGTACTGGAGACACAGACTCATCCATTCAGAGGCATGAAGGAGGCGCTGGAGGCCAAGAAAGACGTGATTCGCAGCGCCAGGATCTTCACGGTGGCCTATATCATCTACCAGATCATCCTCATCTCTTTCTGGCTTGCAGACGTGCTGTTTCTCGGTAACCACCCGCGAGCTCTTCATCTAGTGCGTGATGCGTCGTCTTTCCTCCAAACTGCCAAGGGTTTGATTGATTTGATCATCTGGGTGGCAATTAACGGCCTGGATTGTCGTGCTGGTCGATTGCGCGATACATTTGACAGTGATCGATACAGCGATATCGACATTGATCTTCAACCTCAGCTTAATGTCGCACTACGGAAGGAAGTGCTTCACTTCACGACGAGAGGAATTGTTGCAGCCTCGTCAAACACTCCCATGGTTACTGACGGTCGACGTGTGGTACATCTCCGTTTGCATGAGCTGGGTATGACCGTATGCTTCGACGACTATAGTCCAGCCTCGTTTCGCGACATTCGACAAGGTTTCGGTATCAATGAGACACTGTACAGGAAAGCATTTCTGGCGACGTGTCATGAGCGGCTCCAGTCGGGTGGATCCAGCGGCGCGTTCATGTTTTACACAGCTGATTATGCTTTCTTGGTGAAATCAGTGACAACCAGCGAGCGCAACGTGTTGTTGGATATGTTACCGGCGTACATCAGACATATGAAGCAGAATCCTGACTCTCACCTGACGCGGTTCTACGGTTGTCACTCTATCGAGATGTACGGCCAGGTTTTTAGCTTCGTGGTGATGGGAAACGTTATTGGGCGAACAAGCATGCATCAGTTTTTCGACATCAAGGGGTCCTGGGTTGATCGCAACGCTCCGGTGCGATAATTTGCTGTAGTATTTGTTTATTTACGCTTGTACTAATCTTAATGTTTTGACGACTTATTACAGGCGATTCCTCCTGGGAAAACTGTCATCTGCACGTACTGCAGCAACGCGTTCCAGTATGGCACGAACGAGAGCTGCGAGTACAGCATCCGTGGTAACCATCTGCCCCACATCGTGTTGAAAGACAACGATTTTCACCGGAAATTGCGCGTGGAGTCGGAAACAGGTAAGATGCAAATTACTGTCGAAACCATCATGAAGTAAAGTAGGACTAACACTAATTCTATTTGTCGGATTAACAGCTGCGGCTCTTGTCCGCCAACTTGAAAATGACAGCAACTTCCTGCGCGATCAAGGAATCATGGACTACAGTTTAATGCTGAGTGTGCACAACACGAAGTACGTTGTGGAACACTCGATCGATAGCAGGAAGCCGTCTCCGACAAAGCGTAAAGTGAGCTACCCAGTGTGCCACCCAGAAAGCAACGATTCCTTTTTGTCAATCGTAACAAATGGCCCAGACCAGACGGAAGTATCTAGCGACGAGGACTTGGCCGAAGTTGAGTCAGGGAACCGGAGAAAGTTCAACCGAAACTGTCGGTTCTCTATCGTGGGCCTGTGTGATGACAACAGCATAACTATTCAAGACAGCACCCCGCTCCTCAGTCGTTCTACGCATCGCTACAATTCCGTATCATACGGACCAGTCGATATGGCGTCCCGCACAGTTGACGACTCAAAATGGATCGGCACAAGAACTCTGGAAAAACGTGGCTACCAGGCCTGTGTTGTAGTTGGCCCGGACTTCTACACACTGGGAGTTGTGGATATGCTGCAAACGTGGACGTGGAGCAAGCGGCTAGAGCGTCTGTGGAAGACGCTTGTGCTGCGCCATGACGGCCTGGGCATTTCAGCAGTTCCACCCAGATTGTACGCTGAGCGTTTTCAGCGAAAAATGCGGGATATCTTAATGGTTTCGTCGGCATCGGTTAGTCTTGACTCCAACTAGATGGGAGTCTGGATAGATAGAATATGTATTGTGGATTAGTGACAAGTAAGGTCATTTGCCGACCCGTGTTCTGGCACATACGCTGCAGTCTGAATACCTACGACTCAGCTATCATCATGTCGTACTCCTGGAGTTTCTGCAGCGCTTGGAAAGCGGAATGAGTGATGAGGTTGTAGTCGATTTCTCCCATCTCGTCCGGTTCTGACAGTGCCAATAGCGAGCGCAATTGGCGGTCAGTGATCTCGGGGAAGGCGCTCCTAGTAGCTGCAATAACTTCATCACGGACGAGAACCCCGCGGTGGTTATCATCGACTGCCTCTAGTGCGTGTGAAAGTGCTTGCTCGAACGTGTGTTGGTTCATATCCAGCACTGAGTAGTACTCACTCGTCTTTCGATATTTCTGCAAGTACGCAGCGTACGGTTGTTGACTGTCGACATTGGTAAGTGCTAGCACCATTCCAGAGACCTGAGCTGCAAACTTTTCATAGTTTACGAAGCCTGTGTTGTCTTCTTGGGCTTCTGCCATCACAGCAATAATCTGAAGTCTGGTAAGCCCAATATCGGCAGCACGAAATAGGCGAGCGATCTCAGCAACTGTGAGGAGACCTGTATTCTCACTATCTCCACTCGCGAATACTTCCGTGAGGTATTGAGTAATCCAGTCTGGATTGCTGTGTGCTTCTAAGATTCCCTGGACGTAGGTATCCTTTAGCAAGGGGAAGCAAATGGGAACGAAATCTGGATAAACTACGATGTTCGTGTCATCCTCGGCTGGCGAGGCTTCAGACATGAGGATGTTCACCTCCCTGCGTGTGAGACCGAGGTCGGCATCTCGAAGAGCGTCCATAAACGCCAGTCGAGTTAACGCACCGACTTCATCCTTGTCTGCGCGCTGGAAAGTCTCGCGCAAAATGCTTTCCATCTCGTCCTGCATCATACCGTGCAAGAAAAATTCCATTTCGCGCTTGCTGAACGACGCGATACGTGCCAGTCGTTGTGTATGAGTTGAACGAAGTTGCATCAACGCCTGGATACCTAGTGGCAGGAAATCTGGAGGATTAACAAAAAGAATACACGATGCGTTCGTTAGCTGCGTCCAAAAGGAAGACTATTTGCACTGTTGGCAGTGGTACCTGTACAGCTGATAACGCCCCCCTCGTTCTCATCCGCCTCAGCATAAAGCGCTTTTAGCTCAATGTGAGAGATCTGTAGCTGCTCGCCAACTCCATCTAATATCTGAATAAAACAACCATGAGCTTCTCAATATTCTTCAAATATCCGAATAACCATCGTACCTGTTTGAATTGTTCATGGGCGATCATGCCTCCGTCCTGCTGAGCCTCATTGAGCGCAGTGACTACAAATTCCTTGATTGTATCTTCTCCCATCTTGATATACGCCGGAATCAAAGCATTCACGGTGGCATCGCCAACTGCTTTACTCGCCCCGCTTTGCTTCGTAAGTAAATCCTTGAAATATTGCGATCCAAAAGCGTAGATGGCCTCTTTCGTTTCCACTTTGCCTTGCTGCCGCAGCACCTCACGAGTGAAATTCCTCAGGACGTCAGGGAAATTGGCAGGGATTTCCATTGGCTTCGCATACTTGGACGCCATCGTCACGGAACGCTTGAAAGCTACGACGGCGAAAAACTAGTGATCATGAAAAGTCGCGTTTCTAGAAAATGTTACAGGATATGAAACGCCGATTTGCATGCATGTTGAGATAGAGATGGCAAGCAGCGACAGGATTAATCCGTGCACTCTGTAGCTTGTCAATGAGAGGGACCAGAGACTAAGGATAGATTAACATTCGTCTTATTGTAGTGTTATCGTGTATCAGAAGATGCTGATGGTTGTCATCACGTGTTGCCTGACAAGTGAAGACAAGCGAAGGATTATGGGGATGCATTATGCACAAGCGTCTGCACCTTAGAGAGCACGGCCACTCTGGACAATGCCCAGTGGACATGCATTTCTTATCACCAGCACCACTCAAACCCAACTTGTTGACATACTTAAAACGATGTGATCGGCATCGCTGACAAGTCCATAACAACCTGATTGGTTTGAGTCACGCGTTCTTTAGTATATGCGATGTCATTAGTAAGTGGCACGTGGCCACCGTGGGATGGCAGCTCAGCTCACCTGGCAAAGCGCAAGGAATGGTGAATAGCAATGCACCAGTGGTGCCACCATCGGGACCAGCAAGTTGATCGCTGCCATGATATTGACAGGAAAAAGATGTCTCCTCCTTCTTTGCAACTTGAGACGAGCTCGACCGCTTCAGTTTCAAGCGAACTCAACATTCACTTTTCAACTTCCCTGCCTCCGCACAAGTCTTCCGAATTTCCAGTATGGCCACTTCAACTACGGCTGACACGCCAACCAATTCCAAGCCCAAGACTCTTTCGGCCGCGTCGCCTACCAATTTTCAAGAGCTCAAGACTCCAGATGCGCTCGAGGGTGGAGCATTGCGTCCGGGTGGACCTCCAAATATCTACAGTCGAGAGACGATTGGCATCCTAATCCAGTATGGTGCACTGGGAGTGATCAACGGCACCATCTATGGCTTGGTGTATCCATTCCTCAATAACTATCTGAGAATGTCTGGGACTGCAACAGCTTCAGCCAAGGTGCTTGTTCGCATCCCGTGGACCTTCCGGATGTTCTTCGGTATCCTCTCGGACTGCTTTCCGATTTGGGGATATCGCCGTCGTCCATACATGGTTTTTGGGTGGATCTTCGCTACAATTTGTCTGCTGCTCATGGTCATTTTCCCGACGGGTGACCCGTACTATGGTGATCCGGACCTCGCCTATGTTGCCGCTGCCAACCTCACGGACGATCAACTTGCACTCATCAACGAAGACGCCCCCGACGCAGGAACTAAATTTATTCTGCTCATGATCTTCGCCAACCTTGGAATGACCATGGCAATTGCTGCTTCCGATGGTGTAGTTATCGAGTTAGCACAACGTGAACCAGCGGAAACACGAGGCTCTGCACTGACTATGATGCAGGTCTTCAAGCAAGTCATGTCCATCTTTTCGTCCGCCATGGTGGGCTTCGGGCTCAACGGTGAAGACTTCGGTGGTTCTTTCTCGGGTTCCATGGGTGTAAGTGCCATTTCTGCTGTATGTGCCGCTGCTGCATTAATTGCCACAGTGTCGTCGTGGTTCTTTGTGGCTGAGACCAAGGAACCTGCAAGATCTTTCCGCGAATACGTTGGTCTCCTGTTCGACTTGGTGCAGCATCGTGTGGTTTACCAGCTCATAGCCTTCCGGTTTTTCTACTTTGTGTTTTCACTGATGAGCGTGACGGCCGTGAGTCCCATTGAAAGTCTTTGGGCCAAGGTAGAGCCCGTGAATGATGCCATCTCCAGTATCCTCGCGGCTATTATCTCTGCGGGCTCACTCTATGTCATCAAGCGATATGGTCTCACCTGGAACTGGCGCACCATCGTCGTCATCACGCAGCTATCGGTTGTCTTTGTAGATTGTTTCCCTACATTCTTTACTATTTGGGATGTCTATCGAAGCCAGTGGATGTGGCTAGGTCCGCCTTTGCTGGAAGAAGTTCCAAGCACAATTTCCAAGATTGTATCGCAGTATGCCACGATCGAGATCGTCGAAGGTGGAAATGAAGCTGCTGTCTTTGGCTTGATCACCACGTGCCAGACTATCGCTTCTCCGTTTTCCACGGTCATCTATAAGAACATTGACGCACATTTTGACATTGGCAAAGCGTACCTGCAAGTCGACGACACATATGTACGCAACCAAGTGACCTACTGCTACCTCATCGCGTACGCCTTCCAGATCTGCTCAGTTGCTTGGGTATTCCTACTACCACGTCAGAAAGCCGAGACACTGGAGCTCAAACGCACTGGAGGCAAAAGCAAGTGGGCCGGCATCATCACCATTGTTATCTTTACCTTCTGCTTCGTCTGGTCCATCATGACGAACCTCATGACCATTTTCCCGTCAACTTCGTGCCTGAAAATCGCTGGTGGAACTGGTTGTTAGTGTTACGTCAAACATCGTGGCGTTTGCCTTGGTAACGTTGCATATGCAAGTAGACACGCATGTCGAGTAAAGGATCTAGCTCTATAGAGTTGCTAGATGGCAATGGAGTCTAAATAACCTGGCATTTCGTTCAGTTAAATAAAATCCTCTTCTTCCTCGTCGTCATCAAAGTCCTTTGGCTTCGCGGTGACACGACTACTGCCAATTGGTGAAGCAGGTTCTGTCCGATAAATGGCCGCTGCAACTGCTGCATCGTTAGCGGACACTTTCTTGGGGGAGGCAGGAGTCACTGTTCCAGGAGATACTTTAGCTCCTGCAGCTCCCTTGGCAAGAGCAAGATTGGGACTTGGAGGCAAGTTGAGCTCCACTTCTTCATCGGAATCGTCAATTGTCCACGCCGATGTCGGAGTTAGTGCCTGAAAAAAAGAACATACGACGAATTAGCGGTTGCAAGACAAAGTGAAAAAAATAGGGATATCTTACCAGTTCGATGTAGCGGCCGTCACCCGAGTGTCTTGTCTTCAGGAGTACGATGATGCCCAAAATGGTGACGCACCCGCCAATAGTGAACATGAGCATCTGTGTCCGCGTCATACTCACGTACTCTTCGAAGTACATGATGCCACCCAGCACACTCATGAGGATCCAAAAGCTCTGATATACCGGGATAACCACGAGTGCATCGAAACGTGCAAGTCCACCATTGAGGAAGTGGACTTGGAACCCAAGACAAGCGCACATGCCTGCGACAATAACGTACGAAGTGAATTGCGTGAACATGTAGAAGCCAGAATCGCCCCAGATCGCGCTCTTCAACAGCTCAACAGTCGACTTGGCAAGCAGCACCGATTGGCCCCCAAATGTTCCTGCAATTCCACCGTAGCAAATGATGTGGAACAGTCCTTCCTCGTAGTTGTGCGTGCGTTCGATGTAGCGGCAGAAAGTGAAGAGACCACCTAAGAAGCATACAATCAGCGTGATGTATGCGTACATGGCAGGTTGCTGGTAAAGGCGAATGAGATCCTCCAGCTCATAGGACGGAGTACTGTGTCCAGCAAAGATCACCGTCAATGTGACACCAATAAAGATGATCGCAGTAGCGATCAAGTTCTGACGAGTAACTTTTTCCTTGTGGAAGATCGGCGCAATGAGCATATTCCACACCAATGACAGCGCTGCAAGTGGAGCGAGTAGTGTCTGTGGTGCCATACCGAAAGCCACAAAGTCCAGTAGTGATCCAAGACACACCAGTCCGAAGCCGAGCATCCAGAGCGGCTGCTTGAGTGTGGTCTTCTTCACGTCTGCAGTGTCATTACGTGACATAGACAGCTTCTGAAGATTGATACCCACTGAGTTGAGCACGGAGAAGACGAGCGAGATGAGGAAGCCCGCCACCCACATGCCCACTGCTGGACCCGTGTAGCCAACCTTGAAGCACTTGTTGCTCTTGCTCTCCACCTGTGTTTCGTCAAATGTGGCGCAAACGTTACTGAGTCCCGGGCACTGTGTGTGCACCGTGGACAGACAAGATGTCAAGCAGACTTTGGAGACGTCACGACCCACTTCACACACTGGGAAGTGCACCGCACACTCCATGCGGTGCAGAAAGGCGCCGCATGCGCTGCTGGTGTTGGCGAGGTCCAGCGTCTTGATAGTATCCTCGATCTTCTCCTGGTTAAAGCTCCGATACTGCGGCAGCGTAGATAGCCGAGATTCGCTGGCATTGAGGTCGCTCCAGGCCTGGAAAGCCAGTAGTGCGGCTTCGTCCAGCTCTTCGTAGGAGGATTCACCCCCACAGACGGCAAACGACACGTAGGAGCAGAATTCGAGCCCCGACGGCGTGCCGCATGTACTAGAACATTCGTCAGCGGCAGTGGAGGCTAGCAACAGCGCTGCACAAGCCAGCGGCAGTCCATATACCATGGCGATCAGCAACGGACAGCAGCTCTTCGAAAGTGACCATTGTCTGGTTCAACTTAGGGCCGTTTCAAAAATAGATTCAAACGCTGGTTCTATTTATAGAGAGTTGGGAGTGATAATATTTGAAAGGTTGTTTGAATCGAGCCCTCAAAATTTATAAACTCACCCAGTACGTCAGAAGTTCAAGGAACCTCATGGGGAACAACGGGAGCAGCGCTACTGGAGCTCGCGCGGGCGAGTGGAAGGGCCCTTTTAGCGACGAAGTGGGTCGCAATAGATGCGTGTAGATGATGGCGCTAGTAGCTGATGGAAGTGTCTGTTTATGCTGTTGCGCAGGAGTATGAATGTCTGAAGAATAAGTTTGATGGAACCATCGCGACGGCTCCGTCCGACGCTGCTGCAGCTAATCTGCAGGTAATCTAGATGAGAAGCTCGTGATTTATAGTCCACATGCTGATACGTATATTCCTGGTTCAGATGTGGTTGGAGCTGCCAATCCCTGCTACAGCGCCGTCGGAATTGACAGAGCCTTTCCGTCGACTGGGCGCTGCCTTCTACCAGTTGTGTTTGCAGACGAAGGAGGATGGCGAGGCTAATGCTGCAAAGCTGCAAATGGTGAACTTCGCACAAGGAGGTGATAATACTGCAATTGAGTGAGCAGGGCTCATTGGATTCTCTCAATACTCACTATGGATTCCTTTGTAATTTGGCAGTGGCACAATGTGTTCGAGCATCGTCACAGGCGATCTGTCGGGCATTGTTCCGGCTGTTTGCATCGAATGCTCAAGCCACTGCGATGACAGAACAAGAGCTGAGCCATATGATGTTTGCCTGCTTGATCATGGCTGAAGGTGGAGAAGTAGAAGATGTGGATCGGATGGCGCATGTAGCAAAGACTCTTGCTCGTGCTGCGATGCCACCATCGGCGGGGTCTACCCAGGCGTCCAGCGACGACTTTGTCCGATGGGTTGGAGCGCAGTTCCCTCTTCTCTACACCATTTTCATGTCGTGGATGGCGCGCAAGTGTTTCGAGTCCCTGACCAAGGCATCATATGAAGCCCCACAGTTGTCCCACAAGAGCGGTATTTTATCCAGGTAACAAGCATGATGTCGAGACTTGTGCTCAGCCTGTTGTAGTGTGATTAATAGTGCTAACTCATGCATATTTTTACTCATGTAGATCATACTTTGTGGCGTTATCCACAGTGACGACGTCACTCCAGACACCGCTTAGCCGACTATACACAAGCGCGCAGGATGGATTGAGCTTCAACCGCCTGAGCTACCATATTCTAGGCTACTCTGGCCCGACACTGACGATCATTCGAGACACCCAAGGAGGTAATCTTTGATTGTGCTAAAAACTTATCAGTATTTTTACTCACCGAATTGCGTTCTAGCCGTGTTTGGTATGTTCTGTGATACCGAGTGGAAGGAGTCAAGCCGCTATTACGGAGGCAACGGATGCTTCCTTTTCCGACTGGCACCGGAAATCGCCATTTATCGAGTATCTGCAAGCGGGGCCAATGAGAACTACATGTACCTGAACTCGAAGGGTTTCGCGTTACCGCGTGGACTCGGCATGGGTGGGTCGACAGACAAATTTCGGTTGTTCCTGAGCGAAGATCTGGATGAGAACAGCTACACGACCGCCAAGTGTTTGTCCTTTGAGCCAGGTCGTTTGTCATCCAGTGAGCAGTTCGTGATCGATGCCATGGAGGTGTGGGGATGTGGTGGAGAGGAAAGTGAACTTAGCCAGAAGGCCCATCGCCAGGAAACAGCAGACCTGATCAACCGCGCACGGAAAGTTGACAAAGCCCAGTTTGTTGGCAATGACTTCGACAAAGAAATGTTCCTGGGCAAAACGTTTGGACACGGAACGGACAAAGCTCGGATCGCTGACGACGAGCAGTAAGACCATGGATTTTAAGAGGAGCAGAGCATATTTGTGCAGTTATATCATCATGGAAGCTTCCTCACATTTTCAAACTTGCGGAACTAATTAGAATTATCAAACATTCGATGGCACTACTCGCCCATATCAGCGTCGTCACTCCCTTCTCCATCAACATCGTCCATATCCTCTTCATCAGAGTCGACGCCATCCTCATCATCGTCCTCTCCATCATCATCTTCATCTCCTTCCTCGCCCAGATCATTCTCGTCGTCACCATTAACATTTTGATCGTAATGGCAACGACGTGGGCCGTCCAGGACGTTACAGTTCTCCTCGTCGTGGAAATCGCCGCGGAAGGTGCTACAAACTCGCAGTTTCCCTTGCTTGGTACCATACAGGAACCCCCCACCGCAAATCGGGCTGAACAGCGCAATGTTAACATCGTCCATGGCACTTTCCACATGCGACAACAACGCCATGTCTTCCCATCGATAAATACGAGTTACGCGATGAACTGGGAACTCCGTCTCACTATAATATACAGAAAAGTCAGTGGCCAACAGAATCGAGAAGTAAAACCAAGTAGCTCGTAACTTACCGTTGTATGCGGTCTCGTACTCCATAGCCAAGTAATACATAAGCTGATGTAGGCGAAATCTTCACTGAAGTAACACCACCTGCCGCAGTCTCCGCTAAGTGACACGTCTGGACAACGCGTCCGAGTTGTTCAGGATCCAGAGATATCAAGGCTAGCCACGTTGACTGGTTCTCGGACGATAAGCGTCCTCGACGGTTGCGCTGATTCCTAGTGAATCGTGTCCGACTTAGCGCAATGTTTGGTCGAATTTGTGAATATCTCTGTTGGGGGACGGCAGCGGGGGCGGCCGTACTCCGTGCTGGCTCCATTGCTGCTGTATACCGGTGGATGCTATGCGGTGGGTGCAGCCGGGGTCTCACACGTCGTATCTGCTGATTCATGTACTGATCCATCGTAAGGGACAAGTCTGCGGCTGCTGATTGTAGAGCTGCTAACATATTGGGAGCACCCGTGTGCATACCAGAAAGAGGTACAAGTCGTGGTGGTGGTGGGTGGATCGGGAGGGATAAAGGCATCGTGGCAGGCAGCGCTTGTGGACTGACGTTATTCCCTCTTGCCGTACGTGCTGCAGCGCCAGACGAAGAGCTGCTTTCGTTTGAAGCTGTAGCTTGCGGGTTTGATACAGACACGTCATTGACGTCGTCACTAGGACTCGTAGCACCACCGGCAGTCGTCTCTTGTGTGGCTGATACGGAGGATAAAATGCTCTCCAAATCCGTCGCAGCTTCATTTTCGGCCTCCATCTCCACTTCTTTCTCCGCTTGCCGCAGAGAAAAGTCAGCACATATCGCCAAGTACCGTCCGCACCGCGAAATGTCGAAGCCGCCGTCATTGTAAATGAGAGCATGTGAAAGAATTACGCGGCTGTTGTTCATTGCCTTCTTCGTCAGTAGTGGCTCCGGCGACAAAGCCCACGACGGATCGAAGTCCCACATTGTCAGAGTGACCGTAAGATCTGAGGGCGGAGCTTGGCCTTGTGGTCTCTGCATAATAGTTAATACTTTAAAAATCGTGTTGCAACATAACGGGATAAGTCGATGCAATGACGTACCACATAGCGCTCATTCGCTTCTCCGACCATGATCTTGGACGGATCCGGCAAAAAGGTGACAGAACGTAAGGTCTGGTAGCTGAACATTGCGATGCGCGGACATGTGTGCTGTAAATTCAAAGCAACGGATGTTAGTCTTTTGTGTGTAAAATATCGTGTTCTCCTATAAAGATAAAAAGAGGGCTAACCTGGTAATCCCACGTGTACACACACGTTCCACTAGCAATCGCCAAAATGTCACCCGACGGGTGGAAGGAAATTGAGATAATTGCGTGGCGAAGTGTCGACACGTAGAGGCAGCGGCCAGTCTCAATATCCCAAAACCTACAATTAACAATCCAATTAGCTCAGCTATCCCTTGTAAGATGTTGATAGTCGTTATCACGAATCGAACGTACCGAACTTGAAATCCTAGACAGCCAGAAGCTACATATCTTGGATCCGTGGGGTGGAATTTGACACTCCAAGGAGTTCGGGGGTGGCCCACCAACGTCTGTGTCATCATAAACGCCACGTGAGTTCTCCCATACCACAATTAATGTACCATCATAATGCCAGCAGTGAGCCTACCTGGATAACTTTGCCGGTTTCAATGCAAATGATCTTGACTGTGTGATCTCCATGGGTCGAAGCAAAAGTTTTCCTGCGTGAATACGTCCCCGAAGAGAAAAATAAAATCAGTCTCTAAGTTTCACCCATCAGCTTGTTCCTCCAACTATTATACACACCCGTCTGGACTGATAGCAATAGAGATCGTTGACTTGGTCGTCTGTGGCAGCTCGAAGTAGCGACTCTGGTGCTGTTTCCGATAGAAATAATAATCAAACACAGCACAAAAAAATCCTGGTCAGCATTTCCTCTTGCCCACTGCAACGCAATAGATCGCACCTTGGCGGCGCTTTCACTCTCAGCCCAGAAGTTTTCTTCCTTGTCCTCTCCAATGGCTCGCACAGTCTTCTGGCGTCTAGAGCCACCGAACTCGCGACGAAGCAGCAAGCTAGCGATATTCTGCTGGTTTTTGGCATGACGAAAAGAGTTGGGCACACCCGGAGGGTTCAAATCCGCGGCGGCGCGCTGCCAGACCTTGGAGTCCATGGCGGGGGCGCGGAATAAGACGCAGGGAGGGGGGAGTTTCGACGGTGGCAGAAGCGACGGCTTCCTGTCGTTATCTCGCGACACAGATCACTGATGGATACAGGAAATGTAGGAGAATTGACCTGTAGAGAAGTGGTCGGCGGTCTGCGAATCTCTTGGCGTATGAAGCTACTAGTGCTCCAGAGTCTTAGTCGTCCTCTTCTCGCTCTGCTCAAACTCACGCGATCACTTTTTAGTGTGTGAAACCGGAAGATTGACTGCTGCCACCAGATGCCGATAGGTCCACCGCCAGATGGTGGCCTGAACTGTACATAAGAGACAGTCAGCAGTCTCACCAACGACTGTACAACATTCGCGCAACATGCAACATTGAAGTCAAAGTCGCAGCACATTTGATCGAAATTACGGTAAAAACGAAAGGGTTTTGTGAACGATGCAGGAATCGCACAGGCTTCCTCATAAACGCTTGTCGTCAGCATGTTGAAGCTCACACCTGCGGAATAACTCCATGTTGCGGGGGCCAACGTCATGGTGCCGTCACAGGAACACTAGCAGTGCTAAAAAATAAAATACGACATGTGCTAGTCTAGCACGTATCGTTTGTATTTTTCAGCATGGGGGTGAGTGGTCATTAGTCGCGATCCCAGCGGCAAGCCATTGTCAAAATTGACCAAATCGAGCTGTCACAGGTGGCACCTCTCCACTCTCCGATGGTGCCTGTCAGGTGATATTTGTGCTTATTTGTGAGTAATCAAGTCCTGGTTTCTGAAGAAGGCTGAAAATCGAGTACCATTTGAGCATTTACCGCTCATATACTCAAGGCGAGCTCAATCGCTAAAGTCTGATGTGAGATTAACTGACCAAACATTTATAGTTTGAGCCCGGAAAGGTCTGTTTGATGTCATCCGAAGGCAAAAATCGGGTTAGTGAATATGGAGCATATCCTATCCTACTCATCTCAAACTGTCTAGGGTGATAGTTTACTGTTTATCTAGGAACATTCAGTATCGCATTTAGTCCCGGCTCCTATTTTTTAAGGCCGTTCTGTGCCTTTCAGAATCAAGCTAGAAACGGTAGACATGGACTCGTATGTGCTATAACCGAAAGAAAAAAGCCTGTCACAGAAGGCTTCGGTCAAAGTTGCTACAAAATAAACATGTATTGATCAGATCATGATCCAAGAATAACATACTGAAAAATATACTGGAAAAAGCACATTCTCTTTTTCAGCTTACATATAAAATATAACTTGCTCCACGAGCAGCTATCTGTTCTCTATGACATACAGTATCATTGCCAGGTGTCCTGGCGCATAAGTTGTCAGCTATATAGTTCGTTTGAATGGAGATTCTCAAATGAAGTGTAGTAAATCGCCTTGTTGTTAAAATTCCATTAGTATTATTAATACCAAGTACAAAAGGAAAAAGGAAGACAGAAAAAATGGCGTTAGGCAAAACTGCTTGTCAAGCTTCCAGGTGAATTGGTGGTGCTGGACTCACTTGTATTCCATTTGTATCGACTGCAAACGAGCTAACAGTCGCCGAAGACACACTTTGTGCGATCAATTTGCGCTCGTGACACACCTTTTCTTCTTCTGCATTGAATCTGGCTGAGGTGATTAATTCTGTATAATTTTCGTTGAATCAACACTGTCACGAACAGCGCTGGTCTATTTTTTTCTCATTTGAGAACCGCCAAGCTCCTCTGAGTCGCGCAGAATATATCAGTGCAAGAATTTAAACAGTCCCTTTTTGGAATAGACTGATATAGCGCTCTAGATCCGTAGGATGGCGTCCTCTGGTGCAAACGTTGACTACCCGCTGGTGACAGCCACGACCTTCGATACAGCCTGAGGGATTGTTTAGCACCGAGAACTTAGTGATGTCACTTATCGATCAGCAACAGTTGGGTTAATTCGATCTAGCTCGGCGTCGAACGCCTCTTTAGTCTTGTTGTAAAAATCGTCCAACGACAGATAGACACCGTACAATGGATCGCACCTCACTGATAGCCAAACTTCGCAAAAAAAATTGCCTTCTACGAGCATGAAGTTTGCACCACGCTTCTTCGTAGGGTTTGTTCAAAAAGCGATCTTCATGAGCATGCAATTTGTTCTCCTTGATAGTGTCTACACCTCCATTAAAGCTTGAAGGCAAACTGACTAAAAATGAAGATCTCAGGTAGTCACTGGGCGACAGACATGTCTGTAGATGTTAAACCACCACAAGATGTATGGCACAATCCAGCTCACTTCAGTTCGCTGACACAATAAAATGCATTCCTTCTCTGTCCCACGAATTTATGGCTATTTGTCAATTTTCCCCCTAAATATATCTGTAGGTAGAATATTCATGCACTGACACCCTTGTTCGAAAGCTTTCGGAAAAACGGTTCTCCTCATATTTTTGTGTTGTATTAACGACAAGTAGGATGTAAATAACAGCGCAAGGGTGGCGCCAGATTGCAGCTCGATAAGGTTTTTTTTTTCGTAATTCCACTCCAAAAAAGCGATATTAAATCGAACTTTAACCAGATGCTCTTTTTGGGTATCTCAATACATATCGCAAGCCAAACCGCTCACAATCGCGCGCAAGATCCCTAATTAGGCCCTCAAAGAAGTGAGTTTTTTTGTCCGTTAACATAATTGATGGCATATCATTCGAAAATTCACACACACACACACACAAAAAACGAAATAGGCATAAATTCGTGGGACAGAGGAAGTATTAATGCCCGGGCTCGTATTGTAGATTTTAGTATGGGAGCTGTCACGAAAAGCGGTACGGATAAGTCAGTCCGTCTTTGTTAAAGGGAGATTTTTATGCTCCTTGTTTGACAACCTCATATTATGAGTCATAGTGGTCTCAGACGCGATCATTGAAAGATATCAACAACAGCGCAGTCTCAGTACGTCATGGCACCTTGCATCTACACACTCTACCTGCGACAGCTCAAAAACGAATCTTCGTTAGTCCAGCTCGGATCAACTTAAAACCGTAGTCGCTGTTTTGAGAGTGACGGCGATGGAGGTGTTGTTTTTTTTGGCAAGTTGGATCAAGGCATTTCAGCCGCCGGCATCACTCGAGATTCAAGCTGGCTACTTTCAACCTGGTCGTTTTGCCACTGGAACAGCCACTTCAAAATGGATAGAATCGAAAAGACTGATAGGAAGAACGCAAAATTCACAAACGAATCTGAAGCCCTCTTTTTTTGCAACTCGTCCCATACTGAACTACAGTCAAATTGCAACTCCACAAACCATTTCTGAGAACGAAAGCTTGCAGTCGCGAACTTGCTTCCTGGGGTCGAAGCAGTACTGTCGATCAGATCGCGACTGCGACAGAAGAGGGAGGTCGCCTTCAACCCGATACGACAGACCAAAGCAGAGACCCGCAGACTCGCACCAACAGCCATGGGCGCGGCCAACAGCGTGCGCAAGCTCACAATCGACAGCATTGCGCTGCTGGAGCAGCTCGAGCCCAACGGGGCCGAGCTGGCCGCCAAGCGCGCGGTCCGGCGTCGCGTACAGCAGTTACTCCAGAAGCAATGGCCCACTTGTCGTGTGTTACCCTTTGGGTCGTCCGAGAGGTGCGTCGGAGGTTGAAACGAACAGGAGAGAAATCTGCACCCACGTGAAGGAATGATGGTAATTGTGTTTGTTTGCACTGGCAGTGGTCTGGGCTTTGGCGGGTGCGATGTCGACCTCGGTATCTACTTTGAGGACATGGATGTAGACGCCCAGGGTCAGTTTTCGCCTCAGGAGCGCGTGGATTTGCTCGCCACGGCGTGCGATCGCCTCTCTGGAGTCTTCCAAGTGCTGGAATTCGTCCGCAATGCGCGCGTGCCCGTGATTAAGCTTTGGGACCCCAAGCGACAGGTACAGCGGCATCGCAGCCTTTTATGAGGTTTGGTCGTGGATTTCTAATGGCAGCTTCTGCTTTGCAGGTGGCTTGTGACGTGTGTGTGGGAGGCATCAATGCGCTGCTGAACACGGCCCTGCTCAAATATTACGGCCAGGTGGATCCTCGAGTGCGTCCCTTGGTGTTCGCTGTCAAGTACTGGGCCAAACAAAGGGGTATCAACGACTCGGTCAATGGTACACTGAGCTCCTACGGTAAGCGAAAGTCCTTGGCTGCGATGTTTTGGCTCTATCACTTTACTTACAAACATTGTGTTGATAAATGTGGCAGGATATACGTTGCTGCTGATATTTTACTTACAGTCGCACTACGCGGAGATGCAGTTGCCAACGGTGATTTCACTTTTCCAAGATCTCCAGTCGCAGAAGAAAGTCTTAGTGCTACTTGAACGTCTGCAGTCGTTCCCGACCATGGACCTGCCGTCTACGTTTGGCACGTCCGAGATGAACTCGGTTGGAGCGCTACTTGCAGGTTTTTTCGACTTTTACGCGCGGCGCTTCAATATGGAAGACGAGGTGGTGAGTATCCGCATGGGACGAGCGTTGTCGAAGACGACCAAGTGGAGTCATCCAGTGTCTTGGCGACTGAGTATTGAGGACCCGTTTGAACTGGCACATGATCTGGGGCGTGTGGTTTTCCACAGAAAAGGTCAGGAACTCATTCGCTCGGAGTTTAAGCGTGCGAGTGATTTACTAAGTAACGATCACCGCCTCGAGGATATCTGTGAACTTGATGAAACCTCGTGGAACCACATGTCGTCGTGCTACATTTGCCGCGGCAGGGATCACGTAACTCGAGACTGCGGCCAACTAGTACGACAGCGATTGACTTCAGGTGGTGGCAGCAATGCGATGCTGCACTTCTCGGACTGCTGGTATTGTGGAGAGTATGGCCACTACAAGGCGGAGTGTCCGATGCTCTTCTTCCGTGATATTCCTCGCCCAGTTGAGGTGACTAAAGCGGACGATATCTCGGTTGCAGAAGCGACCTCTGAGTCAGGCTCCGGTCCGCTCGTGGGATTTGCTCCGGCTTCACCGCCCATCGCGACTCCAGCTTCTCCTGCTCCGAAGACGATGTCGCCACGTGTCTGCAAGGAGCGTCCTTGGGAGCGAGGACTCAGTCCAAGCAGCTCGCCGATGCTTCGCTTGTCCAGAAAGAAGAAGCGTGCGCGTCATGGCTCCTTATCATCGATGTCTTCCTCTTCCCCGTTGCCATCGTTGAACTCACCGTCTGGAGGCCAGTCGCAGTCGTGGAAGCGTCAACAGCAGCATCGCTATCAACTGCAACGACAAGAGCTGCGTCGCCGCAATTTCACGCTTCTAGAGCCGACAAGGAAATGCGGTGGCAATGCTCGTAGCGGCAGACCGTACGTCGGAAAGGTACTGTGCCCGTCCTAGCGAGACGTTCGCCACCATTTTTTCATTCCTAGTTTTGTTTATTAGTTTGCAGTCTGGATATATTTTAGCTATTGACAAGGGCACAAGTCTGCCCAAGCAAGATGATCTTAACATCTTGTCCAAATGTAAATTGAAAGAATTATCAAGCAAGTCACCGATGCACATGTAATTTGTGGATCTTGACAGGAAGCGCATGTATACTAAGCTTACTAACTATTGTAAAGCTTACCAAAGAAGTCGACTACGGCTGCAGCCGGCTGGAAACTGCATCGATATGCGAATTTGACTCAGCCAATTGCGCAAGACGGATATCTGTCGCGAGTGTTGGCTGGGCGTCTGGAAATCTTAGAGTGACGAGATGATGCACTTCACTTCAACCCGAAGTGGCAGTAGCTACGTTGTCAGTGGCGAAAATACAGTACAAGGATTTCACCGAAGTACTAACGTCACCTGCTCCAGTATGAACGAGTTTTTGAAAAATGCTAGATTTAAAAGCTGTAAATCTCAAAATCTAATTTTTAAAAAGGAATTTAGAATAGAAAGCTAATCAATCGACTGGACGCAGTCCAAAAGCCACCAACCTGTATTACCAGCATGTCTGTCCGGAGGAACGTGCGTCTGCGCCGCGAGTACCTGTACCGCAAGGGCCTCGAAGGGAAAGAACGTGCGCTGTATGAGCACAAGCAGCAGCTGAAAGAGGCCATACGCAGTGGCAAGGCCATCCCGACGGAGCTGCGCAGCGTTGAGTCCAAACTTCGCCATGAGATGGAATACGACGACGAGGCCCACGAGAAGCCGCTCAACCACATCGATGACGAGTACAAGAACGCGGGTATGTTCGACCCAAAGATTGCCATCACTACGTCGCGTGACCCGAGCTCGAGACTCAAGCAGTTTGCACAGGAGCTTCGCCTCATCTTTCCCAACGCCATTCGTCTCAACCGTGGTGCGCACACTATCGGAGACGTAAGCAGTTGAAAACTAGCAACACTATATTGAGAGGCTAGCTCACTAATCTGTTCCCTATTGCAACTGCAGTTGGTGGAGAGCGCCAGATCCAACGACTTTACAGATCTGCTACTGGTCACGGAGACCCGTGGTGAACCAGGTACGACAATGAAGTCGATTAGTTGACGCTGTTGCCGAGTGCTGACGGTGTTTTTTTTATACTAATTAGACGGTCTGGTGGTGTGCCACTTGCCTTACGGTCCGACGGCCTATTTCTCGCTGAGTAACACTGTGTTGCGTCACGATATCGAAGACCGTGCTACGATCTCGGAGGCGTATCCTCACCTCATCATCAACCAGTTCGAGACCCCGCTAGGAAAGCGCGTTGCCAACATCCTGAAGCACTTGTTCCCAGTGCCCAAGCCGGATGCTAAGCGCGTTATCACGTTGTCCAACGACAACGACTTTGTGTCGTTCCGTCACCACGTCTTCAAGGTGACAGGACGCGAGGTGGAGCTTCAAGAGTGTGGCCCTCGCTTTGAGCTGCAATTGTACCAGGTGAAGCTTGGCACGCTCGACCAGAAGGAAGCGGAGAACGAGTGGGTCTTGCGGCCGTACATGAACTCCGCCAAGAAGCGCCGTGTGTTGTAGACCTGCTGTCAATTGCCAGTACGCACGCTCATTTTGCTGAAATAGATGCTTTTTTTGTTTTTACTTGTCAAAGCACAGCGTCTGGTGCTGTTATCCATTATCGAGCTTCGCTACACCACAAGACACGCTCTTCTACTTCGCTTACAGCGACACATTGATTTCCGCCTGCAGGAAAGAATCGCCAGGGATACGAGCAAGGATCTTGCTGAGTGGATCCACAGGAGGCGCATACATTTCGAAGGTGGCAGGCGCCGTCGTGATCTTGCTTAAGTCGAGATGGAAAAAGGTCCAGCAGCCCACTTCAACCTCCTGAGTGACAAGACTTCGATGCCGCAGCTCCATCACCGCCACACAACCTAAGACAAGCAATTATTATCAGTGCATGCCACCAAAGACATACTTAGAAGTGGTAGGACTATGAACTCGTACCGTCCTTGAGATGCTCGAGCGGTGTTTGCAGATACCAAGTGTTGCCGAACCACCAGTAGTTACCTCCGGTCTGGATAAGCGACTTTGGAGTTCGCTGTGCTGTGTCAACGACCGCACCCTTATAGTCCATGATGTAGAGGTTGAAGTGTGGCGTCTCCATAATAGGACCAGTAGCCACTGCAATAGCGCCCAGGAACACAGACACATAAGTGCTGTCGTGCAATCTGTCTGGTGGAGGCAAGAGTGAAGGAGTGACTGGAGTCAGTTTCTGGACAGGAACCATTCCGTCCGCTTGGGGTTCCTCAGGCTCAACCGGACTCTCCTCCACCTTCGGGACATGGGTCGCTGGGTTGAGAATCTCCTTCAAGTCCTCCTCCTCGGCAATATCCACGGCCGAAAGCCCCTTCACATTCTTGATACTTGAGTCTGCGCCACGCTTCATGAGAGTTTCAACCAGGTCATAACGCTCCAGCTCCACTGCATAGTGTAGTGCGGTGTCTCCATTCACATCGATCGCATTCGGGTCAGCGCCGTTCTCAATGAGCCAGACGCAGACCTTGGCCGCCTCGAATCCTTCGTCTTCGTCATTCTGTACTGCCAAGTGCAACGGGGTAAAGCCCAACTTGTTCTTCATGTTGACGTAGTCGCGACGCAGTCCGCTGTCAATGCAGATCATGTTGTGGTTGGGAGGACTCGTTGTGGTCACACGCACGCCCTGAACCTTGCGAATGGCAAGCATCCATTCATGCACCTCTTGTTCCGTGTCGGCGACAAATGAGAGCATGCCATCAGGGTTCTTGGAGCTCTTAAGACGCGGAGACCGGATCTCGAAACAGCAGTCCACGTCAGAATTACGCTTGATTGTGGCGTCACAGAGCTCGACAATCTTCAACGGAATCTTGTCCTTCTCGGTCTTGTAGTAGGACAAACAAACCTCGTCCACCATCACATAGCGCTTCGTAGCCCAGCGAGTCCCGCTCGCTTTGCGAAGGAACCCCTCCTTGTACACTTCGATCTGGACTGTAGTAGGGAGAACTGGAGGAAGTCCACCGATAGCTGATGACAGACGTCGGTTGTTTCCTGTCTTGGAAGACACGAGAGTACGGCGACCATTGCGCTTGGGTGCGTTGTGATCACCAGGTTTGAAGGTTGGCTGCATCGAGAACGAAGACGTCGAGGCGGTGGACATACCACGCATACGCGGGTCGAAGCCTCCCACAGGACTGCGATTGCCAATAGACACGCTCTTCGATGGTGAACGTGACGATGGTGTTGTCATGGACGCTGTGCTAACGCTGGAGACAGATCGAAGCTTCGCCTCGGGCGTGTCATCACTAGTACTGCTCGTGCTACTAGCGCTTCTTGTACGTGCAGCCCCGAAATCGAAATGAGCGCCAGGGGTTGAGTTGCGGTTCGCAACCTTCGCAAGTAGCCGTACCATGTCCAAATGTGCCAATCGACTAGCATAATGCAGCGGTGTACTGCCCGCAGTATCCTTTCCATACACAAGATCCTCAAGTTGAGGGTTTTCCTCTAGAACGAATCGCGCCAAGTTCAGATCTCCATTCTTCGCTGCGACGTGGATCAACGACATCATTTCGTGGTCACGATCACGCACACGTAACATCCCTGGCATCTCCTGCGCAATATGAAGCACCTCGGTTAAGTCGTAGGCGTTAGCGGCATCAAACAACGCTTGTGTGCGGTTCCGCATTCGCACACGAGATAGGAAGATCCGAACCACAGCGAGAACTCGAGCCATCGACCGACGTCGCACATCTGCCAGTTTATGCGCTCTCTGCTGGCGAAAGACACTTTGAACCTTGATGATTCGCTCAACCGTTTGGCGATACTTCTTACGCTGCACGTAGCCCCGATAAAGTGCTTGGGTTTTCACCACTCCACGACGGAAGCGAATGAACTGCCGACGACCCAAATACGTACGCACAGCGCTCTGCACCACACGAGCCGCCGACCGCAATTTCAGGTAGCGAGAACGCTCAAGTGACATGCGTGTAAATGCTTGAATAGTGATGATCTTCTCCTTCGTTTCGCGGTACTTCTTTGCTTGTGCATGACAGCGCCAGAGTGATTGAAGCAGTGTCACCTGTCGGTCCCGCTTGGTGTATTCCTTGCGAATTCGGTGCATCCGCCAGAGAGACTGAACAAGGATAATCTTCTTACGTTCATCGAGATACCGCTGACGACAGATCACCATTCTACCAAAGGCCTCAATGCGTGTAGCCATCTTTTTCTCACGTAGGAATTTACGGCGCACGAGTGAACGACGAATCATAGCCTGAGAGTTGATAGTAGCTTCTCGGCCCTTGAGGTATTCGGTACGAACACGGTTCGCTCGCACGCGAGCTTGGATCATAATGATACGTCGACGAGAAATCTGGAAGTGACGACGCGCCAGGAAGCCGCGAACTATACGAGCGATCTGGATTTGCGCTTTGTTGCGTGCAACAGCGCGCATACGAGCCTTCTTACCGTATTTGAGGCGAGCATTGAAGCCACGACCTGCAGCGTGCAACACGATAGCAGCCTTCTGCATCTCACGATATTTGTTGCGAGCAGCGTAGCCCTTGTATCTGGAAGCAATCACATTTGCTGCGTTGCGCATCTCCAAAAACTCAGCTCGCTGTCTGCGCATCTTGCGCGCATTCGCAACTTTAGCTGCAGCGTGTTTCTGCTTGAGGAAGCGTTTGCGAGCCAAGTAGCGTCGCACTTGGGCTTGGATTTTCGTTGCGGCAGGTGGAGCTGTACGGAGATAAAGCGCATACTTGCGAGCAGCATTGCCCCGGGCGTGGCTCTGCACGAGGATGGTTGCCTTGCGCAGTCGTTGGTACTTCCGTCGCTGGATAAACTGTCTTGCCACGGCATTAAGGAGCGTGATGCGGTGACGCATAAGCTGGTAGTGACGCTTGGCCAAGTACATACGTGTCATGGCTTGAATCCGAATGGCCTTCTCGCGCATGTCCAGGTACTTTCGACGTTGCTGTCGACCACGAACATGCTTTTGGATGACGATAGCGGCCTCGTGCATGATCTTGCGCGCTTCGTTGTCCAAGATACGCAATTGACTGTCTCGAAGGAACACCTTCTTGTGTCCAAGCTGCCAGTTTTCACGAGGAATGAAGCGAAGGATCACTTCGCAATAACCTTTCTCTGTCATGCTCGCCCGCTTCTCCTTCGGAACGTTGCGAGTCAGGATTTGATACTTCTCGTGGAATTCTTCAAAGAGTCGTCGAACTGGGAAACCTGATCGTCGGATACGCACAGTCTCCATGACACCGAGGTAGATCAGCTGGTTTAGAATCAGCTCAGCATTCCAGCCTTGCGGAAAACGCAGGTTGTTTGGCTTCACACAACGCACGAAAGAAGGCGCCGTAGCCTTGAGTTCCACCATCAAGTTGGCCATCTGATCACGGAATTTCCGACCAACAGTCATAGTACCAGTCATCTTATTGCCCATTTTACGAATGGGTTTGCGCGGGTTGGCACCGCCCGATGCTGCGCCAGCCTGATCTAGTGGATACAACTTCCGCAGGAACTCACACTTTGAACTGTCCATCAACGAGATCAAATCGTTGTGCAGAGAATCATCGTTCTTTTCCAAAAAGCCGTTGACATTGTACGTGACCTCTCCAGCGTAGTGGTGGATCACAAACTCGTCCGTGGCGAATCGAGGCTTCGAGTAGTAGATAGTACTGCCCTCCGGAACTTTTCCCTTTGGCAGATGCGTCTGGTGTAGTTTCTGAATAAAGTTTTCATCACTGGCGCGTCGTCCGAGCATTCCTTGTTCATCCAAGAGAGGCAGGATACCCAACGGCTTCTTATCAATTAGATCAAGACACGGCCCATTGTCCTTAAACTCCAAACGTGAAAAGTCGATGCCTTCTTCAACATATACCTCCTGCTCATACACGAAAACGTGCTGGTTGAATTGCTGCTGCAACATTTCGTTCGTGTAGTTGATACACAGCTGCTCGAACGAATTCACTTGCAGACTTTCGAAGCCAAAGATATCCAATATGCCAATAAACTTGGAGCCAGCACCCACTCCAGCACTGCCGCCAACATTGGACGTCGACTTGTTGATCTGGGACACGAGCCAGTCGAAAATCTTGCTGAAGATGTCCTTCGCCAGACCATTACGCGATTTGACAGACTCCACAGCAGTTAGAGCGATTTCTGCCACTGAGCCACGAGCACCAGCGGACATCGTACGCTTTGTGAGGGCGAACTCGAGCTCATCCGGTGTCACCATCATCAACTCAGCCAAGTTCGTGACGTCCTCTGGATGAGCAATCTGGGACTCGTTCTTGGCGTTCTCAGTGAACTCGACGTTACCCAAATGCAAGACGCAGGCTACGAGACGGAAGATAGTACGCTGTAACTCTGGCGGGATACCAACTGTACCCATGGCTTCAACAAGCTCCTTGAAGTCCTTCTTGTCGTTGATTTCCGGTACCTGCATGCAGTTCCCTTGGTTGAGGAAGTAAAATTCGCTCGCAGGCTTCAATTTTAACGCGTTCTTCTCTTCTGCGGATAATCCAGCACACAATTGGTAGAAGACGTGGTAATTACGCTCGGATTCGGCACTACCGACAATACGACTCTTTTCCAGCAAGAAGTGGCTCGTTGTAGCACCCGAGATGGTGCCGTCTGCATGGTAATAGATCTTGATGAACTTGCCGAATCGACTACTGTTGTCGTTGCGGATAGTCTTGGCGTTACCGAATGCCTCCAGTAGCGGGTTACTCTGCAGAACACACTGTTCCACCGAAGATCCACCGTTCTCCGCCTTTGGAGCCTTTGGGGTCTTCTTGCCGATCTCCGAAATGTTGGCCAGATACTACAAGATACCTACAAATTAGCTACCGGAATCAAAGAATTACTATCACAGTGATAATTGACGTACCCGCATAATGTACTTGGAGGCCTCCGTCTTGCCGGCTCCACTCTCTCCCGACACGAGGATGGACTGACATTTACCGTCTTTCATCATTGCATGATAGGCTCCGTGAGCCGTCGAATAGACGTGAGGCACGGGGTTGTCCAGTTTGCCAATAGAGTCGAGTTCTGGGAAGTTGTAGAGCATGGGGATGTTCTTGTACGGGTTGATAGAGATGAGGATGTCACCAGTGTAGGTGTAGATCTTGTCCTCGAGATAGCGACGTCGCAGTAGATCCAGCAGCGGCGCCTCGTGCAGATTGTCCATCTCCGCCACATTGTCCAGGTTCACTGAGTGCGATGGATCGTATGGATGCACCTGCTCGAAGGTAAATTGTTGCTCCGAGTCGGCGTCGGGCAGCAGAACGTGTAACTTCTCGCCGTCATCCTCCACCACAGTGCCCAGCTGCCATACATTGCGAGGGTCCGGGCACCAAACCTTCTCTCCCTCACGGCGTGCCGCCCGCTTCTCCGCCATCACTGCCTGCGAGTCCGTATGCTACAATAAAGAGTGAGCTGTTCGGGGGGCGGAACCTTATGCTCCTGATTTGGTGAGATACGATTTGGCCCGAAATAAATGGTGCTTCAAGTAGAGTGAAAATCCAGCTGTGTCCCAAATTAAACGTTTAGGCGTGGGTAAATTGAGTAGAGAAGCAACGCAATTTCAAGTGAGCAGTGCTTTCGAATTGATGCAGATCGCCATGTTCATGGCGTGAAAAGCAATGACGTTGTACACGTAGCGGTTGCAGCCAATTGAAACGCGAGAGTTGTAGAAATGATAACGTCGAGTCAATAACCAAAGGTTAACTGGATTTGAAAGATCGAAAATGCCAGTTTTACAAGGCGTCAAAATCCTGCGGTAAAGTTACTGAAGCAAGTAACATAAGCTTTGGGTCACTTTGCATTTGCCGAGTGTATCACCACTTTAGCTCCAACTTCTTCAGGAAGCGATGCCGTCGCTTTTAGCTAAATTGTCTGGTGAGTACAACCTGACTGGAACACTGCTCTCGTCACTTCAAGTGGGTTCACTTTTTGAAATGATATGCTTCTATTTTCATCCAATCAGATGACGTTTAGGGTACGTGGTGCGTCACAGGCCACTCGTCGACAATCATGCAGGACGCAGTGCACTGGCAGACGAGCGAGTTGGCGTGTGCCATCAAGTACCGATTGCTGGCGGGCGAGGCAGCAGAAGGATACAAGGATGGATTGGTGGCGCGTGTCGGCGTTCCCAGCGAGTACGTGGCGCCACTAGTGGACCGAGCATTCGCACTGCACCCCGCAATGTACACCGTCGTATCAGAAGACGGCAGTGATCTCCCGGATCTGATCGTACGTAACACAATTCTTAACAAAATGTGCGCTTTGTAGTTTGTAAGTCCTAACGATTGCCTTTGTTGCTGTGGTTGCAGTGGGACGAGTATGAAAATCTGGACTGGAAAAATGTCCTGGCTGGAAAGGTGGTGGCCAACGCCTACTGCGTCCGCAAAGGGCTCTCACGGAAGGCACAGCTGTCGATCTACCTGTCCAAGTACATTATGAAGCACCCGGACTGCATGCTGAGTAAGGCTCTTCCACGCACCATTGTGGTGGACACCTGGGAAGCTTACGATGAGAGTATGGCCCAGTTCGGCATCTCCTTTCGTCAGCGTCTGGACTCGTGTCTGTGGGAGGTAAGGCAAACACTCGAGAACGAGAACAATACGTGGATCATGAAACCCAGTGCTACCAACAAGGGCGCTGAGGTTAATGTGATCAAAGACTTCAAGAAGCTACGTAGCATTGTCAACGAGTGGACCGACATCCGCGAGTGGGTTGTCCAGGAGTATATCCAGCGGCCACTGTTGCTGCGTGGCCGCAAGTTCCACATCCGCGTGTATGTTCTCGCGGTTGGTGGTCTAAAGGTGTTCGTGTACCAGCACTGCCTTGTGCTTTGCGCTCTGGAGCAATACCGTGAGGCTGATACGGACAACAACTACTCGCACATCACCAACACTTTCCAGCAACAGAGCCACCCAGACTTTGTTGAGAGCGAATGCGTGCTGTTACTGGACGACATTGAAGGCATTCTGGCTGAGCAAGGCATCGCTGATCCTGCCGGCAAGAAGGCGAAGATTCTTGCTGACATTGGCCAGATCACAGCCGAGACATTCGACGCTTACAAGGGCGAGTTCTCGGTTTTCCAGCCACTTCCGAACTGCTTCGAGATTTACGGCGTCGACTTCATGGTTGACGAGGACTTCAACGTGTGGCTGCTGGAATTCAACCCCGGTCCGGATTTCAAGCAAACGGGTGATCGTCTGCACTTTGTTATTCGGGATCTGATGGCAGACACGCTGAGCGTTGTTACGAACGAATTCTTCTCTGAGGATAAGGATTCGTCTGTTAAGAACGCTGAGATTGGGGCTTTTGCTAAGGTGTATGACCAGCAATGGGGAGCTCTTTCCAAAGGCTCATCCATGAAGTTTGTTGAGTAGATTTTGTGATCAGCATACCATCTAATAGAGATCAATACGAGCAATTGCGTTTTTGACAGACCCCACGTTATTGTTCTCAGAAGTATTTGTTGGTCGTTGCAGACGACAGAAATCCGATGCCTTTCGCCGCGGAAGAAAGCAAATTGGTGCCTGAAGTCGCTGCCGAGAAGAGATTTGAGCTCGTCGATGACGACAACAAGTTCTGCAACTTCGTGGTTGACGACTGAGACGCATCATCTGTGCGTTCATGGAACAGAGTGGAGCTATTTGCTCTGCTTCGCCCTTCAGCTATATCATTCTCACTTGAACGCGACGTCGACGACATGGTACGCTGGAACTTACGGCGACTCGAAGGAACGGGAAGCAGCGAGAACCTGGCAACAGGCTCTGCAATCCGTGCTAATGGCCTTGTGTCTTGAGCTCCAATGACGATCTCTTTTCCATCTAAAGAGCACAGCAACAAAGCAGTACATTAGGAACCCGGATCAATTCACACCCACCAACTCCCACATCAAGCACAAGCGACGACTTACTGATTTTGTTGATGTCGTTCGATTCTGACAGCGATGAAAAGAGCAGTCGGCTTTTCCGGAATTGCAGCACCACATTTTCAATCAGCTGCGGTCCATAAATCTCCCAGTCCACTGGATCGATAAACTCCCGCATACGCTCGAACAAGCTCTTCAGCTTCAATAATCCAGGAGAGCAGTCTTCGGGGTTCAACTCGTCGCCCCAGCCAAAGCGAATGAAGTCGGAAAAGCCCAATGTCGCGCGGACAAAATACATGTCAAAGAGGAACTGCTGGATGCAACACTCGCCGAAGTTCAAAACCGAATCATCTTGAGTTGCCTTGGCATCTACAAGTAGTGAGACGGCGGCATCATACACGGCCACGCTTACGATGGTAAGTTGCTCCACGAGAACTTCTCGAATAGTACGCTGCATCAACCTGATCTGCTCGTCTTTAGTTCCGATGGAGTTCTGAACCAACCGGTTCGCATCGTCCAAGCTGTAGCAGCACGAGAAAAGAAAGCTGGATACTGTCGGCGTTTCGCACCATGGCAGCCAAACCTTTTCATCACCGAAGGCCATCTCAGATTCCGAAGACGAGCCATCAGTGTCTCCATCAAGGACTTCATCGGAAATCACTTGCTCGATCCAACCTTCATGAGTAGCGATCCATTCCTACCAAAGCCGCAAGAGAGTCGTTAGCTGCCAACTGTTAAGTGTAATGCCAGTAGAGTCGTACCTCGTTGGTTGAATCGTACTGCTCAACAAGCAACAGCTCGCGCAACGGTTCGATCTTCTGCTCTAGAAGAATAGTAGCCCAAGCCTCACAATACTTTTTTGACAGTCCGTGCAGTACGTTCACAAATAACTGTGGGTACGACGCTTTCTGCTTTATCTCAGAAACAAGATAAAGAGAATGGAACCCCACAGCGTTGACTCGCCCGAGCTCTTCGTCAATAAAGCAGGCCTGCGTCTTTTCTCCATTCCCTAGGATTTCCTACAAAACGACAGCACACAAGTTAGTTCAGCCACAAAAGTTTACTGGACATCAGCAGCCAAGCTTAAAGAGCTCACCTCCAACGCGACTGCTAGCTGTGTCTTCATCACGAAACCACTGTTGGAGTACCTTTCAAAGACTGGACCAACTATCGAGAGCGAGGGGTCTTTCTCCGGTATTGAAACAATAGTCGAGCTTCCTGGGAACAACTTGGTCATCTGAGGATGAAATCCAGCTACGATTCCCGCCAACATGTTGGAGATGCTTAGAAAAACGCTTGGTAGTTGAACTGCACCATTCGCGGCATTGGCCTTCTGGTTCATTTGGAGTGGATACTCCTGCTCGAAAAAAATCACTAGCTTAAATAGTGTTCGAAGAAACTCTTCGATCAGGACACTCTGAAGATCACTTGCATCCAGATCGGCCGCCTTCTTCTGAATAGTTTCGAAGTAGTCGTAGAATTTCACGTTTCTGAGCCTATAATCACTTCGAGAAATACTTGCAGCCGTGTCTTCCAAGCTCGCACGGATCTGAGTTTTAATCGTTTCGAGCGCTTCCACGAACGAGTTCTGCACCAAATCACGCGTTCGCCTCCGAAATGCTTTGGCAAAGAGAACCGAAAAAACGGAATCAACAGGAACGTTTAATGGCTTCTCCATACTGCCAAGTGCTTCACGAAGCACCTGGCCCCACAGCTTCACGTTCAGACAGCCACCACTGTTCTTGTTGACGACATATAGTTTCGATTGCACTCGTGAGAGTTGCGAGATCGAGTCAATACTTGAAATAATCGGCGAAGCTAACGCCATTATCTGCAGTCACAAGGCACATGGTTAACATCACAAGTGAAGCAGAAACTACACATTTCTTGATTACCTGTCGGTGCTTCCGCTCGAACCACTCGCTCAGCATTTTAAGCATTTTGCCTGATGAAACAAACTGCTCCAACTGGTCTTTAAAGCTTAATGGTAGCTGAGAAATCGATTTCAACAGGCCGCTTTCGCTTCCACAGCCAAAGATTTCCTCCGTCTGAGCCATCGTCAAGCTGATCGACTTCAAAATGATCATCAGCACGCGCTCCTTCTTCAACGAAGATTTATACACCGCTGGCTCATTCTCATCTCGTTTATGGAGTGGAGTCATCCACTTGGAGCGAGACTCCAAAAAGACTTCAAACAGCTTGTCAGCTCCAATAGGAGGGTCGTTCAGCACAGCAAGTGTACACAAATTATCGGCATAAAATCGGCTTTCCTTGCCTCGACAAGTCAGATAGCTCTTGGCGCACGATACCATCCTCTACAACGACACCACCAAACTTATTAGCGCCCATACAATTGTAAACACTCAATAGTTCCACCACCTACAGGTCGAAAGCACTGAATGCACGTCCACTGGGTCTGCAGGAATGGAAACTCGTTCTCTGCAGCCTTCGCAGCGCATTCACTATGGATCGTGGTCACTCGTTGGTAGAATTCCAGCGCCTGCAGTGATTCTCCTTCATCCAGCAGCTGCCACATCTTCTCGGGGACCTCCACCAGGAACGACACCTTGTCTGCATCCGTAGCTTCGTCTGACAGTTCCCCCTTCTGCGTTTTCGAAGGTTCTTCTTCTGTGCTATTGCCAGGTTGGCCCTCCACGGCCAACGCGCCGCCTAGAGACAGCTCCATGTGCTTCCACATGTCAGGCATCTCCTTGAGTGACACCTCGAGACGCAGCGCGGCCGAGTGCATGTTCACGATCTTGTCTGCCGACTCGATAAGGTCTCGATAGCGCACACCGATCATCTTCTGCATCTCCTTGGTCTTGGTCTCCTTCTCCTTCCTGCATAGTAGAGATTGTCATTCTTAAGAGATTAACGTATCCTGAGAGACAGAGACTTCCCCTGCACTATTAAGTCACCACACACGACGCACCTCGTCCTCTCTAACAGCACTTTGGCGTCCGCGACCGACAGGCGACGCAGGAAGTCGGCCGCATCGCCCGCGTGCTCAGCCCCGCGGGTTGCTGCCGGCGTCATCGCTTTGAAGCTGAAGAGTGGAGATCGTACTTAAATGAATGCAACACTTTCTAACTGACAAAATGGCGCGCCGCAGTCGCGCTGGCAGTGTCGACGTCGAGTCACGAAGTGAGTCTGACGAGCGCTCGCCGCTGACGCCCAACAAGGCGGCGCTGCTGAGGGTACAGAGGAGAACCAGTCCGGTGAGTAGCGCAAATTTCGCGGCGTTTAAAGCGCTTTTGGTCATGAGAATGGGTCGAGTTTAGCATCACTAATTGATCGTTCATGGCAGCTGCGGCTGGACAATGCCAGTGGTGACGATGCGGGCAGTGCAGACGATCGAGAAGGACAGGAAGTTGTGCCAGCCGCGTCTATTTGGCGAGGAGATGAGGCTTCCGACGCTGCAAATGCTGATGGTAATTGGATGCTGGAAGATGCAGAAGAAGCTGCTCGGACCCTGACTTTGATGTTGTTGCGGTGGGCGACTGGGCAGTGAAATTGAGCAACATGCGACGATATTTTCGAGCGGCACGGGCGCTGTACGAAATGCAGTTCCAGATGAAGCGGCCCGCGGCTATCTTGAAGATGAAGCCCAACTCGGTGAGATCGCGATGGACACTGATCTTGGCATTATGGCGCTAAATGATTCTTGCAACTTATTTTGTGAATTGCAGTACGGACTGAAAAGCCGATCCACATTCGACGCATTGGCAGCGCTGGTGTCTCCACTTCGAGGGCATCAGGTTCTCGGTATGTTTGTGGTTTTCAAGTATCCCCTTCTCGAGCGATCAAGAGCTAATAGGAGGTGCCGTAATGTGCAGATGACTGGACGGGGCTTGAAATCGGGCTCTTCGAGGAAGCCTATGAACGCTTCGGAAAGGATTTCTACGCAATTGCTGAACAGGTTCAATAAACCAGGGAAAAATGCTAGGTGCTCTTCATGTGCTCACTTATTGCTACATTTCACAGCTTCCAAGGAAGACTGTAAAGGACACAATTGCGTTCTACTATATCTGGAAGAAACACGGATCATGTGCGAAAACTCGAGACGATGGCAACCTGTCGGACGATTTCTTGCCGGAACCCGAGCCGAATGTATCAAGTGAGACGCTCAAGCTGATGGATCGCCTTCGAAGTACGTGCCGTTGAATGGATTTGCGGCCTGCGTTTCGTATTAAACTCTGGCTCCAACAATCACACAGAGCGACAGATTTACATCCAAGATTATCTCGATGCTGCACGAGCAATGTATGCTCCCCAACCAGCCTACGCGTCTCACCACAAGAGGCAAAAGATTTCGGAGTTTGGCTTGCAGCGGGTGCCATCCTTCCAGCAAGGTCTCAAGGGGTTGTCACCGTTGCGTGTTCCAGCCGTGCTAGGTAAGTATCCACCTCATTCGCGTGTGCACATCTAAAAAATGCTGATAGTGTTTGTTGTACGTTTCTAGATATGTGGACTCCATTCGAGATCAGAGTATTCGAGGTCGCGATTGAGTGTTACGGCAAGGATTTCACGCGAATTGCCGAAGTGGTAAGTCAAAAATGGATGCTAGTTTTGCGTTGACTTCTGAAGTTGCTATGTGTACGCGCTGCAGATTGGCAGCAAGTCGTCCGGAGACGTGATCGCATTTTACTACGTTTGGAAAAACGATTCGCACTATCAAGTTGTCAAGAACCGCTGGGAGAGGAAGGATGAAGGGCGTACACCGAAGAAAACTCTTGCTGACTCAAAGGCTAACTGCTCGTGAGCTGTCATCTACTGTAGCTTTGGCGAACGTTTGTGTATTTGAATCAAACGCCTTGAATGAGACCTACCATGACCCTCTTGGTGAGCAACGGCTACCTAGTTTAATCGATGGAGATAACTTCCTGCTCCACAACCAGGCCTTCATGAGGATAGTTTTGCAGCTTCTTGCACGCAGCGCACACCCACGAGGCCGGAGGCAGCTCCTTCATGTTGATGCAGTACTTGTGGAACATGCGCTGGCACATATCGCACAGTACAAGTTCGTCCTCATTTTCAGGGTGCGAGCAGACCTCACAGTTCTCCGAGTCCATCATGTACGTACGTGAATTGTACGGCACAGGTTGCGAGGTTCCAGGCTCCTGCTTGTGGATTTGCTTATGCTCCATTAGTTTCATGTTGCGATACACCTGAAAGCTGTGCAGTGCGTGTCCAATGTTCTTCAAGTCCAGCTTCTGGCTCATAAAGAACGGGAAATCCACCTGAAGAGCCTTAAAGCCTTGGAGCTGGCGTTGTTGCAGTAACTGCGCAAGTGCGACGTATTCCGATGGGCGCGCACGGTTCTTGCCAAAAATCTGAATCAGGCTCTTCCTCGCGTCTAGGCTGAGCCATACAAAATCGTCCGTGATGAAGTCCTGAACCAGCATGTGCAGCTCCATCAGATCGCACACCACCTGCCAGCACGTAAATGATCCAAGCACGTTGTCTTGGAACTTGCGGAGGGTCTCAAAGATGCCCTCGGAAGTGGTGCATTCCTTCACCGCCACTGTGGTATCATCAATGTTCTGTAGAAACTTCTCCAGTGTATCCAGGTAAGAGACCACCGTAAGGTCACGGTCGCCAGCCAGTAGATCACAGTCAGCGGTGCGCTTCGTCATTGCTAGCAGTCTGCAGTATCAACAAATAATTAGCGGTGCTGATTACTACATTGTTTCACGAGGGAAAATAAATCGTACCGCTTACTAAAGTGGGGAAAATCGTCGGAGCTAGGAATCCCCTTGAGCTTGTAAAAAGTTTCCAGTTGGTTGCAATACCTGAACACCACTGCCATCCACAAAACTTCGCGCAGACCCAGGCGTCCCTGGTGAGATTGTTGCCATCGAAGTACATGCTTTCGGAGATACGCAGTACTGCGATCCAGTTCGCGATAAATGTTGCAAGTTGCTAAAAACAAGCACCACATAGCACAACACGAGCCATTAAAATCTGAAACCTACTGTAGCGCACTCCGAAAACTTACCGAATTTAATCAGGCATGGGTCGACACGCGGCACGTCGTTGCTGATGGAGTAACTGTGCCACATTCCATGGCGTTGATACACAAAGTCGTAGAAGGTAAGTGCACCCAGCCACCAGCTCTTATAGCCCTTGCCGTCCGAACTATCGAGCAGCTGATCGCCCAGAAAGTTGAGCGTGCGTCGCTGACGCTTGGCAGGTTCCGCGTTGTCGCTCTTGGAGCGCTTGGATGCCGTTCCGCCGTCTCCATCGTCGTTCCCGCGCTGTTTCTTCCGGCACAGAAAAGTCTCCTCACACTCTTTGCTGCATACAGGGGTCACGGTTCCACGCGAGCTGACGGAGTACTCCGGATCGGGAGCCTGGCACACGAAGCAATGGTTCGGGTCCGCGTTTCGCGAGTCGCCTGACGGTCGCATCCCCTTCATCTCAAGGTACTTGGCCTCACATCCCACGGAGCACACAGGCACGGGCGGGGCCTTCTTGACTGTGTTGGTGGACATGAACTCTGGGTTGGGCATGTGGCAAATAAAACACTCGGCCAGATTCACGCTCGTCGACGGGGCCACTGCGTCATCCACCGATCCTGCGGCGTCGCCATCCTCACTGTCAGTGCCGTGCGCACTGCTGTTGGAGCTGTTGCTATTGTTGAACCAGCGGCTCAGCTGGAAATCGTCGCCGAAGTTGACCATGATCCCTCCGCTGCTTAACGCGCGCGCCAATAACCAATTGAGGCTTTCGGCTATTTGAGTGTGAATCGTACTTAAAAGCGTCCTTTAAGTACGACGATCTTGTTGTTGAAAGATCGAAAGATTTCTTCCCTCCATGGTTGAGGTCCTCAACTTGAGGATGAGGCAGCAACAGATAAAGCAATGGTGTTTGTTTGTTAAACTCGTGCGACGATGTCTAGATATTTACTAGGAACATCGACGCAGAAATTCCTATAATCTCGACTGGCTGGGGTCATTGACCCAAACGTTGAGGTTGACGCCCATGATACCTTAAGCGCTGAGCTTGGCCTTGAGGATTTGCTCGAGCTTGACAATGTCGGCGCTAAAGCCGCGGATGCCCTCAGCGAGCTTCTCCGTGGCCATGGCGTCCTCGTTCATGCTCAGACGGAAGTCCTTCTCGTCGTACGACAGCTTCTCGCCCGTGTAGGCCTTGGCGGCCGTCTCGGAGTCCAGCTTCTTTGCCAGAGGGGCCGTCGACTTGGTCAGCTCCTCTAGGAGTGCGGGGGAGATAGTCAGGCGGTCACAGCCAGCCAGCTCAGTGATCTCACCAGTGTTACGGAAGCTGGCGCCCATGACGATAGTCTTGTAGCCGTACTTCTTGTAGTACTGGTAGATCTTGGTCACAGACACGACGCCAGGGTCTTCGTGGGACTCGTAGCTGGACTTGCCGGTCTTGGCCTTGTGCCAGTCAAGGATACGGCCCACGAAGGGCGAAATGAGAGTGGCACCAGCCTCAGCGCAACCCACAGCCTGGGCGAAGCCGAAGAGCAGCGTCATGTTGCAGGAGATGCCCTCCTTCTGCAGGTGCTTGCAGGCCTGGATACCTTCCCAAGTGGAGGCAATCTTAATGAGGATGCGGTCCTTCTTGATGCCAGCCTTTTCGTACAGATCGATAATGCGGTGAGCGCGCGCGATCGTGCCCTCCGTGTCGAAGCTCAAGCGGGCATCGACCTCAGTCGACACGTAGCCTGGCACGACCTTGAGGATCTCCAGGCCGAAGTTCACCGACAGCTTGTCAATGACGAAGCCCAGGCGCTCCTTCTCGGAAAGGTCAGCCGACAGGCCCTTGCCGTACGCGACGGCGTCGTCCACAAGTGCCGAGTACTGCTCCATCTGGGCAGCCTTGAACAGCAGCGACGGGTTGGTGGTGGCGTCCTGCGGCTTGTACTTGTTGATCTGTTCGAAGTCGCCCGTGTCAGCCACCACAGTGGTGAACTGCTTGAGCTGGTCCAGCTGCGAGGCTTCGCGGAGCTTCTTGTTCGGGGAGGCAGCCATCTTGATGGAGTGTAGGTAGGTTAGAGAGGAGCTGAGGGTACTTGATCCTTAGCGCGCAGATTCGAAAGTGAGCGTGGATATCCGAATGCTCGACGGCTGATTGGGGCGGACACCGTTGGTGCGACAATTTGACTTGGATAAAGTATTCGTTACATACTGGCGAGTGATTGTGAGCCCAAGTTTACCTATCCCTTCCAAGTGAGTGACGTAGCAGCTCTGGACGCGATCAAAGTGATGATGAAGTTGACCATGAATACACATCAAGGTACGGATATGTATTTCTTCATCATCGGCCCAGACTGGGCCCCAGTATGGTACACCTTGCCTGGCCGTCAGCATTGGTGTTAAGTTAGGTGCTCATTTCAAGAAACCTCGTGAATCAATTGACGATCTAGACGGTGCCGATCTAGACGGTGCCGTCCTTCAGCGAGAGCACCGCAACATTTCTTTATCGATAAGTGTCATTATCCTATCTGCAACTACCGTCGCTCTAGATGATCGCAGTGAACGTGGAGGTAGCCTTCTCGTACATACCGAAGAAGACAAAGCCGCCGATACTGATCCACATTGTGCGCGGCCCCACGCCTGAGAACAGACGCTTTAAGCCTTCGTCAGTGTACACACGCGAAAGCGTGCTCAGCGTGCCCTTGTACGGAACGCCCTTGGCGTCCTTGCCGAGCATGAGCCGCGTCTTCACCACGTCGAGCGGTGTCGTGATGGATGCTGCTACGCCACCGGCAATTGATCCGCAGACTGCACCCTGCAGTGAGGACACGGGAGCGTTCTGCTGCTTGGACCATTGGTACTGTGTTGATAAACCATGTCACGCAATACAACCGTTAGTTTCGCTTACCTACTAGTATACCGCATTAGCATTTAAGTAGCGTACCTTCAAACCCTCCCAAAGCGGGAACTGGATAAACGAAAAGGGAATCTCGCGCGCTATCATGCTCCAGTAGCCCCGGTAGAACCCCGCTACGCCCTCCGCCGCGCGAATAGCATTGAGCGCTTCCGGTAGCGACTTGTAGACACCAGTCTGCATCCGCTGCTTTACAATCTCCGTAGGAGTGCGCACCAAACATGCCGCCTGGACGGACAATCAACCAATTACCTTCATCAGCACTATAGGCTAGACATTGATCACACGGCTCAATCTCGCACCATTTCACCCGACGCAGCGGCTGCCATGTGCACCAGCGGCGAGTGCTTTTGGTTCGGAACGGCCATGCCAATCAGCGACTTGGAAGTCTCATAAGTGCTAAAGAAGAGCGCGCCTGATTGTCAAGATAGAGCAAGAGTTAAGCATCATTCGGCAGCAAGTATGTCACGACTAATTTCACACCTCCAGGAGCTGATCCAGCAGCGGCAGCAGACAGACCCGAGTAAATGCCTCGGAAGCCACCAGCCTTGAAGAAACCATGGGCTGATTGCAGCCGCGTCTTGATGGTGTCAAGTGGGAACAGCGCAATGTCAACGGAAGTCCCAGCTACTGCTCCACCCTGGACAGACCAACCAAAGCGTGAACACCACCACATACAGGTTTCCATCGCAACAGAGAGGAAACGCACCAATAGAGCGGGGAAGAAGCCGCGCTCCGGGGGCGCGTTGTCTGAGCTGTTGGCCATCCTGGTCTCGCTTGCTGCCGAGCTATGAAATGAGCTCGAGGCACGCGCTTGGTGGGATCGCCTGTGGTTGCAGGTCAAAGCAGATGGCGATTATGCAATCGGACCCGATTCTGGTAAAACGCAATGTACTGAAACAGTGTTAAAAGGCTACTGATATTTAAGATGCCAGAATAGGGTATTAAATAATTTTATTTGACCTGGTCACTACCAAATTATAATACCCTACTTTGTCGTTTCGGAAGACTGGCGGGGCGAGTCATTCACTCAAGGAGGACGCGGCTTCAGGGCTGCAGCGGATCTCCAGGCAACCATGGGGATCGTCGATCGCATCAAGGAGATCGGTGCGTGGCCACTGCAGTCTGTGTGTCGAGTGTCCTGCGTCTTCTAGTACTGCTCGTTTAAACGTGCAGCGTGACAGCGTGTTGCGCCGTATCTAACTAACACCGGGCTTGTTTGGTGCTTGAACAGAGGATGAGATGAAGCGGACGCAGATCAACAAAGCCACAGAGGGCCATCTTGGTCGTCTCAAGGCCAAGCTTGCGAAGCTGCGCACGGAGGTACATTCTCATATCTTATCGAGTTGTACATGTAGTTATCGGTTCTGATGTTATTTCTTTCGTTGTGTAGCTTCTCGAGGAAGGGAAGTCGAGCGGCGGTGGCGGCGAAGGTTAGCTGCTTTTTTTTTTTACAGGAAACAGTTCACTGTCTGACTAATGATGCAAATATTTATCTGCAGGCTTTGATGTCGCCAAGAGTGGCGATGGACGCGTCGCGTTGATCGGGTTCCCTAGTGTTGGAAAGTCAACCATGCTGAGGTGTGCAGTCGTCAATACCTTTCTTGTACTTACATAAGCTGACACACAACTGTTTGGATTTTACAGTCAGCTAACGGAGACGCAGTCGGAGACGAACGCTGTGGAGTTTACCACGCTCACTTGCATTCCCGGCAACTTGTTGTACAACGACGTCCGCATTCAGGTGAGCTGATGAGCTGAAAGAGCTGCGTGCAGTGTGCTGTGAATCTCACTTCGTTGGCATTGCTATTACGCAGTTGCTGGATCTTCCGGGTATTATTGAAGGTGCCGCACACGGTCGGGGACGTGGTCGAGAGGTCATTGCTGTGGCCAAGTCAGCCGATATGATTCTGATGGTGTTGGATGCTGGTCGGGAGGCTGGCAACCGTCACCGTGAGATTTTAGAGAATGAACTGGAGACTGTTGGTCTGCGTCTTAACCGTCAACCGCCTGATATCTACTTTCGGAAGAAGAACGGCGGTGGCATCACGTTCAACAGCACCATTCGTCTGACGAAGGTGCGGGTAATCTTGCTTCCATGGCGTAATTTGTGTGCTAACTGCAGCCTTGGCATTAATTACAATGCTGCAGCTTGGTGATGATCCGTATCAGACGGTGTATAAGATCTTGCACGAGTACAAGATCCACAATTGTGAGGTGCTGTTCCGTGAGGACTGCACGACGGACGACCTGATTGATGTGATCGAAGGCAACCGAAAGTATGTGAAGTGCTTGTACGTGTACAACAAGATTGACGTGGTGTCGATCGAAGATGTGGACCGACTGGCGCGTATGCCGAACTCGACTGTGATTGCCTGCGCCCATGGTGATCGCCCTGCCGTACGTTTGTTGTGTAAACTCTGGATCCATTTCTCTCTTGTTCTAGCAGATAACTCTAACTGTTTTTTTCATGGATTAGCTGAACTTCGACACGCTCCTTGCCAAGATGTGGGACTACATGGGACTGACGCGCGTGTACACCAAGCGTCGTGGAGAGGTAAGATTACCACTAGTTATTGTCTCCAAGTGCACCAACGCTAATGAATCGTTACTGTTTCCGATATAGGCCCCTCAATTCGAGGAGCCGGTTGTTCTGGGCTCGGAGCGAAAAGGTGTCAGCGTCCAGTCTGCCTGTTTGTCGGTACGTTCCTGCTTCGCTGTAGCATTAACACTGGGGATCCTGGCATGAGCCGCTCCTCACAACTACGAACTTGTTGTAGATTTCAAAAGACATGCTGGACAACTTCAACTACGCACTGGTGTGGGGCACGAGCACGAAGTACAACCCGCAACGTGTTGGCAAGGAGCACTTGCTACACGATGAAGATGTATTGCAGGTCATCGTTAAGACAGCTAACCAGCAGAAGCGTGACAAGAACTACAACCAGAAGGTGCAGGCGTACTTTGACAAGTACAAGAAGAAGAAGAAAGCGCTCAAGACTTAAGGTTGGACGCAAGCTTGTGATTTGAATGGATTTGAATGCAGCAGTGCATTTGGCACCACAAGAAAAGCAGTGGAACAAATAGATGTCGCTCGTTACAGCTACAAACTATTCGTTGTTTTCCCCCGTTTCTTCTCGGGTATTTTCTCCTGCGTTGCAGTTCGTGGTAGGCGTTTGACTGGCAAACACATCATTCTCTTCATGCTGGGTAGCATACCCATACAGTTTCTTGAGGCGCTTTGTAATGCGCTCCAGCGTTCTGGCAAAACAAACTATCAGTACGGGATAAACTTGACGACATAAACGCAATGCACCACTCACTCTTGTTTCATGGGTGGGTAGATAGCATCAGCACTCTCCGATTTACCCATAGTTCTCTGAACGTGCTCCAGAACAAATTTCCAGTTTGCGATAGGCTTTTTCTTCGTCGGCAGTGAAGACCTAAAATCAAACACATGACAAAAGGTTAGAACTATCCTAGGCCCCAATTCATGACGGAGCCTACCAGCAACGCTTGTCGTAGTCATAGTCAATAATGCCTTGCAGCGCCTTTCCGTTAGCAGTGAGTAAGGACTCCACGAAGTGATCGCCAAAATGACCACCAGTACGGGCGATACTGAGCAGCGTAGCCGCAGAAGGAGTATCCTCATCCCGATTCTCACTGCGGGCAGTCCGTTTTCGCTTTCGTGACGAGCGGTGCAGGGCTTCAGCAGCTAGTGCGACCATGGGGCGTGGAACTTGTGCAAACGGACTCTCTTCAGGCGCGTCGTGCTCACTTGAGTCGGGGTTTGATTGCCGAATTTCTGTCAGAACTTCGTAGTCCTCCAAAATCTCTGACGGATCCTGTGAAAAACTGCAGCAACAACATTAGGGCCCTTGACGCAGTATAATAGAATGAGAGGATTAAACCAAACTCACTTGGTAGTGCGCAGATTCCGAATGTGTTGTGGCCACCGAAATTTCCTACGAAGAAAACAAATTCCAATGAGATCGCCGAGCCTAACGTCACTGGAAAGCTAGAGAAATACTACAGGTTAGCTTACCGTGCATACTCATCCAAGTGCGTAGTAGCGAACTCTAGCGGCGGTCCAGAAAGCTTCACTCCCCGACGAATCGCCGTTTCTTCAATGAGAGGAACGCGCGAAAGGATATTTCGCAGCACGAACTTCGCTTGTGCGACATCACTGTCACAAACCGCCTCATTATTTTCATCTTCTGTTTGCATATCCTCGTTTTCCCATTCGCCTCTACGCCATTCCTCGTCACTGTCCTCGACAATTTCATCCCATTTTTTCGTCGACATTTGGGCTCCCTTAGATTCTTCATCCTGTGGTTTCCAGTCCTCATCGTCCGTGTCTGAACCAGCAGCCTCCTCTTTCACTTCATCCATCTCTGCTTCAGTGCCATCTTCATCTGCTTCTACCTTCACCGCGTCCTTCGTGTCAAGTGGCCGAGCCTCTTCTAACTCGCTGTCCTCGCCACTACTGCCGGACACACTCATTCGCTTCAAGCGTTTCAAGCCTTTAAAGCCCCTCTTCTTATCCTTCTTTGCTGAGTGATATTCTTTTGTCTTTGTGGCCTCCTTCTTTGTCGCTACACTCTTCTTAGACGGGCTTTGCTTTATGCGAGGTATTTCCTCCTCTGACTCGCTCTCCTCGCTGCTGCCGGGGTCGGATGCGCTCGAATCCTCGTCACTGCTGCTAGAATTGCTGATCGCAACATCTTTAGTTTCCTGGACGCGTGGTTTCTCTTCTATCTCGCTGTCATCCTCACTGCTGCTAGTGGAACTGGAGCTGCTGTCGCTTTTTCGCTTCTTGTGCTTCATTTCTACCTCTGATTCGCTGCTACTCGCCTCGTCGAAACTGGAGTCACTACTCTCCATATTGTCGCGATTCACTTCGCCATCCGCTGGCAGCTGCAGCTTGAGCTTGAACGGGCCTCTCCTCATGGCCATTGTCACTGCGAATCGACTGCTGTGTACACCACACCAATTGTCCGTTATGCTTGTCAAAAACAGAAAAAAACGGTTCGTGGGCATTGCTATGGCTTATCTGGGCGTGAAGCGCGGCGAGCTGGCGCTGTTCGACGCCGAGGGGCGTCCAGTCTCTCCACCAACGATACAAGGCGGCAATAGTCATGTACAGGTATTGCGTGGAGGATTGCGCGCGGAGCTCCAGCCACTGGGACTCACGCTGCTTCAGCGTGCCGGCATCCAGCGCGGTGACGCTTTCGTGCTCGTGCTGGACAACGACCGAACGAGTGTGGCCTGTATGCTGGCAGCCATGCACCTGCAGTGCGTTTGTGCGATTGTGGGCAAGAGCCGCGTGGCGCTGTTGGAACATGTTAAGACTCAAACGGGCATCACAAAAGTGCTCACAGTGGACAACTTGACCGAGTCCGTGAGCGTCCAAAACGACACCAACCCACAGGCTGCGACGATCATGATCCCGTGGCTCCAAGAGAGTGAGATTGCCAAGAGTGGTTGCGTCTGCTTACTCACATCTGGCAGCGTGGGCGAGCCCAAGGTCGTGCCTTGCACTTGGGAGAACATGCTGCTGCAAGGCGAGTCCACACATCAGCAACTATTCCCCAAACATCCAGCACGCATCATCTGTGGGACGTCCATCTCTCACGCCTTCTCTATTAACACCATCTTCGCATTGTACACGTCTCCGTACGACGCGCAGTCGGAACTCTGCTTCGCCTCTAGCGCTGTGGGACTCTATACGCTGCTCACGCAGCGCAGTGATCTTCTCACGGCGCTCTACGCAACGCCTGGAACATACACCGCACTCGCCGCGATGCCGCCGACTGCGCTGTATGCCGACGTTCCGTATTGCGCTGGCACACGCCTCTCTCTTACTTTGTTTCACAGAATGCGCGACGACTATGGATTACACTTGATGCAGAACTACGGCTCGACAGAGATGGGAGATATGGCAGCTTGGTATCTGCATGGAAAAAGGTTTGACGAAGAGTTGAAAGAGATGGAAAGTAACGAAAAGCAGCTGTATGTTGGCAGCGTTTGGCCTGGCGTGGAGACTCGAACGAAGGACAACGGTGAGGTCACAATGAAAACCCCGTGGCAGTCTCTTGGGTATGTCAAAGAGTGTGTGCTGCACCGTTTAAACGGTGCGCACCATACATCTGACCGTGGGATCATTACGCAAGACAAACACGGAGTTGATTGTGTGTGGCTTCAGGGTCGGCTTCGCCCAACAGTCGAGATCGAGTGGCAGGACCAGCGCACAACATACTCGCCTAATGAGATCGAGGGGATACTTGTTGCGCACCCTCATGTGACAGATGCTCTCGTTCTGATCCAAAGTGAGGTGAACCGCAAACAAGGTATCATCCGAGCCCGTGTTGTCCTGGAAGACGGCGCTGCTTTTGATACATCGGATTTGAACCAATGGTGCGCTGAGCACGACTTACCGGCTCTGCGAGACTCTCTGGTTATCGAGTTGGCAACGTTTTTGCCTTGCAGCCCAGCCGGAAAACTCATGTACACCTGATCAACTGTATTGCAAAGCACTGTAACATGCCCACACTGCCAAGCCAATAAACCAAAGTGGATCTGAATTATGAAGAACGATGACAGGCATGGGTGGCATGTCAAACACGCGATTGGTGCAAACCTCCGTCGAGCTTCATCCTTTCAAAACCATCGTGAATAGATGAGCATAGAAGACCAGCAGTTGGCCACGAGAAGACAAACATAAGCGATTGAGTATTGTACTGTATGCGGCAAAAAATTGCTCATTCGATCAGCTGGTAGTTTTGAGTAGCTGGCGGCAAATTAGTATAGCGAGGAAATGTCTTCACTAACACCACGATCAGCTTTTTTTTTTCTCGTAGAATGCTGTACCAACTTGCCATGTAAAACAATTATTCCTGATGCACAATCCGTGGTTTTCTGGCACTTCTCATCTTGATTTTCTTGCTTGAGCTCCTGCTTCTTTGTGTGGGCGAAAGTGAGAAGGTTAGTGTGCGTTGCCTAATACTTAAGTAGATCCTACGGCCTGACTAGAGTGCTCACTCCGCGCATCATAGCCGTGACAAAATGCACATAAGACATAGCTCTGAAATTATCGCATCCCGACATCTCCAAGGTGTAGCTCAAGAAAGTATCACTAAAATTTCCAGGCTGATGTGTTGGTATTTAAGCATAAAATGACAAAACACCACACCGAATCATCCAATCCTGTAGGCACTTTACCATGAGCGCATTTGCGCACCTTGTCTTTAACGTCTTTGCGTAGAAGAATTTCCTGCTGAAGTTATGGCACTTCGGAGTATTATGACAAGCACTTTCATTAAGAGTTGGTAACACACACAACCATGAGGCTGAACATGATATCGTATAAATGTGGTATTGGTGCACGATTACTTAGGCTTCTGACAATCGAGGTCAAGGCAAAACACAACATGGACTGCTTCGAATCTTACATCTGAACGACGTGTAGGGCCTTCTCGTCGCAGAGTGCAATGCAGTTAGGTTCCGTTGGAGACCACCGGATCTGGTTGATAGGTTCGTCCGACTTCAATAAGGTGTAGCAGGTACCCTCAACGCTATCCCCAGAACTCGTCATTGGGGCGCAGATGTCGTATACGATTGCAGTGTTGTCTTCACCAGCACTACAGAGATCGTACCGTGAGTGCGGAGACCATGACATTGAGTTGACGCCTGCTTTGTGTTGGTCCAGCTCCGCCATTGGGTAGATGGGACGACGAAGGTCGATCACGGAAATCTTGGTGCTATCGTCGGCGAACGTCGCAATAAAGTGGTCATCCCGTTTGTTCCACGCTAGTCGGAGAAGGGGTGCATCTTTTGGATCTTCGTACACGATGGTGCTTGAAGCCAATGATCTGCATCATTCGAAAACGTTAGTCACGTTCAGAAGGAACTCAAAGGCACTAGTTGCTCACCTCAAGTCAAATAATCGCAGCGAACCGTCACCTCCTACCGAAGCAAACTTATTTGGGTCACTACTTGAGAATGCAATGTCGTAAACCTCTGTGTCATGCGTAACAATTTGGTGCTTAGGCGAAGTTGGTTGCTACAGCATTACAAGTGTCAATCATGAGTCGTCTACGCCAATCTGACAGTTTTAAATACATTCTAGAGCGTACATTGATGTCCCAGATGGTACACGTAGTGCCTGTGCTGGACGTTCCGATAATGTTTGGTTCCACCTCATTCCAATCGAAGCTGGTGAGTGGCGCACAGGCGTCATTGTTATTCTTTTTCTGCAACAAGAATGTCCTGGTAAGGCATAGCAATCATCAGCATCAACTACGATCTAGCACAAACCTCTGTGAATCTTGAGTGCAGCTCAATGGACGAGTCTGAGATTGTCCACAGCCGCAAAAAGTCGGCAGTAGTTGCTAGCAATTCCACGTGCGAGCCGAGCGAAGCCGGTGACCACATGATCTTGGTGGGTGGGTACGGATGGTCGATCTCCAGTGCGGAGACCACCTCCTTCTGGTTCGCCGTCGGGTGAAAGATCTGCGTAGTTTAAGATAATTAAGTAAAAAGCGACAGAATTTAAGGAAAACAATTTCATGAAGTAATACCTCGATCTTGTTGGCGTATTCGCCCGGGATGAAGGTAGAGGCGGCAATTCGCAGCGAGCTCAGGTCTGGCCTCCAGCAGAGCCCATACAAACGATCCCGCGTCGGGTATGTGATGAAGGGACGGTCACAGAAGACCGAGCGCTGGGGCGTCGCCATTCCTTCTTGTTGCCGATTGACCTTCTTGCACTTTGACACGAAAATAATGAAAGACTTATTTTCGGGTCGAAATTAGTAGCACCCAATCATAGCGCAGAATTCAAAGTTGAAGTGGTTACACCTTTCAATTCGTGGCGATGGCGACGACGCAGCGACCTCGGCAGTCGACGCTCCAGCGAAGAAAGCGCTCGCCTCGCCCTGATGTGGAGACAACCCGTCTGCCATACCTGAGAGACGCGGCGCTGCGGTTGAAGGACAGTCGGCACCACGTGGAACCTGGGGCTTGGACGGCGCCGATAATCGCAGAGGAGCGACACGAAAGTGAGCAGAATCCATCGGATACCACGAATAGACCATGTATTGGAGCACAAGGCAAGAAATTGAAGGTGAAAAGAGCTAACAAGTATGCTCCACGACTCTCGCCAGGTCTTAAATACAGCAAGTTCCCTGAAGATGATTCAGTGGGATGTGTACCAAAGCTACCGGAGTTAGATGAACGAGTTATAATTTTATATCATTCTTCACTTAAACGTGCGTGGAAACAGCAGCAGAAACAACTGAAAGACACTAGGAAGACTCCTTCGTTGACTCACTATGGTCATGAAGCCATTTATGCAGCTACCCAGATCCAGAAGATTGTGCGGGGTGTAATAGCTCGCAGAGAGTGGCGAGCATTCTATTGTCTACGGAATCAGAGCGCAGCAGCAAGGATTCAGTTTGCATATCGACGCACTGTGGTGTGTCGGAGAGTGCTTGCGCGACTGGCAAAGAAGAGGAATGATCGAGCTACTCAAATACAAGCTTGGTATCGAGGGCATCAATGTCGCGATCTGCTGCTTTATCAGCACATTCGAGTCATGAACCAGAGAATCGCCAATTTCCAGAAATATATCCGTGGCCGACGTTTATGGCATATTGTGATGGCGATTGTACATAAGCGACGCAGCGATTTAGCTACAGAAATTCAACGCTGCTATCGAGGGTGGAAAGGAAGGCAACGTGCGGTTGCGATTCGATTTGAACAAAATCGATACCTACGGGAACTAATTCGAGAGAGCGGAATCCATGCCCAGTGTTCAAGATGCAACGGCTGTGAGTTGGACAGCTGTACTGAAGATTCGCTCTTTGCATGCTTCATGGTACGTTATGTGGGTCTTCACGACTTCAAAGGAGCAAAAACTCTTTGTGAAGAGGGTTTGCGGCTTTTTCCGTCGTCGGCCAAGTTCGTTTTTTTCTATGCGATTCTTTTACAAGCCATGGGTGAAGATATTGAGACCTTCATGGTGTTTCTGAAACGAGCAAAAGAGATCGGCATCACCAACGACGAACTATCTGTGGTACGAATTGATTCATTATCTCACGTGTGTCGGAATTGACCAGAAATGTGACCTTTGTTGTTGTTATACTGGTAGTGCGAGACCCATTTCTTCCAACCTGCTCATTTGCTGCGTCCCGATGATGCTCAAGCGTTCCTAGATTTGGCGATTCTGTGCCAAAGCCGTGACCAGCTACCTCGAGCAGAAGCACACTACGCGAAAGCGCTGGCCCAATTACCTAAAGACTATGTCATTCCTGGCTATCTGCATCGCGTGAATATGTTGGATCGCATGCTACTTAACTACCATCGATTCTGCTCGATCTTCAACTTCCGACAAGTCAATGTGCTACAGAAGGAAGTCTTCACAGCAAAAAAGGGCAAGAAGGTCCGGCTAATGGTTTCGAAGCTCAATCACTACACCGCAATAACCCCTATGGACAGTCCAACAACCTGTCGTATTAACGCTCTTTACTTGACGGACGATGAAGCTCTCAGCATTATGAAAATATCAGACAGTGGAGATGAAGACAGTAAGGAGCTTAAAACTGGAAATACGCCCAAATACGCCGGAGCAAGGAGGAGAAGCAGTGTGAATGCCTCAATGAGGCAGCAAACCCATCGCTCGGCATCGAAAGAAATCCCAGAACAAACGCCACGGATGTTTTCAAAGACAACTGCGATAACCCAGATTTACCAGCAAGAGATTGTTGGGTTAAATGCCAAGCCAAGCGATCTTGCACAATTTTCAGAAACGCGTTCAAAGCTTCGACTATCCAAAACAAGTGCTGAGTTTCTGCTCAATGCCTTAGTTTTTGTTGATCCGGTCGCAAGCGAAGCCGAGCCATCGTACCAAGCATACAAAAGCCAAGTCGTCCATAAAGTAATGCTGATCCCGTCCATACTAAAACGTCGACAGCAGCACCAGAGCGCTATGGTTTGTTCGCGAGCAGCTATTGATATTGAGAGGGTGTATCGAGGATTTCGACTCCGAGCTGAGGTTCGGCGGGAACGATTTCTTAATGCTATTAGGCAGAAACAGGCAGACGAAATGTACCGCCAACTTCACGAGAATTACATGCTTCGAGAACTGAGGCGTTCTAGTGCTGTAGCTATCCAGAAAATTTACAAGGGATACGCGTTCCGAAAGCTGCTTCGACTGTGGCAAATCCAGGCAGGCGAAATCCAACGGATCTTCCGCGGCTACCGTGGCCGACTGAGAGCTGCAGCATTCCGTGATGGGACTTGCACATTCTACATGGCACAGCGGGTCTTTCAGCGAGGAGTGAACATCAGTGGACATCGTGTCATGCTCATCATCGAAAAGGTTCGAGTTTACTTTGTTGATTTTCCCGCTCAACCGTTGCTAAATGTCTGTGTTTGTAGTGTGGTCTATCATTTCGACTGGATGGCTACGATCTGGAATCGTGCATCACTTACAACGGATTCTTCTCGCATTCGAGCTCAATGAATCTCATGTGTTATCTCAATTGGACCTACGCTGATTCGCTATGTGGACGAGAATTTACTCGTAAAGGCGACAAGATCTCCATTCGCAGCGTGTCTTCAATCAATCGCTTAACAGCTGAGTGCTTCGTTCTCTGCGTCGGAAGCACATTATCAGACTTGATTGTTCCTCTTGCAGACTGTATCCAAGCCATAAATTTGCGAAATTTCAGTGCTGGAGACAAGGAAACACCACTATTACCGTTGCCGATGACGGTCGACGATACTGCGCGGCTTGTTGAGGCCATAGCAGAACGTGTGATCTTGGTCCCAGCGCTTCGAATGGCTACGCAAGACCTCAAAGCAAAGGCTTCAGCTGGCTTCACCATTTCAGTTCAACCCCCGCCGAACATGCATTTCACTTACCAACGGAAGCCGAACTTCAGGAGTTCGAGACCTCATGCCAACACCTCCAGTTCGTCCGCGCTTCAGTTTGTATACCCTGTTACTGATGGTCTGCGAGGTGTGAGCATTGGAACGAAGCATTTCCGAAAAAAATGTTCACGACACGCTGTTCAGTTTACTCGCTGCCGCTGTTTGTTGCCTATTATCTCCACGTCAGCACACATTGAAGCTATTAGCCGAGCACTCGCACCACCATCGAAATCTTCAGAATCATAAAGTCGTTTATTTATCATCGTTGGTGCCGGACGATATTGGAGTTACTGGCATAAAGTACCGGTGTATGGCATCTCGAAAGCGTTTGCCATAAAGGCCCGGTTCTATAATGGTAGGAGACGATTGTCCAGCGATCATACCGACAGACTTGCCGACACTCTCAACTCTTTTGATTAGATCGAATTGACGCAGGTAGTCAATGATACCAGCGGTCATTTCCGATGGATCCTCCTCCTTCTCTCCAGTGTCGCCTTGTCGATAACTTAGTCCCATAACCATCGAGTAGTCCACGATGTTGATCGAGTAGAGAAATGCAGTATCGTTCTCCACCGCCTTCAATATAAACTCGTGGTCCTCTGCTAGCACACCCACGGGGTGGCCTTTGGTAAACTCCAAGAAGTTGCCGTCCAGCAGTACATGGTTACTGGTATCATTTTCCGAGGTAGGTCGCGGCTTGGCAAACCGGTTCCGAGAGCTTCCCTTGAGATCGTAGGTCCGTGTGAGCTGCTTTTGGTAGAACGCATTTTCCATGACACAGATGTATTGCACCGTCTTCTGTCCGGAATCCTTTCGAGTAATGGTAGTCTGGAAAAGCCCGACAGTCTTTGATAAAAGACTGGCTCGTCCGTCAAAGTAAATACTCGCCATGTATCTGAAGTAGCCTGGGAGGCATCCCAAGAAACTCTGCATTTCCTTCGATGAGATGTGCTTGATAACGAAGCGGTCGTCTAGTGTTCGGTAGAAGGAGGCACCCGATTTTCCGCCATTGGCATCCCAGTTTGCCACGTGAGATATTGAAAATGCAAAACTCTGCAGACTCCCGTAGAATAATTCACGTAGGACTTCAAACTAACCAGTGTCAACATCAACGTCGTCAATCTGCAGTTCAAATCAGCAGATACAGCAAGAATGAGCTTACCTGAAGTGGGTAATATGCTATCGTCGATAATTCCCAGCACGTATTCGACGCTGTTGACGATGTGTTGCCTGGCAAAAGTGACAAGTGAACCGGCATTTCCACTGCAGCGAACTTGAACGGTACATTCAGCGTTGTTTCAAGAGCTGCCCGTGACCAGTTCGTGCTTGCACCATCAAAATTTTGCTTCTGCGCAGCAACTGACTCGACCCCTTCACTATGGACACGAAGTTTCCATCCGTCCAACTCCTCTTCGTAAGAATCTGTAGATAAAGCATACGCAACACATGTGATCGGTTTTGCCTCGTTTACCAGCACTACGCGGGATTTTGATCGTTGAGGTAGGCTTGGATGCCCTGCGATCAGTTCATCAGGAAGATCTATGGTGAAGTCACTTCCAGGTTCAGGTCGGCCGAGAACGCGGTAGAGATCCAATAACGCATCTTTCCAGCCTGGTCGTGAACCCTAGAATGCAATATTGCGTTAACCTCGTAAGATAATGGCAGCCACAGCAACAGTATCGCCGTAATACGCACCTCTTTTCCGTCCCCAGTGTTGTAAGCACCACTGGAGAACGGCATCGATGATCTTTTGGATGACTCAATGTTTCCGATAGTTGATGCTGATGATACTGCACTTCGCGTGGTTGCTTCTGACTCGGTCACAGAGCTAAGAGCACCGCTACTTCTTCGTCGAACGAGAGGTTCAGCACCTTCACCCCAATCGGGCTCCTTAACAATTGCGCTGGGGGTCATGGTGGATTCTTCTACGACCCGTGGGGATGCCATTGGCGACAGAACAGCAGTAGGGTGAAACGTGACGCCCCCAAGTGTGAACGAGCCACTATTTGGAGCTGGTGGTGCTGCCTCCGTCGATAGATGCCTCTTAATTAATTTGCGAAGTCGAAGCATGCAAGTAATCCACTTGCATGCCATCAAATACAGTGCACGTTGGGTGGCGTCGCAAGCCCCCAAACTGTTTGCAGGCTCTTTTCCCAATTGCGTTAATTTATGTGAAATCATTGCGTCACCACTTCGCACCATTTTGGAAATACACATAACTTCGAGAATGATTCGAGCGTGATGATGGTCCGCATCAGTGCGCTCGAAAGCCCCCACAGCCAGATTGATTCCTTGCACTTTATCGGTAAAAGACTTAATAAGCGACTTCAAGAGGCCCTTTAACCTCTCCAGACGAGCAGTGACTTCTTTCTCCACAATCTCTTGCTCAATGTTATTCCAAGACTGCTTTGAGCGGAGAGTATTGGTACTGCGCTTCAAATCGATATGACCAAGACGAAGTGACACCTGCTTTTGGAAATCGAAACGTGCCACGGAGTTGCCGATGTTGAAGAAAAGAACGTGTGACTCCATAGAGGTATGTGTACACGTTGCGGACGGTGATTTAGGCAGCACTGACCCTTCTGCCTCAGAAAAAAGGACTTCCAGGAATCTTGCAAACGAGTACTTGTAAATATACTTCTCCAACGGAATAAATGGCGAAGTGACACCTTTGCACTCGCGGCACCATCGCCAAAAAATCACCGTTGGATATCCTTTTTCCGCCGCCATCGCAGTTTCGTCTTCATTTCCAGAAGTTTGCGAGAAGGAGTTTGGTGTCATCATCGCCAGTAAGTTGATATCTCTCTCGGAGCCCATCGTGAAGGACAGCTCGCTAAAAGATCCAAACGATTTATCAGTCGCCCCAGTGTCGCTCGCTTGGCTCATGGACATGGACAAAGACTGTTTGTTTTTGTCCGGTAATTCCTCGAACGAAATTGTGATCGTTCCTGTTCGGCAGCTAAACGAGTGAACGTGATCTGCCATTAAATGGTTGCATTTTACATTCTAGAGATGAATACAACAGAACAAGGCGTTCGTTGGTTAATAACAAAACGAATCTCCAGCAAACAAAACCACGTACCTGGCACTTTAGAGAGAGGGCTGCCAACTCTTGGTTCAGAAAATTCCCGAACGAAACATCCTCATCCGAGCAAGCTGTAATACGAAGATGCTTGGCTTCAACGCATTGATGGTAACGAGGGTTTGGAGATCCAGGGTCGCGGATACGTAAGGTTGATGTTGTGCACCAGGTTGTGTGTTGTTCCTCTGTAAGTTTCGCTCTGACGTTCTTGTTCAAATCCAGGTCGGATAACACATGAGCTTCCAACAGTAACTGATACGTCATCGATAGCACTGTGCGCGTTAGCTGCTTCAGTAGCCTCAATGTATGCTTTGACGGACCAGTAATCAGCACTGTGCAGCCATTAAGCGGGTCACATCCGTCAAGGTACAAGTATGTGTCGGTTCGCAAACGACTTGGCACCGCTGGTGCTTTCATGAACACTCCAGCAAGCGCCTGCAACGATTTTTTCGCTGGTGACAAGCCTTCGTCCGGAACCACAGGGATCGACTTGACCAAGAACGAACGGCAGGTGCCAATTACCTTTGCAGGGTCAGCTTTATCCACATGATCCACAGATGTCAAAACGTCAGCCCCAGTGTGACGTGCAATTCGGTGCAGCATTTCACTCTTGACATTGAGCACGATCGATATTCGGCGTTCACACAACAGCTCTTGTGCATATCGCGAGACAGTTTTCTCCACAAAAATGACATCCGGCTCCAACGCAGATATTTTGTCGACCAATATGGCCATGTAGCTCTTTTCTTGCTCCAGTAATGTATCGAGTGAGCTCATACGCCCAGTTCCGTTCGAGCGGTCGTAACTTATTCCACACGCAAAAAGTAAAATGCGCGGATTCGCAACCTGTCGCGCCATTTGTTTGTGGCTCAGGTGCTTGTGGCATACAGTTCCAGCTAGCCACTTGAAATTGTAATTTGGCTCCTTCTTGCTTGTCTGAGCATCGGTAGCCATAGCAATGCTCTTCACTTTGACGAGATTCGAGTAGTTAAAGCCACTTGGAGAGCGGAAATTCATGCTGAAGAGTAAATGGCCCGTCACGACAAAAGCCATGTCTTCCAGCGTCAGAGCCAGTTGATTCAGGTCAATAGACTCAGACTCTGGTAAGCTGTCTGACAGAGCGGACACCGACTGTTTGATGCCATCGCGAATTTGGTCGTGGGCGCTTTGCTATACGCACACACATAGATAACGATAACATAAGTGGTTATCAGTCAGTCTTAGTCGTCAACATTGTACGCATAATTTCACCGTACCATGTACATGTCCAGCGCAATTTCTCGTTGCGTATGAAGGTTATTACTGTTGTGCGCTGCAAGTTCCCACCGTGTCTCTTCAGGAACAGTTGAAATCTCTTTTTTAGGAGACGATTTCTTTCGCCCCTGCTTAAAAGCCAGCACTTCGGCTTCCATAAGGCCACCACTTTCAATCGCATCTAAAAGTTCCGCGCTGGAATGTCTCCTCCTGGTCCGCACTCGAGGGCGAAACCTCTGCTGCACTTCTACACTGTCCGATTCCTCGAATAAATCTACCGACTCGGTTGTGGCGCTCATTGGGTCTGCAGGTTGCTCTAACCCAGCAGGATCACTTGAATTTGAGTCGACTGGCGATAACAGCGCCGGTGCTTCATTTGGATCAATTGGTGGACCAAAAACAAGCGGTGATGGCTTTACAGCGCCAAGTTCTCCACTCAGCCGATGCGATGACCTGTCAAACCGATTGGAGAGAGAATCTCTCGACGTCTCGTTTCCATCCAAACTTTCAATCGAGTGCCGTCTCTGATCCTTGTTTACTGCTTTCTTTTTTCCAGCGGCGTCTGCGAATTGGAAACAGAAAGTGCACACTCGAACGACGCCAGGAAACCCGTGGGGTGTTCCATCGACGAATTGGTTGCTGCACTCGTAGCAGAAAATTTGTCCGCAGAGTCGGCAATGATGACGACGTCGGAAAAGTGAGAACGCTGCAGAACAATCATAGCATACCTGTAATATAGTACACAATTCCCTTAGGACAAACACCAAGCAGTCCTCAACAACATCCAAACACCCGACGCACCTTGCAGAGGTGATCTGGCATCCAGTACTGATTGCCAGCCGACATGGGCGGAGGGCGTATCTTCACAGGAGACGCTGACAATCGACGGCAAAATCAAAGTAAACCAGTAACCGCTTAGGTTGTCATTACCCCCCGACAGTAACTGCAGTTGTGGCACATACCGACAGCTTTTGGAGTCTCAGAGCTAACAGCATTGCTGTCTGGTTCCTGCAAAGACAACAAAATAGCAAGAATCTGAGTTAATAGAAATTCCTATAGCATATATGTGTGGAGCCATGCTACCTATAGAAGCAAATTTACTGCTGACCTGAAAAGTGGGAGCCAAGAACCCGGGCACCGGGAACGTTGTCAAGCTGAGCAATAATAACGGGAACCCCAAACCGCATTCAGAAACAGACCCACTTGGATGTCATCCACTCGAGTGCGCACCGTGAGGGATCTCGATCCAGACGCTGATGCGGCATCGACTGCACGCGCCGCTCCGCGTCCGCCATCTTCGCGTCGCGTCGAGAGTAAAAACCTCTTGATTTTTCTTGCGCTTGCTCAGCTTCAAGTAATGATTTCTCTACCACCGCAATTATCTTCGGTGGTTGTGTAATCAGGGTTACTTCGAAAATACCCCTATTTTGTTTAAGGTTACCATCGGTACGACCCTTGTTTTGGGCACCCAAAGAAATTCACAGTTTGGCCACTTGAGGTCGCATGAGTTTGCCGAGTGCTTAGTAACAATTTTTTTATCGTTGAACACAATTGAATTTCTATTCAGGAAAACTAACTAACGTGAACACGTTTACTGGCATCGTTTCGCCAGTTCTTGTAGAAACTCCGTGCTCACAACGTGACTTCCTTTTTGTTCACAATCTCCCCCTCCCTTAAAAAATATGAAAAACAGACCCAGGGACGAACAAAAGTGACTGTTGCAAAAACATTTTGAAAATCCACGCAGCTCCATTTAAATCTGAGTGCTAAATATGAGTCAATGTTTTTGCCCCAAATATTAATACTCTTACAATTATTTTTATAGTCAAAAAAAAAAACTAAAGCCGCATGTAAATAATTGCGCAAGAAAAATTTTTATATTGTTTTTTACCATGATGCAACAGTGAATACCGGTATGTACCGGTATATACTGGTGGAACCGTTTTTCGCATATCGGTACCAAAAAACAGAAACGGTACCGGTAAGCCGGTATTTTCGTGATTCCGACAAATAGAAGTTGTGAACTCGCTGTATGATCGCCAACATCAGCATGGTGCTTGGCAAGTACTGTTTCGATGAGGAGGCTTTTTCGGGGGAGATATTCGAGGTGGGGGCATTCCTGGAGGACTGCCGTACACACAGCCCAATGGAGACCATCCATCAAGACCTGAAGCAGTTCCAGACGGCGCTGGAGAACCAGCTTGTTGCCATCATCAATGAGGACTACGCTGAGTTCCTGCAGCTCTCGTCCAAACTCAAGGGTGTGGATGAGGCAGTCTCCAGTGTACGCGCACCCATCTTGGCGGTACTTAAGCGAGTGGACGAAGTGCAGAGTGCTATGGTGGGTAACCATTGGAAACGAGATCGGCTGCAGGGTTCCTTAGGCTGACTGCATCATGTGTTGCGTAAATATATTAGGCCGCGCTGCAGAATAAGATCCAGTCTCAACTACAGACGGCGGAGGATCTGCAAAAGCAGGAGAAAGACCTCCAGCTTAGCATCCAGATTTCGCAGAAGTTGCTATTGCTTGAAGATCTACTGGAGATCGAGTCACCGGCGGATAGCGATGACGAGGAGCAGAGCTTGGGTAAGGGTGGACCTATCGTCTCGGACGAGGACAGTGAAGACGAATTTGAGAATTTTGATCGAGTGAAGAAGAGTCTCAATGCCACGAGTGCGGCCGAGGGCTGTGCGAAACTGGAGCGAGCGGCACAAATTTTTGTCCAGTTGGATCTCGAGTTCATGAACGCTATGCACCTTAGCATGATTCAGGTAGACAGGCATTAGTCGTGTAGTTTGCAATGTGGGGAGTTCTGACTGTATGTTTGCACTGTGTGGTGTAGAAGGAGGAGAAACGTCTTGCAGTTATTGAAGAAACGCTTCTGCATCGACTGGAGACAGAATTCGCGACTGAGATCTTTCCCGATACATTCTATAACCGCGACCACGCCATCAGCGCGCTAACGTTGAGCTACCTGTTACGAGCCTACGTACTGCTTCACAAAAGTCATATTCCCGAAGAAATGATTGGACGTCTGCTAGTCCAGCCGTTTGCTGAGGAAAATTTAACACGGGGTAAACTGGACGGTAGAGTCCGCGGCTCCTGTGAGGGTCTGCCTCAGATCTATGAGTCCATTTTGGACTTCATTACCAGCAAATTCGCAGACACCCTTGCGCTATCCGTTTGTCAGGGGGAAAGTAAATGTTCAGTGGACATTCTCGGCAACGCAATCTGGAAACCTTTGCAGGAGATTTTGTCGTCGAAGCACGGAGTCATTTTTCAAGCTGCAGATCCCGAGCGCTTCCACCAAAGCTACACCATCAGTATGCGCTTTTTGTTGGATATCGAGGAGCGTTTCTGTACGACTGAGATCATGAAGATCCGATTCCGGTCACACGAGAGCGTGGTGGAGTTTAAGGAAAAGTGGAATATCGACGTGTACTTTCAGCTTCGAGCATCGCAACTGGCTTCGAGCTTAGAGAAGTCTTTTGGCGTCAAGCGTGACGAACCAGGTGCATCGGTAAACAGCACAGCAAACTCAGATGACAAGTCGGGCCTAGTTTTCGAGAACTCAAAACGCCTGTGGCAAGCAATGCAAGATTGCTGGAGTGAGCGGGTCTTCCTGGCACCACTGCTTCCCAACTTCTGCAAACTTTGCGTGCAGCTTTTTGCGTATTATATTGACATCTGGAAGGAACCCTTGTTGAATACCGTGGCGGTGATCAATAGTGGAAACAAGGCGGATTTTGCCACTGTGCCGCTTTATTTCCTCTCTACCGAAGAAGATTTATTGTTTGCTGGAAGCGATTTCCATGTGCTATACAAGAAGGTACGTCCTGTCAACGTTTTTGTAGATATCTGACGCCTAACTACTAGTACCTGCTCTAACTGCCTGTGTCCTCTCAGATTTCTCAATATCTTCTCGCTATTGTAAAGACCCATGTTGATACCTTCACAGACGACAGCCAAGCCTTTGTGACCGAATTGTTTCAAGAGGTTGGTTTAATCACGCGTGAATATCGCCATTGTTTGCTGAGAACTGAAAGCGTTTTTTGCTTTGCTGTTTATTGTAGCCGCTTGCATCGTTGGCTGAGCTGGAGGCTAGGTGCTGGTCTACAGCTGTGACGATGGTATCTGCAGACTGTAAAAAGGTCCTTCCAGCAATTCGGTACGTCAGAGTTCATGAATGACCGTGCAATTTAGCCACTTCTTAATATTTTTCTACCTATGCAGCACTGTGAAAGGCCAGTATCAGATGACAAACAAGCCCCCACCAACGAACCCGTCGACCTACGTGGTCAGCATCATCCAGTACAGCTAAATTTTTATTGTTGTTGCTCCTATTGATGACCAGAACTAATCACTACTGCACAGACCAATGCAGGAATTCCTGGAGAAGTGGGGCATGCATTTCGATGCGGCCAAGAAACAGCAGCTGCTGCAAGCCATTGTGGAGGAGGTCTGCGATGTGTACTCGAGTCTGTCGTCGGAGCTATTGAGGTCGGCATTGGAGCTCGAAGAGTCGCTCAAAAGCCGAAAGCTGCAGCGACACTCTGGCTCCAGCTCCACCCTCGCCAACAACACCGTATCCGACACGGAGAAGATGCGAATGCAGTTGCTGCTCGACCTCCAAGAGATCCAACGGTGCGTGGCTTTAAATGCTCCTGCATGTAATAGCTAGGAAATTTTTTGCTGATTCTAGCTGGATTGGATGAACAGGGAGGTGGCGGCGCTGGGGCTGGACGTGAAGCTCTGCAATGGGCTGCAGGTTTCTATCGCCAAGCTGTCGGAGTCAGACAGTTGTAGTTGAAGTTTTCTGATTGGCTGAAATATGTAGTGATGAATGCGATAAATGGTTTTGATTGGACAATAATCTATGGTGACAGTTGAGTGCATCACAACTTGTGACTCGCAAATTGAAATGGAGACCGGCGGACACTGGGGCGTGTCGCTCTGGCGATGGGGCCTGTGCATGACCATGGCGTCGCTGTCTCTGTGGAAAATACTGGAGCTGGCAGTGAATGGTGATGCGTCTTGGGACCGTGTTTTCGGCAAAAAGTCCAAGAAGGAGAAGTATCTGGCCGGATTCCCCGGGTTAGTGGGCAACACACCGCTTATTGAGCTCACCAGTCTGTCCAAGGCCACGGGGTGCAAGATTCTGGTAGGCTCGAGTGAATCCAGTAATGATGCCAGTGCTATAAGAGTTAAATGGAGATATTGCTCTACTTGATGCTGCCAATAGGCGAAGGCGGAATTCTTGAATCCAGGTGGAAGCTCAAAGGATCGAGTAGCGAAAGGAATCGTGGAAGATGCCGAGCGACGAGGCCTTCTCAAGGAAGGAGGAACTATTATTGAGGGCACCTCAGGCAGCACGGGTATAAGTCTGTCGCTAATGGCTCGAGGTTGGTTTATCTGTTTCTTGAAGTCGCACATATCACGGCAGTATGTTGCTAATATGCCATTACGCTGTGAACGTTGTGTAGCCCGTGGATACCGATGCATTATTGTGATGCCCGACGACCAAGCGAAGGAAAAGAGTCAATTACTGGAGCAGTTTGGTGCTGAAGTCGTGTTAGTGAAGCCAGCGTCTATCGTGAACGCCAAGCACTATGTGAACGAGGCCAAGCGTTTGGCACGTAATACAGAAGGTAAGATGCAATGCTTCACTACTGGATGTGAAAAATTAAAACGCTAACCGTCTGGTTGATTTATTATCATAGGAGGATATTTTACAGATCAATTCGAAAACACGGCCAATTTCGATAGCCACTACACCACCACAGGCCCCGAAATCTGGCGCCAGACCGATGGAACCGTGGACGCATTCGTGATGGCTGCAGGTTGGTGTCTGTTGATATATTCGATAACTGCGTCTTGGGTTATTTATGTGTGCATGTGTTGCGTTTGGCTTGAAGGCACGGGAGGCACCATCGCTGGAACGTCAGCGTACCTGAAGGAGAAGAACCCCGACGTCCAGGTATTCCTCGCTGATCCCCCTGGATCCAGTCTGTATAACAAGGTAAACATGTCATCGGAGTAGCTACATTTTGCGACTGTGTTTATTTAACTTGTCGTGCTCCCAGGTTCGAAGTAACGTCTGCTACGCTCCACAGCAAGCCGAGACCAAGGTTCGGCGACACAGGTAAGGAAGGACAACCATATCCTTCAGTGGTGTCGCCTATGCTAAGTTGTTGTCTCTTGCCTGCCAACCGTAGATACGACACCATCGCAGAGGGTGTGGGAATTGATCGCTTGACGGAGAACTTTATGCTGGCTAAGATCGACGATGCCTTCAAGGTGACAGACCAAGAGATTGTGGAGATGTCCCGCTTCCTGCTGCGTGAAGAAGGCATCTTTGTGGGTAGCTCTAGTGGACTCAACTGCGTTGCGGCAGTGCGTGCCGCGCGCAAGCTCGGCCCGGGTCACACCATCGTGACGGTCCTGTGCGACTCGGGCCAGCGCCACCTCACCAAGTTCTGGAACGAGCAGCACATCCGCGAGGACTGGCAGCTCGAACCCACGGCCACACACCTCGAGTTCCTCGACGGCTCCACTGGGCAGCCGTAGGCTAGCAATCCCATTAGGGTCCCTAATGGTTGGCCGTTAACTTTGCGTTCAACTTGGTCGCCCTATCTGATGGGCCGTTTCGAACACGAGATCTTTCCATGGATTTTCTGTGTTTTGATTGGGTAATACAGATCTGTTTGACTGTTGTGATTGGTCGAATCACACGTTGCGTCTTTTCGTGAGGCGGTATCTTGTACGGGAATGACGTTGAAGCGGTGCAAGAAGGTCCCAGTCACTCTGCAACTTGCCCGCCGCCGAACACTTGTACAGCCATGGCAACTTCCACCGCCCCTATTGCCATCCCCAGCGATATTCACCCATTTGCGTCTAACGTGAGTCCGCGTGGTGTAGATCTTGAAGGACGTCTGGATCTGTCTCTCGGTGCGTGCAGTGCTGCGAGTGTCGAAAGATACTTTCGTCTACATCTACTGACTGAGCTGCTGTCTGCCTACAGATGCGCTGATCAAGGAGCGCAGGAAGGAACACAAGCTGCTAAAGAAGGAGGAGGCCAAGAAACTCAAGCAGAAGTCGCAACCCGTAGACAAGAGGAAGACACCCAAACAAAAGTCGCAGCAACAGAAGGTTCCGACTGTGAAGAACGACCAAAAGGCTCAGCGCAAGGCTCTGGTAAACAAGAACCGTGGATTGCCAACTCTACCACCAACTAAGAAGAGCAACACGGCACAAACCAAAACTAAGACGAGCATTGCGGCCACCACGGCGAAACTAAGGCGGCAGATGCGAATGGAAACGGCAAAGAACCGCCCAGTTGGGGCAGCAAAGGGTACCAAGCAGAGCAACACTGCTCAGCAATCGAAGAAAAAGAAAAACGCACCACAGCAGACGCGGAAGGTTTCGTCCCCGACGCGCGTCGTGCAGTCGAAGAATTCCAAGAAATTGCAGACGTCAAAGGCGCCAATGAAGACTCCAGTACGGCAGGTGACCCGGACTACCAACAACAAGACCAAGCTGAGCATCACAATCACAGGACAGAAGAACTCCCAGAAGAAGCAAAAGGCCGCAACGAAGGTTTTGCTCCCAGGAAAGCTGTCCCAAGCTCTTGCGAAGGAAACGTCTGCAACGAAAAAGCTCGTGAAGCGCGTAAAGAACCGGAAGGCGACCACAGCGAAGACCACTCAGATTGTACTCAAAGCACCGGCCAAGGGAAAGAAGCACTGAGCTTGCGAACAAGGCACTCTCTATAATCTGTTTCTCCTGCAAACATGAATAGCATTTTTGTTTGTCCTAACGCGGATGTTGTCGACATCTCCATGCAGCATCTTCTCTATAAGGCTGCACAAACGTATCTTGAGTACTCACTCTATTTGGTTCGCCACCGGTATCACTTTATTCGAGCTTCAATCGCCGAAGCACAGTTTCACGGCCGAGCAGTTCAATCGTATCACCAAGTCCAGCACCGACATCCATGCCCGTCAAGTAGTAACGAATCGGCATCAGCACTCTGCACAATGACACCATGATCGCAGGTGAGATTAGATATGAGCACAATTGGTAGCTAGCTTTTGCAACCTACTTCTTCAACCCCAACTTTCGGCTCTTTGCAACAGCCTTAATACTCTTTGTAATGTGATCCTGCAAAGAAGAACGACGACAAGTATGTGAATTAGCTGACACCATCAGAAGTCAATAGCGGGATCAACATACGACGCACCGGTGTAAATTCTTCATCAGAGAGACTGCGTAGGTTTGCGCAGACATCCGCTACAAGTTCTGGTGTGCTCTCATCAATGTACTTAGCCTTCATATCTTGTGCAATCGATGAGCTGAGATTGGGCTCAGTAAAGAATGGAACACACAGCGGACCGAATTCGGGTAGTGCACTCACGCGTTCCTGGACAGTAAAAAGCAATGTGAGCACGGACTGACAGCTTGATGCATGTCATGACTTGGTATCCTACCTTCATCAGATCCATCGCTCGCCAGACATAGTTCACACCGAACTTATCGATTAGATCAGCGGCAGTGGAGGACACGCCCGCTTCTTCAAAAGAAGACGAACACATCGGTACCACATCATTCACAACAGCTAATTTGTGTTCGTCAGTTGCAGTCTCCTCAGCAAACAGCGCGCGAACGTGACGGGAGTTAATCCAGCGGAGACGATCCACGTTTACAACCGATCCGGCCTTGTTCACGTGATCAATCGAGAACTAAGTGAAAAGGATATGCACGTCAGCATACAGTAATAAACAAATCAAAAACATAGCATTCCGTACGTGCTTCTCCAGCTCCTTCATCTGAAAAATCTCCTGGTTGTTGCCACCGGCGGGATTCCAACCCAAAAGAGCCACGAAATTGACCAGGCCACTTGGGATAAACCCCTTGTTCTGCACACGTAAAAGAGTAAAGAAATCAGTCAATCTCATCGACAGTGCAAAATCTCTGGCTGAAAAAAAGATTAATCAAACCCGGAAATCCTCGACGGCGACATCTCCCTGACGCTTCGACAGCTTGGAGCGGTCTTCATTCAGTAGGAGACCCAAATGTGCCCACTTCAAGTACATAGTCACAATCAGTAAGTAAGTTTCTTCTTAACTATCAGCAAACAGGCGTCACTTACAGTCGGGGCCTCGTATCCCAGTGCCTTGTACAGGATTACATGCTTCGGCGTCGACGGCAGCCATTCCTCGCCGCGGATAACGTGAGAAATGCGCATAGCGTGATCGTCCACCACGTTCGCAAGGTGATACGTCGGGTAGCCATCGCTCTTCATCAAAACTTGGTCGTCAATACCAGCGTGTTCGAACTGCACATATCCACGCAGTAGGTCCTTGACAACCGTCTTGCCCTCCGGGATTTTCAGTCGAACTGTGTGCGGTTCTCCGCGAGCCACTCGCGCTTCCACCTCCTTCTCGTCTAGACCGAGACACGCACGGTCGTACATGGTCGCCTCGCCATGACGGGTCTGAGACTCCCGCAACTTCTGTAGACGCTCACTCGTACAGAAGCAGCGGTAAGCATTCCCACTCTACAGCAAACCAAGATATAGTTAACACACCAAGCACAGTAAAATAGTTAATAGAATATTATTCTACCCACCTCAATCAGCTTCTCGGCGGCCTCCTTGTAGATCGGAAGGCGCTGCGACTGAATGTACGGGCCGTGGGGACCACCAACGTTGGGACCTGAAGCATTAAATACACCACACTATCATAAATCCTTACTATTCGCCATCATAGTCTACTCCACTCACCCTCGTCCTCCTCGACGCCGCACCATTTGAGGCTGTTCACAAGCGCCTCTACCGATCCCTCAACCTGACGCGTCTGTACACAATATCCATACAATGAGCACTGCAAGTCGCCAGGAATGACGATAGAGAAAAAAGCAGCTTTTCATACTTTATCCGTATCCTCAATACGCAGGATAAACTGTCCACCGGAACTTTTGGCGAACAGATAATTGAAGAGCGCAGTGCGCAGACCACCCAGATGCAGGTAGCCGGTAGGACTTGGAGCGTAGCGCACACGCACTGTCGACTCGGAATTGTCTGAATCGGCAGCGTGGGAAGAGCAGCTTCGCAGAGTCAAAGCCGTTGGCCGCAACGGCACACGGCTGCGCAGACGAGAGAGCAGCATATCGACTTGACCAACTGCCAGCCGCACGAAATGCAAAAGTAACGTTTAGAAACCCTATCGTAAATTTAACATTAGAAAAACAAATATTCGGTAATCAAGCACTTCAACTTCTATCGACCGATAGGGTGTTCGTGTCCATCTTCAGCTTTGACAACGACAACCGGAGGCAGAGTCATATTCCACTTTTCCTCAATGCCTCGTTTAATACGTGCGTCGGTGTCATGGTGGCTGATGGTTTCTGCTAACATTTCGTCCAGAAATTCCTTCAGTGTAAAGCTATATGATGCGGCATTCATGGCTTTGGCAACTTCTGTCAGCAGCTCATTCAGCGTCAGCGGACTTAGCGCGTCTTGCTGAACGATACGCGCCATGGCGGGGAATAATGCTGATATCAAAGCTCTTTCTCGAACGCGAAGCACGTAGGCACCAACATCAACTAGTCCACGCCCGAGACAACCATAATCCAGCGTTGCCTCGTTGCAGTCCTCACCGTCGAAGCCGACCACCTCCACGAACGAACCGTAGTCCTTTGGCTCTGGGAATAACCCTTTTTCCGCTTGAATGATACGCAGAAGCACCTTAAGAGCTCTAAGCTGAGTTTCTTTGGGTATAAACGTAGCGTTGTAAGCGCCTTCGTCCTTGCTTCGGTGTGCATGAGTGATGTTCACTCCTCCAAGAATTGGTCGTACGATGTTAATGGCATATGCAAGTAACCGCAATTGAACATGTTCACGTTGCCAAAGCGTAGTCCACGATGCGTCTTCTGGCACTTTATCAAGCGCTGCGTGAGAACTTCGTGCGTTCTGGACGAACTTGAGGCGATCAGCTGCATAGTCCACTGGGTCGGAAGACAAATCAAAGAGCTGGGCATAAGGGTTCAACATGTTCTCAACGCTTTCATCACTGAGAAACAGCGGTGCAGCTAATGCCAGTTCAGTCAGGCGAGGGTGCTTGTAGCCAGGAATCTCGTCATCTACAACCGAGTATCCGTAGGCAATTGCCGCATAGTCGTAAGCTCCGATCGCAGTCATGAAAAAACTATGATTTTCCACTTGGTCCTTCGTCAGATCCGAAAAAATATTCACGGGCAAATAATCCATGATTGATGTTGACATTCCGTGCTCGGCGACGAATGCAGGATCTCGTAGTTGATCACGTGAGTATGCTGAAGAACCGGCGAAGTTGTGACGCAAACCGAGTGTGTGGCCAACTTCGTGCATGACAATATCAGCGAAATGTTGGGCTATGAGTCTCTTAGGAACGAAGCCGCTGTCGTCTCCAGCTACCGAGCTCAGCATCATCCGATCAACTTTGTGTTGTTCTTCGTGAGCAAAACCACACGACCGGCTTCGACCTGTGCGAGCATGCCGGAACTTCTTGTTCGCCTTCAGTACATTTGAGCTCTCTGCATCACTATGTTCACTAGTTTTCGAGGACTGTGGCGGATCTACTGGTGATTTCATGTCGAAATCGACCATGACCTCGTTGAAAAATCCATACTCGAAGACAATATCACTGTGCAAAATCTCTCCAGACCTCGGATCAATTATAGTAGGACCGTAAGCGTAAGTCTGCTCCGAAATCATGACTGAGATGCTGTTGTATCGAAGATCTCCAAGTCGGTAGTCACTCGGCCAGTCGCTGTCTCCTGGAAGCACCGCACGAATAGCATTCGGGAAGCCGATTCGCTCAAATGCGGGGATCCAAGCCTCCACACCCGTAGCAAAGGCTTCTCTCCATTCATTCGGTACGGATGGATCGATATAGTACGTGATAGGATTCTTCGTCTGTTTTCCAGAGCTGTCAAGCTCGAGTTTTCGACGGTGAATGACTGTCATCTGAGGATCCCATCGATGGTAACCATTGCCGTCGCTGAGCTCTTGGTCCGTCAAGCTGTACCGAGTGTAGCGCTTGGAAAAGTAACCCATTCGATCGTCTGCCACTCTTTGTGGCATTATCTTATCTGGTAACAGCCCGATGGCGTAATTGACCTCAATGACTCCAGAGGCAAGCTCATACTCGACGAAGAGCATTGTGTTGCTTGCAAAAGACTCTGAAGGTTTTTCGAGCGCAGTGAAGTCAGACGAAGCAAGCACAGACGACACAAAGAATCCATTCGAGAGGAATAAATCCGACGGAATGTAGTAGGCGTCCTCAGTCTCCGCGTATATAGGTACTTTCGTAATATACCCAGGCCACTGACTTTCGTCGAATATTTGCTGCAGCTCATCAGCTTTGTCTCCATGTAGACTAGCGTAATGATATTCCTGTACAAGCTGCAGGTGCTGCCCGTCAGTAGATAACTCGAAGTGGAAAACAAAATCGTTGGTTTCCAGCAAGATACCACCTCGCTCTACACCAGCAATCACCGGAGCAGCGCGCTTCACGACAGTCGGGTACACGATAAAGGAAGAGTTCCATTGTGCTTTACTGAGGACGAACAGAGCTCTCTCACCCGGGTAGAACTGCACATCAAAGAAGGGTACCACATGACCGTTTTGAACCTCTTCGCCTCCTATAGTTTCCAGACTTCCAATGGGGACTGAGAAACCATCGCCAGTGTCGATGCTTGTTGAATCGGAATGACCTCGCGAAAAGCGTGCAGCAAGACCGATGCTTACCCCCACAAGAACAAGGAAGGACACCGTTAGAATAGTCGTCCTCACTTTTTTCTTTCTTTGGTCAGATTCGAGAAGTGATGCTCTATCGTGTTCCAAAACTTGCTCGTCTGAGGTTTCTGATATTGGATCTCGCGGGGTTCCAAACTCGATGTCAATTTCTTCTTCGCTATCGGAATCAATCCGAAAATGCGGCGAATCAACAACTTTGGCCATGATTTAAACTTCGGAAGTTTGGTATCAAAATGAGGAATGCCAAGAGTGAAATGCCATTAGAGGTCAAGTGGGAGGTGGTTTCACAATGGTCCGGGATAGATCCAAGTCATCGACACTATTCTTGTTGTTGCTGAAATCGGAGAACCAACGAAACCACCACTTGATCAATGTCTTCTGGAAAAGAAGCTGCGATGTCACTGGGTGAACGCTTCAAGGACTCTAGGAATTTCTTCCGGCGCTGATTGAGTTGGGACGCCAGTTGTGCCTTTGGTATACCACGTGAAAGAACAACTTCGTCTTGCAGTTGTGCCGATATCCATTGGCGTAGCTGCAGATCAACACGGTGAAGCACGCTTCGCTGCGTTGCCAAGCGATCACGGCGCTGAGCAACAGGACCGTTGACATTAGGAACGGAATAATAAGAAAATGTCAAATCGAGTCTTACCTGCTGCGCTTTTTCCTTTGTTTTCTCAATATGAAGCCAGCGTCGCTCTTTCAATTCCTTGTCCGCTTGCTGAACCAATGTGTCCATCAACTCCTCGATATCAGAGACATCGCTTGAACTAGTCAACTCGCATGTGTTCACTTCCCATGGATTTTGATCGCCGTTAGGAGGCTCAAAGACTGTCACCATCCGCTGAAAGGTCTCATCAGGTACTCGTGCACCTTTGTTCCGACTAGCGTTCCGCTCACGACAAATGTCTCCAGAGACGTTCACGTACACCAAACCGAAGCCGCAATTCACTATATGTCATGAATAACATGTCAGTAGCAGTATAGTTTAGTAGCATGGGAATCCTTACGCTCAGTGGAGAGCTGGAAGAAGCGTTTGCGTTGACTCCGATACTGGAAATTGTCGTCGACAAGCAGCACCAGTTGCGGCGTGGCCGCTTTGCTCGTGTCTGATGCCTTTAGTTCCTCTAGACGCCTAGTAACTCGCACCACCATATCTCTCTGACACACTTTCCACTGTTCTGGGTCGAACTCGGCAGGTTTCGAGCTTGTGTCTTCACTAGCCATTTGATCATAGAGATCATCAAAGGAGATCCGCTCATACAACCTTGAAGGCGTACTGCTGTGTGCCGCTAGATGCTTCGCCAGCGTCGTTTTACCAGCAGCAGGAAGCCCACTCACGAGCACAAGAACAGCATCACACAATCTCCCAGCCATTGGTCCACCAAAGAAAACCAAAACTAAACATTATCCTCTTAAGGGTGGCGGGTTCCTAACTAACGCAACCTCATAAATACCAGCACTGGTTGTCTCCCTTTAAAACTCTTGCTGCTCCCTGTTCGTAAACCCACATGACCATTATCTCCTTGAATCTATAGCTGCACATTTTGATAATAATTCCCACCTCGATCTTAGGCGTTCTCGAACACCACTAGCTGCTGGTTTCTTCGCCGTCGAGTGGATACTAAGTCGATGGCGTTGCTGTCGAGGAGTCGACTCTACCTTCCGCATGGAGCTACTATCGGCAATACTGCCCTCGTCTTGCAGTGGCGTTTTCTCTATCAGCTGCCGTTTCTTGGCGCTTGACGTCCTTACACGGCGCCGAGTCTCCTGCTCCTCCTGAATGGCACAACTGCAATTAATTTCTCCATTGCAGCGTTTAAAGGTGGAGGTGGCGTCCTCACCGTTTGCTTCCTGCGTGTCAACACATCGACATGACGCTGCAGACGCTTCAGTTCGTGCTGCTGAGCTTGATGAAGCTGCCATTTGCGCCACTCGCGGGGCACATCAACAGCCACGAAGCGCAAGACGAAGGCCAGCACAGGGAGCAGAACGTTGAACAAGATGCATAGGAAGCCGAAGAACGCCACGAGCTCCAGCGCCAACGCGTACAGCGCCTCCATGCTCATGTTTTCTCGTTGTTTTCAGCCAATCGTTAGAGTGTGAGCAGCTTTTGAGATGCATGGAACACTTGGCTATTATCTCAACGTTCTCTGCCTCGTCGATAGGATTCTTTTTGTTTCTCTATCAGCTTGCTATAATACGATCGAGGACAGGTCTTCGTACGACTCCGTCTCTCAAAAATTACCAAGCAGTACGTGGTGGGCTTACTATCACAACAATTATGGGTTCGGTGCAAGTCCAGCCTGGTGGTATCCACCCTGGAACGTGGGCGGAAGGTCGATGCTGGCGCCTAGATCCAGCAGCATCTGCTCCAGTCGAGACACGATCACATCGAAGGAAGGTCGATCGGCCGCATCCGATTTCCAGCATTCGGTGAGGAGATTGATGTACTCGCTGTCCACGCCGTCGGGAATTGGAGGCCGGATGCCAGCATTGATTGTCTTGTTGTAGAACTTGATAGGGGCCATACCGATGAACGGGTTCTGCAGACCACCGGCGATCATTTCCCACATCACAATAGCAAAACTGCAGGGAAGCAAGCACGATCGATTGGTTAGTGGCATTGATTGACAAAGAAGAAGAAGCTGAAGTAAGGCATACCTCCAGTTGTCGGCCTTGAATGTGTAGCCCAAGTCTTCGTCCAACAGAACTTCAGGAGCAACCCTGCACAGATAAGCAATCCAGATCAGCAACTAACGCTTGACACTATTTGAAGTTGAGCATTCACTTGCCATCCTGTTGTACCGCATTGTGTAAACGCAGTGTCAGTATCGAGCACCTTGCTGATGCCGAAATCGGCCACCTTGACTCTCCAATCATCGTCCACCAAGAAGTTGTGAGACTGCAGAGGAGGAAACAAACTCGTTAGCTTCGTATGAAAGAAGTTGTCACAACATTGATTTACCTTGATGTCGCGATGAATAATGCGCTTGGAGTGGAGATATTGGATGCCTCGTGCTGCGTCAAGCATCATTCGTACTTTGAACTATTCGACATCGCAGAAGTTAGTTAGACTTGTCTTGACACCATCGGCATGACACAAGAGAAAAAACTCGTACCTTCCAGGGAATCGTCTCGAAGTTGTTGCTGTGAATCACTTCGAATAAACTGGACAAACACACAAGTTGTCAGCAACTAGACCAGCACAACGATGGCTAACATAACGTACCTTTTGCGAGAGCAATACTCCGTAAGAATCATCAACTTCGGGTCCGTGCATGCTCCGATAAATAACACAATATTCGGGTGCTTCAGCTTTCTGAGCAACGCCACTTCCTGTCTGTAATCGCCGAGAATCTTGTCGGTCAATCGAGCGTAACGGAACGACTTCACAGCCACCTCAGCAGCGCTGTTACGGTTCATCCAGAGTCCACGGTAAACAGTAGCTGCTTTTCCGCAACCCAGCTCGTTCTCCTTGCCACTAAGAATGTGAATGCTTTCATACGGAATCTCCAGATACTGGTTCTGCGACTCGAGAACACGCGCGTGCTCCTGCAATGCCGAGACATCTTCTTTTGCAAGCTCTTCCGATATTGATCCGGTCAAGGACGCAGCTGAATCCGCGCGATGGATAACCTTGTGCTGACTTGTTGGGGACGCAGAATCTGTTTCCTTCTTTTCCCGGTTCACAGCTTCTTCAACTACGCCAGCTAGACGCGCGACAGGCTTCAGGTCTTCATTGGCCTTCCGTCGAATTAAATAGTGCGTCATGGACAATATCTTCCTTAGCTCTGCTTCTCGGGCTTCCACTCCTCGCTGCACTTCGTGTCGTCTTTCAGCTGAGAGACTTACTGCTGCTGCACCCGAATTGATCTATGCGGCAATCAAATAGGGTTTAAGCACACTAGTGTACGCGCATATTTGTACCAAGAAGCTTAATCGTACCTGCTCAAACAGCTTCGCGAGTACGGAATTCTCGCCATTGTCTTTATCATCGACGTGGATTTTGTCACCATGGGCGAGTCCAATGTCTTTTCGGATGCCTGCATTTTCGTCCTCCAGCATTAATGCCGTCGACAGTTGAGAGTCTACACAAAAGTTTGATAAAAACGAGTTAGACACCATACCTAGTCAAAGCAACAAGATAATAAAATGCTAGTAGTGGCGAACCTTTCGCAAGATCGTCCGTCTGTCGAATCCAAACAATACGTTGACGGTCCTTCGGTATTCCAATGTTCGACGCGATCTCTTGCCGAAGCACGCCGACTGTGGCATCGAATGGGATTTCTAAGCACACAGGCGCTTGCGTATCACCTGACGCTTGCACACAGACCTAGTACAGTGCAGAATATTAGGGACAGTCGCAACAAGAATGGCGTAGACTCATGAAATACGTACAACTCGAAGCAGCATGCAGTCGTTATCCACTGCCCTCCTGATGCGCTCACGAATGGCTTCTTCCGATATCTCAGACTGAGTGCTAGCAAAGAAGTGGACCTGTAACCACAGCAAGATATTGTGAGATGCTACGTAGCATGTGTGTCCTGCTACAGCTTGTCAGTAAACGTACGTGGTGCGGGAACACACGGTAGATTTCACTACCGTGGACATGTGCAGTCACAGCGCGCTGAAGTTTGGAGCTAGATGCAAACGAATCTCGACGCTGGGGCGATCGCTCTCCATTCGAGCTTGGCCCAAACCATAATTCAACTTCATCATCCGAAGTCCCACCACTATAGCTCCTTTCCACTCCCTGCCATGTGACCAGGACGTATTTCGACACAATCCGCTCCGTTCCGCGATGTAGTGGAACATCCACTCGCAAGTATATGTACATCGTGCTTCCTTCCTGTAGTACCGAGGTGATTCCGCCAATTCCTTTCAACGCATAAAGCCCAGTCTGGTCCAAAACAAAACTAAACGTTAGTTCCAAACAAAAATCATTTCATTTACGCTAATGAAAACAGACGTACCATGCCCTTTTCCACAACGATCATCCTCCGGGTCGAGCTCTCAAGGTCCGAGTTATCATAGCCACATACGGCCCAGTTGAACGGAGATGTATCCGATCGAATATCCTGTACCGTTGCCGTCACCTCTGGCGTGAACTCGATATCGGATGTAACAAACCGCCTCGATGAACTCCGTGGCCGCCGCCGTGGGGTCTGCAGAAAAACCGATCCATCCCTGCCGAACGATAGCATATTTCACGAGGGTAAGTCGCGAATCTGGTATTCATTGACAAGGCAAGGTAATATCATACATGAGTTCCTCCGGATTGTGTAGCGTCACATGCGCAACAGCGCCCATGTGTTTCTGCAGTGAAACAAACAAATCGATATTAGACATCACTCCTCGCAACAACTTCTCCAATCGTCCACTCACCCTAATGACTTGGTTAAACTCCGCATATTTGGTTCGCAAGTAGATCGGGAGGTTGCGTCCTTTCCAGCAGAATGACAGCACATTAGTTGGTGCCGAGTTCTCGTCATAACAGTCGATGCTCGTGAGTCCGTAGCATAAAGCGTTGGGCGAGAAGAGCTCGGATGGCCACTTCGACTGATCCGAGATGCTGCCGTGTCCCGACGCAAGCACTTTCAATGTATTTCTCTTCTCCCGCTGATCCTGTATCAGTATCCAGTAGATCGAATGAGTTATTGCGCACCAAAAACGCCGCCAAAGGCCAAGAAAACGCACCGCAAAGGAGAAAATAACCCATGTGGGCGAGTTTTTCGTCTTGATGTCATGCAGCACGCTGTCCACCTGACTGAAACGCAGATCCTGCGCCTTGACGGTGCGCACGAACGTGTGCGGCACCTCCATGCCGTTGCGCTTGGTGTGGGCGAAGCACAAAATCCTGGCGCTCGTGTGTGCGGGCTGCAGCCGCCTTCAGTCCTTCCCTTTTCCTTAATAAATGAGACCCGAGGGCAGAGTCGCTTTGGTTGCTTAGCCTACGAGATCTGTCACAGCACGTAACACACACGTAAGTCTCTTGTCAAGGCCTCTCTTCCCTTCGACCGCCGCTCACCTAGTGCGCCGATCGTCCCGCTGAGCCTAGGAGAGAGAGAGCGTTGGCGGCATACGCTGCCTGCCCTGCCTTCCTGCCGTGCGAGACTCGAGGTGTCTGCTGCCTGAGTTCCGCACTCGCTGTACTGGCGTTGGGGTACTGCGAAAAACAACCACGCAGATCGTAGAGTCGCCTTGGTTAAGAAAATCCATCAACGATTGGCTGATATTTAAAGGATCTTACCGCGGATTGGACAAAACTTAGATTCAACGATTTCTTTGTAGTGACTTGAACCAAGGAAGCGAAAACTTACAGTTTCTTATTGTGCGAATCTCATGCAGGAGCTGATGTAGTGAAAACGGAGGCATGACTGCCAGCCAACGCGGAGCATGGAGCATGTGCGGCACCAAGAATCCTTCCACGCACGGTGGAAGGGAGCATGAGACCGATATTGCAATCCCGTCATGAGGTGTCGCAGCCGGCCTGAGTTGTAACCGGCGCACCGGTCCCCACAGCAACTGCAGACTCTCATGTTAACACGACTAGACTCGCGTGTGGACTTCTGCACCACGAAAGAAAACTTCACCGCTTCTGAACATTGGCTCCATTAGTTAAGGCTACGTCAGAATCGCCATCCGGCGCGTAGCTCACGCCCGCGACAAGCAAGTCGTGCGAGGGAAGCGAGAAGGAAAAGAAGTTGCAAGTAAATTAAGTAAGTCACGCATGTCTTGCATTTGCTTGGTCTTCAACATCAGCCCGGTGGCTGCACCTTAAGTGTAGTAGAGCTCTAGGCCCATGCCGTCATGGATTTCGTAGTCCTCGAGCGTAATGTGGTCCTTATAAATGGTGTACCACTTCTGAATGCGGATCTTTTCGGGACGTGTGCCCACCTGAGCTGCCACGAGCTTCTTCAGATCCCCCACCGTGTCGTCCTCGTTGCACTTGACGCGGATCTTCTTGCCAAGGCGGTCGTTCAGAATCACCTCGATCATCGTTGAGCGACGTCAGTTGTGCTCTCTTCCAGCGAAAAGTCAAATGTGTCCACCACATAGAATCAGTGCAAGTATCAGAAACTCTCAGACGTTATCAGATTTCAGCATCATGGAGGAGCAGATCTACCGCTTCCTGCTCGACGATGTCGCTCTGGACGTGTGTTTCGAGGTGCGCCAAACTGTAACTACGTAGATAAAACCTAGGTGCTCACGCACAGCGAATTCTTCCGCTTCTATTTAAGATGCATCGCCAGATTTCTGTGGACGGACTGAGTCTTGAGGAGCTCTACGACGTGGAGCCCATCGAATGCACAGTCGACACGCCTGTTGTGGAACAGGACAGCGTCTTTGTGAGCTGTCTCTACTGCAAGCGGCAGGTATATACATACTATTCATTGCTGTTAATGAATTTAGCAGCACTAACTGTAGCGCTCTTCTAGGTGCATGCATCCCGATACACGAACCACTTAGAAAAGTGTATGACTGGATCCCGTCGCATGGTGACACCCAAGCAGCGGCAAGACGCAGCACGGGAAACGGAACGCACTCAGCTACAGATACTGAGCCAACCCCAACTCTATAATGCCGGTGTGCCGTAGGGTTACAAACAAGTCAACGGAGCGTGTTCTAACAAGCAGCTATCGGTGTTATTCAGTTAGAAACCTGGCAGATCGCTGTCGTCAAACTCAAAGTCGGATACCTCGCTGCGTCGTGGAGATTCCGTACCATCCCGTTCTTCGTGTTCTACCTGGTCTTCTTCTGCGGCAGCCTCAAACTTATCGTACTCCTGACCTTCAGCCGCAGTTTCATCGTACCACTGGTGTTCAGTGGTGTTCTCTTGGTATTGATGCTCTTCAGCCACGCCCTCTTCGTACACTTGCTCCTGGTCAGTCTCACCATACTCCTGACCTACGGCTGCTGGTTCTTCATAGCATTGACCTTCAGGCGCTCCCTCTTCATAGTATTGAGCTTCTGCAGTACCCACTTCGTAATAATGCCCGTCCGCCTCACCCTCGCCGTGTTCATAGGCGTGCTCATCGCTTCCTTCATAGTATTGACCTTCTGCCGCACCTTGGTCGTATCCCTGACCTTCGGCGTCGTACTGCTGAGCTTCAGCGGTTCCCTCATCATAGTAATGGCCGTCCGCCGCGGCCTCGTCGTACGCGTGACCTTCCGTACCGGCCTCTCCAAAGTCCTGAGCTTCTGCAGTACCCTGTTCATACTCATGTTCTTGCTGCTCTTCTTCACCGCCAGTTTCGTCTTCAGTACTGAACGGTTCGTCGACTTCATACGGCCAACCATCGGGGGGAGTCCACGAGCTTTCTCCAGTGTTGTGGTTAAACCAAAAGTAATGATTAGAACTGGGATCGAAGCCTTTTTCCCAGTCGCCAAACGTCTCAGCTTCTTCGTCATCCGCGTCGACTCCTTCTCCTATCTCGAGCTGGGCTTCTGATGGTTCCACCTCCTCTGTCACCACTTCACCTTCATCACCTTCTGCTCCGTAGTTTACATTTTCTTCAGTCTCTCTTTCTTCAAAAGTTTCCTCGGCCTCTCCACCCTCGTAGGTTTCCTCAGCTTCGTAAGTGCCTTCTTCGCAGACCTCCTGGGGCACTTCAGCTTCCTCTTCCATAGTTGGCACAGTGACTTCAGTGGTAGACCAGTCATAGTCGTGATCTGCCTCAGCTTGTTCTTGAATAACTGCGCTATCCGCTTCGTCTTCAGACACAGCATTCATTTCTTGCTCAAACGAATCTGCCTCCGCAGTCTCGGCATTGAGTTCGTTCGACGTGGCAAGCCAGTCGTAGTTCTCGTTTTGAGTTACTGTTGCCTCGACTGATGGTTCGATGTGAGTAGGAATGTCTGTTGATTCATCTCCTATGTTATCAAAAGTAGCGTGGTCGTTGATGTCACTCTCATATGTTTCAACCGGTTCGATCGCTGCGCCAAGTTCTTCAGTTGCGCCTTCATCTTCGATCGCTGCTAAATCGTCGATGATGCTGGAGTTGTCGTTATCTTCAGTAGCGTCGATCTCCCAGTGAGCATCGACAGTTTTTTTGTTGCTTTCGGGATCGCTCATCCGAATATCCATCGTAAAGTCTGTCGTAGAGGCGAGAAGTGCCGGGTCTGAGACGGAAGAGTGATCCTCAATGCCCAAATCGGCACTGGTATAGTCCACTTGTTGGGGAACTGGTTCACCCTCTTTCACTTTTTCGGACTTGTCTTCATCAAAAACGGAATCATTTGATTCCAAGAAATCCAAGTCGGTAGCACAAACCGAGAAATCTAGAATTTGGTCGTCACTAGGTTTTATTTCCGCTTCGGGGATCGCGTCAAGAATCTGGTCATCACAAGGTTTCTCCTCGGGAATGATATCATTGGTGTCGACCTCATCACGAACTAGTGACGATGTATCTCCAAAGAGTCGAGAGGTAACACTAGGACCAGACGCCAGTTCCTTTTGAGTCGGTTTTTCATCATTTGCATCATTTGGTCCTTCCTTGGATACCCCGTGCTCCTTTTCAAGTAAGGATTTCTCCTTGTCAGTTTCGATCCTCTCAGTCTGGTTGAGAACATCTTCTTGGGCTTCAAGCATTGTGGTGATAATTCCACGCAGTTCATTGGATCGGATACACCGGCAGTATGCGCGAATTACGCCGGAGCCCGGAGCATGAACTTCTAGTTTCTCCAAAAGTTGACGCATACATTTCTTCACAACACCCAACTTGGTAAACCATTCAGTACATTGAGCTTCAAGTTCGTTATCGGAGTGACCTTGAGCCTTTTTGTACAATTCGTGGCTTTCATGTTCATTGAGAATGTCCAATGCGCCAAGACTTGCACGATAATCTGTCAATTTCTTTCGATCTCCCTGCTCCTTTTCGCTCATAGAAAGCAGCACATTCAGAGCAGTCAGTGCAGTTGAAAACTCCTCTTCGGCATGGCTTATGAAGTCTGAAACGGCGAGGTCGTGCAAGAAACCAGCTTCCTTCGACTCGTTTGGCTTTGGCGAGCTTGGCTGTTCATTCATTCCAGCAGGATACGGATCGACGCGGAATGTGAGAACTTTTGGTGAGTGAGGAGTATCAGCTGGGTCAATGCGAAATACCAAAGTATCTTTCATTGGAGAAGGTTGAGGACTGGGGGATCGAGAAGCAGCATTTGGGATTTCTTCTGGTTCGATAGTTTCCTCGTTAATAGTCATAGCCGACGCAGCACTCGCTCGTTTGCGACTCTCAACTTTTGCCAGTATTGATCGCGATCTCGCGCTAAGACTTATGGTAGCGGTAGGTCGTCGTTGAGTCATATCTCTTGCAAGTTGTAGTCGCTCTCCAACTGTCATCGCAGCGTTGAAATCGACGCGAGACTTTCTTTTCTGCTCCTGGTGCATCAATGTTTTATCGACTGGAGTGTATTTGGGGGCACTGAGCTCACTTGCTCGACGTTGCTGTTCTCTTACCACACTCGGGTCAGCTGGTGTGGGCTTTTTCTTCTTCTTCCTTGTAGGAGGTTGCTGGGGTGGTCCAAAGCTGTATACAGATGTCTTGACCTTCGCTGGTGAGGGAATGGCTTTCTGTCGTGATCGAAATCCAAGAGCTCGACTTCTGAGTTCGTCTCTTTGTCGCTGTTGCTCTCGTGTTAGTGGCTTTTTAGGTCGACCCTCTCCTCCGTCTTCATCTCTCGCATCCCATTCATCTTCATACTGACTCTGATCTGCACCAAGATTGGAATCCTGAAAAATATGGAGTGTATCACAAGCAGTAGAGACCCACAACGTCTTGTTGTCGGGAATCAAGTCACTCGCAAATAAACTTTTGCCGGAATTAGTACTGGTGCTCGCTTTCTTCTTGTCTTTGATGTGGAGACCTGCTAACGGGATCGAGCCGAGTGATTGGAGTCCAGGCAGGAGATTCCGCACATGAACAATGTTCTTCCGCTTCTGGCGTTCGTCTGTCTCGACAACAGCGTTACCGTCTAGATTCAAGTGAGCCAGCATTTTGTTGAGTGATAAAATTCGAAGAGCGTGGACGGTAGCAATCTGGTTGTGACCTAAATGCAGTACCTCCAGCTGTGAAAGGTGCTCGATGTTTTTCACGGTTCGAATAGCATTGCGGCTTAGTCCAAGAGCCCGGAGTTTAAATATCTTGGCGAGTCCAGTAATGGTTTTCAACCGGTTCTCTGCCAGATTCAACACCTCCAGTCGTGGAAATGCGGTTAATCCGTCGTCTGGTAGCTTGAGCAGCTTGTTTCGTGACAAATCGAGCACAGTGACGAATGAAAAGCGACACTAAATTCAAAACAAAACGATCTTAGTCTTAGTAGGGTGCTATCGAGGTTAGCATCTTCCGTCAACTTACCTCAGTAAATAATGCAAGATCTGGGAGACCATTGTCGGGAAGAAGTAGTGCCAACAGATTTCGGAATGGAATTTCAGCTGGAAAATCTTTTACGGTTAGACCGCTCCTGAATTCTGAATGTATGAGTTTAGCCACGTAGCGCTCTTTGCCGTCTTTTGTCACGTCAAATGTCGTCGAATCTATTCGTTCTTCGACTTCCTCGTCTTCTTCAGGTTGATCGTTGGGACAGTCAGCGCTACTGTGAAATGATGCAATTCGGCCTCCCTCTTCAGCCCCTCGGAATGATAGCGACGATAAATCATCAAACCGCGGTGTTGATACTGCACTCCCAGAAAGAGAACGTTTCTCATCGTGTCCACTGGAAGCATCAGTACCTTTTGAAAGATGTTCTCTCGCCGTCTCAAAGCTCGCTTCGCGACGAGATGAACCGGATGCACTTTTGTTGTCACTAAGCCTATTGCTGCTTCCTGAAGTTTTGGCAGAGATTGGGAACTTGTGGTTGGTGGCTGAGCGCATATCGGCATCATCAACACCACCGTTCAGCTCATCCTCTTCTTTTCGAGCGGTACTAGCGGCGGTGCTACTAAATATTTCCTCATCGTCTCTTATGAAAGGTTCACTTTGCCAGCGTGGGGAATCCAATGTCGTTGACTGGGTATTTATTGTCGGCGGTATATGAGCTTTGCGTTCTGTCACAGTGTTGTTGCCATGATCCTCCAAAAATCGTTGCGTCACAGATCCACCAAAAGTCGAAGAAACCACACTCATATTATCGCTAGTATCGGAGTCATGGGGCGATGAGGGTGCAGGCACAACGAAACTTTGTCCTGTCAAGGCCTGCTTTCGTTCGTCATCAAAAGTTGATCTTGGGCTGGGGTTCACTGAGTGCTTGATGGGATTTCGTTGTCCATCATCACCAAAACTTGATCGAGAAGAACGTGGACTGAGACGCGTTGTATTTTGCACAACTGAGGCAAGCGGAAGCATAGGAACTAGTGGGGTTTTCGTCAGCGTGGCTGATTGATCGGGTTGTGATGCTGCACCTTTCGACTCGGATACTTTATTGAGCGCTTGCTGAGCAACTACGGGGACGTTATCGGATCCTGGCGGTGGCTTTGTTGGAACATTCATTGCCTCGATAGGCGCAACTGGAGCTTGAGATGAAGGCGACGATAAGGGAGATACATCGGGAAAATTGCTGCTGTGGACAGACGGATTGACGTTTCCAGTTATCACGTTGCTGCCAACGCTGGGTCGGCTCAAGCGAGCAGTAGATGAAGGATCTGGAGACATCTGACTCGTGGATATCACTGCAGGTGTCATCCGAGGAGCTCCTAGAATGGCGTGACGTTCTTGAACCAATGACTCCCACGGTGGACATGCCGAGTGTCTGGACGGCGATACCGCACACTTAGCCAGAAGAACATTTTCGAGATTAACCACGTTTTGTGTGCTGTCCGTAGATAAAGTATGTTGCTGCATGAATGCTCGCATTTCCTTTTTCGTTGGGGTGGATGCAGTAAGGAGTTTGAGTACACCTTTGAACTCTTCCTCGTCGATTCCACCGTCGCTATTGCAATCAATCTGATTGAGTGCCGCACGGATTTCCAGTCGTTTGTCTTCGCGACGTAACACATCCACATAGTGCGAGAACTCTTGAAGGACAGAGGACGATACCTCATTGCCTTTCAGATTTACATTCGTCACGTACCGTGTGTACTCAGGCAGCGGTGGATAAAGTGGTTGCTTCGTTCGAGGATCAATCGTGGGCGGAGTTTTCGCCATGATGATTTGCAACCGCAGAACTTCCAGCAGAGCATTAGCACCCTGCTCATTCACAAATACAAAATTGGATCGTAGAGTGAGCTGTTAGCCCAATTAATGCATCAGTTTTTTTCCAGAGCGTACGTCATCAGTGATTCGGTTGTCTCGCAAGTCGAGTGACGAAATGATTGGCATCTCTAATAGAGCTTCGGCCAAAGCAATCATCTGTGGATCCGTGATATCTTCCAGCCTAAATTCGACTGTGTGAAGCTGCTTTTGGCCGGCTATGGTTTTGTAAATGCTCTGTAAGACGCAAGATATTAGAGAAATGCGTAAACGCATCCTGTAATCATTATTACGTTTACCTTTTCAAAGCACGGAGGAGTTTCCACTTGTCTGAGCTCGGCATATTTCGCGTAAGTATCTCGAAACCTGCAGAAGCGGTACGGCCACAATTAATTTGGCGGTGACTTAAAGTAGCGGATAAAGCGTGCGGATAAACGCACTTCTTGACGTCTTGAAGCGACGGGGGGCGCAGATCCTGGCTCTTCTTGCGCTTGCTAAAAATCCCGCTAAGCATCGTAGAAGTGCAATTCAAGACGAAAACTGGTAGACCTCCTGTTGTCATCTACTGAGCCAAAGAATAGTTTCGAAACGACCAGTGCCCGGAATGGACAGCGTTATTTTGCTGCTACCCCAGAAATGCATGTTCCAACAGAATCAAGCGCGTGACGAAGCTGCTACCGAATATTATCTGGTAAATAATAAGGGGTAATATGGATGGGAAGGTCTATAATGTCGTGAACAAGGGCGAGGAGTGCCCGGGAGAAGAGCTTACTCTGAATACAAACACCGAAGAAGATAAGGAAGCAAGTCTTCATCTCAAGCCCACGTACGTGAAATTCAGCCCACCAATCTACAGTTATAATGTTAACCAATCCACGGCTATAATGCTAACTTATTTGTACACCAGGTATGCGCTGGGATTTCGTTCATGCGGCCGCACAGTCGTCGATTTTGCGAGCGAGGGTATGATTATTTATCCCGTGGCTCACCATTTGGTCATCTACAATCTAGAAACTCGAGCCATGGAGTTCTTTCATCATATTCGCCATGTCAAGAGCATTCAGAGTTTCCAGTTCTCACCCAACCGCGAGCTCTTGGCCGTAGCAGAAGTATATCAACAGAGTATGGGACAGCTTGCGGCATTTGGAGCCGCCAGCACTACTACCGCGACTCCGTTATCGGTATCCTCGTTTGCAACTTCACCTTTGAAAGGATCGAATGTGGCATTACAGACCCTACTTCGAGATCAAGAAACCCACGCTCTTGCAATCTACAAGCTGGGTACTAAGGCTCGAGTGAGAAGTATACCTCTACCAACCAACTCCAACGTAGTATCGTGTAGTTTCTCGGCCGACAATAAATTTCTCGCGGTTCTTGAAGATTCCCCAGCGCATACTGTAACATACTGGAAAGTGAGCAATTCCAAACTTTTGGCTTCGTGCAAATGTCCAAGTCGTGGCTCGCGAATTCACATCAGCCCAACCAATGCGAATTTCATCTCAGTCTCGGGGCCTGCAACTCTCAAGTATTGGGTCTGGACCAACAATGATTTCAAGATCTCGAATTTCTTGCCGCAACTCAAAGATCAAGAGCATTTCGTAGACCACACCTGGCTGAAAGAGCATATGATCGCTCTTTCTGAACGTGGACTCCTCCTTTGCTTCCGTATCGCGCTCGACGGATGCAACGCTGATCTCGTTCATTCGTCTCGGTGTCACCAGCCATCTCATGTACGCATGGAATGCGTCACCGCTCACGGCAAGGGGTTTGTACTTGGTGGATCGGCCGGTTTCTTCAGTATCTTCGAGGCATCGGTAGGTTTGTCTTTGATCATTTTCAAAGCGTACGGTAGTGTTTAGCTCTGGTATTATTATTTTTTTTTTTGCTGTGCAGGATGACCCGAAAGACCCTTTTCCACTTGTGCGTTCTGTGTCGGTCGGTGACATCGCATTTGACTGCATTGCTGTTTCGCCAAACTCCGAAACAATCGTAGCATGCTCAAAAAGTCGGGAATTGGTCACCTTCTCAATGAGTGCGATCGACACCGAGCAGGAGGACAGAATTGAATTTCGGGAGTTGATTCGTCATGTACGTTTGGCATGTACTTTCAAGAGAAGAGCTCACTAACCCATACTATTTTGCGTCGCAGGGCCACCAAATTGGTCCTGTTCTACAGGTAGATGTATGCGTGCAGAGGCCAATTGTGGTTACTTGTGGCACAGATAAGACCGTGCGAGTGTGGAATTTCGAGTTGAATCACTATGACCTCCTAAGCCATTGTCCCGAAGAACCAACCACGATTGCAGTGCACCCATCAGGATTCCAGCTCGTTGTCGCCTTCAAGGAGCGTGTTCGTATATTTCAGCTTCTTCAAGAAAATCTGAGGCAAGTTAAAGAACTAGCTACCAAAGCCTGCCGCTTCGTTCGATACGCACACGGTGGTCATTTGTTTGCATGTGCCTCTGGTCTTACAGTCACTACCTTCCGAACTTACACATTCGAAGCGGTCCACACATTTTCGGGTCATATTGGCGCTGTACGCTGCTTAAGTTGGAGTCGCGACGACATCTATCTCTTTTCGGCAGCACACGATGGCGCTATCTACCGTTGGGATATTAGCACAGGATTGCGAAGTGAAGAGATGCAGCACGTGGTAAAGCACTGTCAATATGCAGCATTTGTCGTGGATCGAAATGATCCTAGCATTGTTGTGGCATCTGGCAGTGATGGTAAAATCCGTGAAATCATAGCCGGTGAAGAAACAAAAAGTTTTGATCTTTCTGCTGGTACAGTTATTACGTCTATGGCTTTGATGAAGGATTGCAAACGCCTATTTGTCGGTACGAAAGCAGGAAGTTTACTAATATACCCGTGGCCACTAAGCAACAAAGGTGTCGCTGAGTATTTCGCGCATGCAGAGGGGATCTTACACCTGCGCGTGACAGAAGACAACGAGCAGCTTATCACATGCGCAGAGGATGGCAGTGTTGGTATCTTTAAAATTCTCAATGGTGGTTTACAACGTCAAGATCACGAAGAAACTTCTGCAGTAACCTCTCGAACGGGTATAACTACGGCGAGGCCCATGTCTTCATCAGCTACAACTGAGCGCAGGAAAACAGGTGAGGCCTACACTGACGCTGTACTGGTAGCTCGTGACGATCTAGAAGAACGGCGTGCTGAGGTGTTAGAATGGCAGCAACGACATGACCAAGTGAAAGCTGACGTCGAATTTGCGCTGCATCGGAAAGAAAACGAGTGGATAAATCGACTACATGTGCTTAAAGAGGAGTCCGAACATCTTGTGGTTCAGGAACGAGTGCGCTATGAAGAACTTGAAGCGCGTCATCAGCTTGCTACGCGAAAACATACTGAAGAACTGACACAACTTGAAGCGCATCATGTCAAGATGACTCAAGAGCTTGAAAATCAGTACGAACGGAAGCTCGCACAAGAGGTGGCTCGATACGACGCGCTCTCCGAGACGTTAGAGCAGACACGACAACGGTGTGAAGCTCTCATGGAGGCTCAAGACAGTCAAAACCGAGGTACTCTGCATGCAGAGCGGAAGGCAGCGTACACACGAGCCAAGGAGCAGAATGAGGTCATCAAACGCTTGCATGAAGATCTGAAATACAATCACGTCAAGTTTGAGGAAGTGTTGCATCAGGAAGAGACTGATTATGAGCAGGAGATGCAAAAGATGCGCGTCGAATTTGCCGCCCAGTTGGAAAATGAACGTCAGAACACGGCAGTGAAGCAGGGTCAAGTGAGTGCTGCGAATACAAAGCTGGAGTCACTCAGAAAGAAGATGCAGGAGCTGAAGGCGTCGTCACATGCTCGTGATGTGCTTCTGTCGACCGAGAGAGCCAAGTTGGCTCGTCTTGAAGCGACATTGGCAAACTATGAACGACATTTCGAGGTTTGCCGCAATTCGAGTCATGACAAGGAGAAAGCTATCACCGGGTTGAAATCGGAGAATCGTGTACTCGAGAACTTCCGCTCCGTGCTTTCCCATCGTATTGACGGACTTGAAACCGAGCAAGTACCGATGCAACAACACTTGCACTCTTTGGAATCGAAGATCAGCGAGATGCAGAACGAGCTGGCTGATGAATATCGAGCCAAAGCAGAAGCACAACAGGAAATGGAGACCAAAGACGCAAAAATCCGCACCTTGTTGCACGAGGTCAAAACACTGCGTCAAAACTCACTGAAGAAGGAGTATTCCGTCGGGGAAATGACTCGTGAGTTCACACGTCTCGCTCAACTTACGAACTATAAAGACTTGGAGAGTGCCGTGAAAGACGCTTACAAGATTTACGTTATGGGAGAAACCTTGCACAAGAAACCTCCTCGAGCAACACTCTCCACTTACAGTGCTGCAACAAGCACCGCCGTGCCGTCTTCTCCAGGTGGGGGCGGGTTTTATTCACCAGCCAAAACATCCACAACCATGAACGCCAAAACGCCTCAGAAGCAACAACAATCACCTGCTGCTCCCCCATTCGGTGTCATGTCTGTTGTGTCCGATGAAGCTCTAGGCTACGACTGCAAACAGTCGGTGGATGAGTCTGCCAAGCAAATGGAGTATATGAGTCGTACCATCCAGACTCTGCGAACAGCGCTGGATCACGCAAAAGCGCAAACCGACCGCGCCAGACGCGACTCTGTTGCTGAAGGGAGCATACTCATTGAAGAGTGCAACAGACTGCGAAAGGAGAATAAGCAATTACAAGTCCAGATCCGTGATCTGAAACGTGCTATGTACGCTGCGAATGGAAGTTATAACAACAACGATGGCGAACGTTTGTCCGGACAGCTCAGTCGGTCAAGCCCGCAGTTGCGTCCTGCTTCACCGTCACAGGCACCACATCTCGATCTCACTCTTGATGTCACTGTAGGAAGTGGACCTGTGAGTCTAGCACCCTTACAAACAGGACGAGCTACGCCATCCAAGCAGCAGAGACGACAGCGGACACCTATCAGCAGTCCCTCTCCAAAATCCAACAACTCGACATTTCTCCCGTTTGGCCGCGTGGAGCGAGGCCGTCACAATGCAGTTCGTGCCGACGAACTGGCATCTGTGGTGGAGAAGCAGAAGCGTGACATCCAGCGCTTACAGACGCAGGTTCAGTTGCTACTTTCAGGCGCTGCTGATGCACCTTTGGTCCACCATTACAACGGAGTAGCACGCATAATCCCATTGTCGCCTTCTTCGTCGCTGACCGCGTTGGATTCGTCCAAAGGAGCCATGACTGTGTCCCGTATTGGATCATTGCGGCCGTTGACACCGGCTACTCCTGCACCACTGCAATCATCTTTCATGCTCGTTCCGCCAGACTTCGATACCAGCACTCCACCGATGAAACCCACCGAGGTCGAGCAGAACCAGCAAGAAACCCACGGGATTTGAAGCCCGCAGCGCAACGGTATCTTGTACTTACTTCGGTAAGAATGAGAAGATGTGAGGCTTCGGTGATCGACGCGATCCCACACAGTTTTGACAAACAAAAACAACTGATCTAAAAACGGTCGCATCAAAAAATACTCCACAACTTCAGTTAGCAGCAGCAATCTGATGTATCGACAATCCACCAGGCGTTTCGCGAAACGGACAATGATAATGATCCTTACGTAGCAAGCTCTGAAGTTTCATCGCTGCGAACTCGGCGCGATTTAACCACTTTGCCAGAGTCGGACATCGGTTGGAACTATTATTACTTTTTATTGCGAAAAATACTACTTTACATTACGTACAGTTTGTTTGCGCCCAAAAAAATCTGCGATTGTTTACATCATCTGAAAAATGGCTACAGCTCAGAGTTGCTTCACGAAAGGCAACTTTGAAGGCTACAACCAACTACGCTGTACGACAGGATTCCTACCATAACCTCTACGCGGTCATTCTAGCAGCGATGGTGACTATTTGGGGGCGATGAAGTGGACGTGAACGCACCCAGCCCAGCGTCACCTTAGAGTAATTGAGTTAGCGCGCAGATGATAACCCAGTTCGAGATTTCTGAGGAGTTCTCTGGCCACTTCTGCTATAAAGTTCGATTAGTGGTTCGCGTATCAGGCTGACGCTGCGGGTATTGCTCTTGGTTACACGTCATTTTGGCGAACAAGGCAGATATGTATTTCCGTCTGAGACTTGGTTGAGCTATTGCTGTGCATGCCTGCCATTGAGGTTTGTCAAGTATCCCGTTACTAAGTACGGGTCTCTTTTGCATCTTACCCGACGGGTAATCGGTTTTGACTTGAGAAATGTAAGAAACCAAAAAGTATGTATGGTTCTTGCAAATCGCGCTCAATCGGGACTACGTAATCCGCAGCGGTTAGACACTTTTTCCTCACACCGGAAGGCATGGCAAGTCTAGCATTCGCAAAACTACCCAACGCTGAGCACCCGAGGAAGCATTAACGGTACCGCCTCAAAATAACATTTTGCGGCTACAACTCGTAGTCCCGACGAAAATACTCCCGCCATCTCACCCGCGGCGCGCATTGCAGTTTGGCAACACCCCGCACCTCCAGCCCAAAAACGAAAAAGCCGCCTGTTGCATTGAGCAACAGCAGCACAGCCGCAAGTCCGTCAATCACTTCAACCCCCCGAGAAAGTCCACACGCAAGCGCTAGACCATCACTCGTTGCTTCTGATACTTCCAGAGCACTGTAGCCAGCTTCAGCTTCATCCGTTGCCCTCTATAATCCCCCAGCGAGAAAGGACGCACTCTCGAACTCGACGTCAAACAGAATGGACCTCGCCATCCGCGTGAATGTTCGCTACGCCGCCCCGGCCAATTCACAGATCAAGGACGCGTTACTGCTGTTCAAGAGCGCGCGTTGGGTGCATTCCATTATCCGCTACATCATTCCGCAGCTCAACAGTGTGTCACCAGCCGCCATGCACATCATGGAGTCGCTCAAAAGCAACCCGGCCGACGTGCGACAACAGCAAGACGGAGAGCATGCGGTCTGCGTCGTGTGCATGGAAGCACTCACATCGCCCTGTGCCGAGCTGCCTGCGTGCTGCCACCAGTTCCACGAGCGCTGCATTGAACCCTGGCTCAAGATGCACAGCACCTGCCCCACTTGTCGTCACCAGCTACCCACGGACGCCTATACGAGCTACAGCGTCTACGCCATCAACACCACGATCGTCTTACAGCAGTCCCAGTCCAGTATGCCCGCAGCTGAATTGTTAGAACTGTCGGCCAGCAACCAGGTCATCCGTGCCATCGTGAACGCGCGGGTGAGGCGCAATGTAGCATCAACGTCAACTACCGGAGTGGCCATGCGTGGATCTCTCTCGAGTGAATTGCCTATTTTCCAGACTGAGCCGCCTGTCATGAACGCTAGTGTGTTGCAACGCGGCTCCGGTCTGTCTGCAGCGTTGCCTCCCTGTGTCACTGAACCCGTAGTACCCGTCATGCACCGGAATGCCTCCCGACGTCGTTTCCGCGAGCAAGAAACCATCCGAGCGATCGACAAGCGGCGACGTCTGAGTGATTCTGCAGAGGAACAGGATATCTCAACTTCGTGAACCGCCGGTCTACATCCACGTTTTGCCACAATAAGATAGAACTCGATAAATTACAGTCAAGTACCAACGACACGAAGCAGTAACGGGCGATACAGACGCGTTCACTATTCGTACAGTCGGCGTTGCCCTCCCTCAGTAGGACAGCTTAGAGCTTGCCGTAGCTGCTTTATTGAGAAGCTTATTTAACCGAGAAAACAAGTATGCAATCCCACACGTAACGTCGTCAGATCCTCTGTCAAGCATGCTAATACATGTACCACCGCACAGTGTCGCTGGTCGTCTGGGACGAAACTATCACCGAGAAAGCAGCTCCGGCGTCAGAATCGACCGCATCGAGAGTACGCGCACGAGCTCGAAGAGGTCGGCGGTTGACTCGGTCTTCGCGTCAGGAGGGTGCTCCACAATCCAAGTGACAATGCGATTGAACGGCGTGACCAGACTCGCGATTGCAGCCGGTAAACGACACGGGTGGAGCTTCTTGTCTTGAAAATGGCTCACAATGAACATCACCACGCAGACGATGTGTAAAAGCATCACGTAGCAATCGTCTTCACCTCGATTTTCCACCGTAAGATCCTTGTCTGTCATTAAGCGGGAGCCACTGGCACACGCCACAGGCAGGAGGAATGTCAACGCTCGAAACCACTCCAGTGCGTTGGGTATACCCGATGTTTGCGACGTTCCAGTGCTCTCGTTGCCCCCACGAATCAAGATGAGGTTGATCAAGATGCCGAGACAGAGCGTCAGTGTGGACACGTTGGCAAATTCAGTGTTTCCATCGGCGATATCGGCGCAAATGGTGCAGCAAAACTGCATCAAACGCCGCAGAACATCCACGTTCTCCGACATGATAGAGGCACCGTCTGGAAGTGCACTGAGTTGAAGCAATCCTGGCAACAGGAAGTGCAGCTGGTCGATGCTGCTATCGGTCTTGTGGATCACGGCAGCCTTTTGCATCATCTGCGAAACGGCGTCAACCTCGTCGTCCGAGTCAATCTCGTCATCAGAATCGATAGTCTGGTTGTCTTCAGATTTGAAGAGTTGGGATCCATCGTCGTCTGTCACCCAAGCCAGCAATGGTTTGTAGCATACCATGAACGGAACCAACTGCATCACTAAATCCACGCTCGTGTCGGAGTCTTCAGCAATCCAGGCGCTCACAATACGCACACTAGCGCATATCACAGCATCCAGGTGGTAGACTGACTCAGCGTGTGACTCGCGAAGCTCACGGTAGCGATGAGTCTGGACGTAATCGCGAACCAGCGTCAGCAGTTCGAGGACCACTACAAATACCTGGTTGAATGTTCCCTTCATCTCCAGCAAAATATCGTACGGAAGCACCAGCTCACTCTCGTAGTTGGAGACTAAGCCGCTGATCACCATCTCGACGATCCCGTAGCAAATGGGCAATATGGCAAGCACGCGTTTAATCTCCTTATCGCGTCTCTCCGTCTCCTCCACCGATTCCACCTTGGGCTCATCGACTTGAATCAGGGACAGTTCCACCTCGTCCAACATGATCTTAATCTGCGTATAATTGTGCGGTAGTTTAATTCATGAGAACTCAGCTAACAAACAGATGCGAAGCGAATAACGTACCTCAATGGACACGAGCTTCAGCAGGAACAGAATGAATTTGCCACCGGACACTTCATCAGGAGGCGCTTGACTGCGTAGAGTAGTGCCAGGTAGCATCCACGAAGTACCCGAGTGCTGCATGAGCTGGAATATGAGTCGCAGGCACTCGTCGCGCTCTTGGTTAGGCCATTTTGCACGTAGAAAGCGTAGCACGCCCGTACGAATATCAGAAAGACACTGTGAGCTAAGCAACTCGACCGGTGCTTCACCAATCTCCACGAGCCTCATGTAGCTGTTTAAAACAGCTAGCACCAGGATGGCGGTGTCACCCCGCACGTGTGAAAAGTTTGAGCAAATGAACTCGAAGTCATAGCTGTGGATGTGCGTCCAAAGTTCGGGCTTGCTAGCCATCTCGCCTACAATGCTCCACAGATCCTCCAACAGCGTGTCCGTCTGTTGTTCTTGCTCTGTTGGCTTGTTCTCTACCAATAGATCTCGATTCGAGTGAGATCGACTCAACTTCTTCATCGCACTAAAGAGGCGTCCAAGGACACTTTCGTGCATCAAAACCTAGGCAAGAGCACACGGACGAAGCCTCAGGCACCACTCAGAAGCAGATCATCTACCGATTGAGCTGGTTGCCGCACCTGCAGGCCCTTTTCGGTCTGTTTCAAGCCCGATAGGATGCGAACGCAGTCCTGAGACGAATCGTGTGGCGTCGACTGGGACGCCAATTGCTCTAGAAGAAACCTCACGAGCTTATCCTGTGCAAACTCCGTCGCCACGCTGGGGTCTGCGCAGAAGCTGTGTAATAAGTCCACCGAACGCAGCAATACGTCAGTTCTGTAAATCAAGTGAAAAAGCTACATGACATTCTAGTAAAGGTGGCAGTACCTCGCTATTAAGTTGAGCCCGAGGCTTTGGAAGGACGAAAGCGACTCGACATCGTCGGGGCCTGCAACACCGGAAAACGTTCTGGATCAGCAGAGAGCAACAACCTTCGTGCCATATAGCACCTAAAAAGAGAGTAAACGCACCTCTGGTGTGCAGAAGGCGAAGGAAGAAGCTCACGCCGACGGTCGAGAGCACCTGTCGTCGAACTTGGTGGAGTCGTTCGGTCGACAGATCGTCGAGCTTCGTGACCATGAGCAGACCAGCGAACTTGTGCTCGTCCGTCTGACCCTCCAGCATTTGCATGCACTGCGCGATTTTCTCGTCCGCAGTTGCTGCAGTTGTGGCCTCCCCGGCGATCACCGCCGCGCTCGTGGTCTCTGCAGCCATTTCCTAGAACCTCGAGACTGGCGGATGGTTGATGATGGACAAAACAATAATTGTGTGTCGCACATAACGATTTTTATTGGAAAAAAAAAGCAGACGATCCTCGTGCTTCAAGTTGAAGCGTGCAACAAGTTTTGCGATCACATGAAGTCCTCTTCGTACGCATTGACGCTACTGAGATCGGCAGCAGCCTCTAACTTGTCGCCTGATTCGATGTTGTCTCTAGACAAGAGGGATCTGTCGTTTAATGCAGTTGCGTCAGTTGGACTAAACCAGAGCCAAGATTAACGTTAGCATGAGTGACGTACGAGTAGCTACGTAGATCCTTCTGATGTTTGTACTCCATCTTTGCCTTGCGCTGCTCTCCCTCCAGCTGCAGACGCTGCTTCTTGCGCTCGGCCTTGTACAGCAGCTCGCGCTGCCGACGCTCCTCTGCACAACGTACTGCGTCAGAACGACGGATAAAACGCACTCTCTGACAATAACGCACCTTCCAAGTCGGGATGGGACTCTTGCTTCGTCTTGTTGAGCATCTTGATAATGTCCTTGTTCTTCTCCTCAACCTTGTAATGCCGAACCTGCAAAGAATGCCGTCGTATCATTAGTGCATCAGTTTATATTTCCGTATCAACGTCGATATGATTTACTCGTTCGGGGTGGTGGAAGCCCACTTGGCCAACTTCCATGGACGGCGTCTTTTTCAAATTCCGCCACCTTGTGTAGCACTGTGAGCAATATTAATTCTTCATTCCGATGGCCACAAAGACAACAAGTACACCAATTCGTCAAGATGCCGAAGCAAGTACGTACGACACTAACACTCTTCTTTTTACTTCCTTCTATCGAGTTTTCCTGCAACGTACAGTCCAGATTAAGCGTAAGAGAGCAATTATCAAAGGAATTCTCAAGGGAGGGAGAAACACACCTTGACCAGCTGGGCACATTCCTCCAGACACGTTTCCGAAACATCGTCCACTTTAGTTTTGCCCTGGTTCAACAGAACACGCGCATGAGCAAGTGCATCGGCATTCCAATCATCCCATCCAAACTGACCAGAGGAAGTCGAAGGTAGACGTGCGCAGAAGATAAGTCGTCGACATGAAACCTGTAACCACCTTGCATTAAAAATCTAAACTTCCAAGGATTAGAGAATTAGGCCGAGAGATAAAGGCTCACCAAATGTCCTCCATGAACCCGTAGCGGACGAGGTCTTCGTTCTCGAATTTGTCCTTGCCCATGTAAATGGTGTGGCCCTCTGTGAGCGGGGCGCAATGCCAATAATGTCGTTAAGGACGGAATCCCTCTACATATAACTCGGGCGCGCACCACGCACCGGACGAGGTGAAGTAGAACATGGTTGTCCCCCAATTCGTCTGCAGCAGAAATTGAAATGCATTTCATTTTCGGCCAATCGTGCATTTCTCTTTGATGAAGCCGTGCCAGTGGCTAAAACTTGTCATGCGTTTTTATAGGTCAGACATGCTGGTGGGCAGGAATTTGGACCGAATCTTTTGAAGATGTGACCCACATAGTTTTTCTGTCCGCTTTAGCGGTGACGTCTAATCCGCCCAGCTCAGCGGTGTCGAGGCTCGCCTCTCATTTCCACACTACTTCACCCCGAAACACGCCATCTAGTTGGCCGACGATGCTGGGGCGTCCTCTGCGGAGAGGGGGGCAAGGGGGCAACAAGCTGGTGAAACCTGCACCCTCTTGAGAAGTTCGTTTTGCTGTTTTGCCAGCAAGGCGACGTGGACGTCCCTCTCTCTACCCGCGCGGATAGGGGATGCAAATTTCTGTTTATCTTGGCTTCACTATGTAGTCCTGTCACGCACGTTCGCTCTCGTTGCAGTGAATAATTGCATCCGAGCTTAGCCGCAGGTTGACACCTGTTTTGCGGAGAGTTGCTGTCGGCGGTTTCTGCTCAGGCTCAAATTGTGCAACCCTACGACTGCGAGCATTTCCGCTTTTGCCGTCGCCTTCAGCCAGTCGAGTAGTTCGCGCTATCCTCTCCCCGCTTCAATGAAGTGTATCCGAGCGCTGGCCGTGTTTGCCGCCGCCCTGGCCATGGGCGTGGCTGCGGATGACGATCCCGCTTACTACTGTGACTCGGACTCGTACTGCGAAAAGAACTATCCGGGTACGGCATGCATCTCCGTTAACAACTATGGTGACGTGGTCTCCAAGTGCACGCCCAACACGGCCAAGCGTCCAGCCTGCCGCGGTGCCACGCCGGGCCTGTGTCCGTCATACCAGAGCGCCGACATCGGCTACCTGAACGCCCACTGCGTCTTCGTGTCCGAGGAGAACCTGTCGCTATCTTCCAGTGGCTCAGGCTCTGGCCGCCGTCGCCTGATGGGTGCAGCATCGAACTCCTCGGCTGCGGCAAGCGGTAGCGCTGCGGCCTCGTCTACTACGTCGTCTGGCTCTGCGGAAGCCACGTCTACGGCATCTTCTGCAGAAACGTCATCGACGGATAGCGGAAGCGAGGACTCGACGGCCACCGAGAGCGGCAGTGGTGCTAACGCCTTGTACTCCGTCACCATTGACGGAGAGAAGGTGAGCGGCCAGTTTGTCTGCTTAGATGTGTCGGACTGTGCCAATAAGGCCGCCGACCCCAGCACGTGTGAGCCCACTACATGCCAAGCTCCTGACTCCAAGGAAGTGTGTACTTACCACGGCACTTGCACGTACAAGAACAAGAAGAAAATCACCAAGCGTAGCTGCATGTGCTACGCTGGCTTCGAGGGCGACAAGTGCGAGAAGGAGGTCTCGAACGCTTGTGACGTGGACTGCGGCACTGGTGGTGACTGCGTGGACGGCGAGTGCGTGTGTAAGGAAGGATTCGACGGCAAGGAGTATGACGGCAAACAAGGTAAACCCAACCAGCGCTGCACGCTCTGCACGAACGACCTGGCCTGCCAGAACGGCAACACGTGCAACACGGAGACGGGTAAGTGCATCTGCGGTCCTGGTTACAGCGGAGACACGTGCGGTGCTACAGAGGACTCGTGCACAACCCGCACGGATTGCGGTATTGGGGCGTGCCAGGTGCTGGCCAACGGATCTTCTGCTTGCTACTGCCCCATGTGCAGCCCCTCGTGCACGCTGTGCGACATTACCGGTAACTCGTCCTTTGACTGCTCGACATGCCCCACCGACTCCGCCATGACCATGCAGTCCTCCAAGCTGCTGGTGTTTGCGTCGATGTTGGTCGCGGTCATGCTCGCCAACTTGGCTCTGTAAGAGACCACCCCACTCGAATAGTAGTACGGCCCACCATGGGAACACCAGCCAGCAGGGGCTGCTTGGCTCACTAATTACGTAACATGATCATTTACCAACTTTTCTTAGGGTGTTGTGCCAGACACAACCCACGTCGTCTCAGTCGATGCAGTTTCCAGCTTTGATCAAGCTGCTTAGGATGCTGTCTGCTCAGTTTTGCCACAGACGAGCTGTTTTTCTCGATTGGAGATACGATATCAGTTTTTTTTCTCTGTTGTGCATTCGAACACATTCGTGAGCTGGTTTCTGAGTTAAACACTGCCTTATTGCGATACATGTACTGCTCACAACTTCGCTTTTACTACTAGTAGTAGATGAAAAGCTCTTGAGAATCCTCCGTAAGCTGTCGCTAATACTATATAGTACTTGAAATACTACAGTACATAGTAAATCGTTTACCCATTTATTCGATACTTACAAAACACTTAGAACCGCAACATGATGACATTATCTTATATTTGCATCGCTGCTAAGAGCTTCATCCCGTCAATTTACTGAGCGTTCGCTCTCATTTACGGGGCGGGACTGTCCGCAAGAGCCTTGATGGTGTCGAGCGAGCTTTCCAGTGCCTTTTTGAACTTCTTGCCATCCGAGACACCGCTGTCCTTGTAGTTCGTGAGACTTACGTTGATGCTCTTGCCATGGAGCAAATAACCCACGCCATACCCGTGAGGAACGACAGCACCAAACGAGAAATACTGCAAGAACGGCGTCGTCACGTTGCTCGAAGAGATGAGGAAGTTGGTGCTTTCGGCTCGCACGGGGCTTGCCAAGAAGTCGCTGGAAATTCCATTCTGGTTGGCAATCGAATTCAACGCAGTCAAGTGGCGATCGACGCCCAATCCCTTCTGCGCCATCTTGGCCATCTCCACGTGACGGTTAACTGCCGTCACCAGCAGTTCACGTTGCGTATCCATAGCGACGCCATTCTCCACGCCCTTGACAAAGGCTTCAGCAGCAGGAGTCGCCGAGCGAATTGTCTCCGTGCGTCCATGGTGGAAATTGCGCGTTGAGCACGACTCGTAGGTAGGCGCGATCTTGCCGTGCGCGCGGTAAAACGCGAGTTGAAGAGCCATTTGCGCGATACCATCCGGGCTGAGCTTCCACTGCTTGCAGTTGTTCTTCGCGAAGTTCTTGTATACCAAGTACTCCGAGTTCAGGTTGCCAGAAAAGTCAGCAAAGTGACTCTCGGCCTTCTTGATATCTTCAACCAGATTGTTCGACAGCTTCCAGCTGAGCTTTTCAGGCTTGGTGGCACCAGTATACTCCGGCAACTCCTCGAGTGGGGCGAATCCAGAGTCAGAACCACGCATATCGTGCCAGCATTCGTGCAGCCAGCGGTTCCAGACCGTTCCATCCGAGAACGAGTGCTCGAAGTTGACCGTCAAGTGGCCATCGGGCTGAACCATCACCTGTAGCTTGTCAAACCAGCGGCGCGATCCCTGACCGTGCAGCGACAACTGCATGCGCTGCTTCATGTCAGAGGGGTTGCGATCCTCCAGTACCAGCATGAACAGCGCCGAGTCGATCACTTCCAGCGTCTCAGCATTCACCGGGTGGTGGGCCACTAGGTCGTCACGAATCTGTGCCCAAGTGTCGCGCTCCTCAGCCGTGAGTGTGGACAGATCCAAGTCGTCGTGGTCGCCTTTGGATGCCGAGTTTAGGATCGAGTCCAATTGCGCCTCAAGTTGCTTCTGGGACAGCGACTGCTTGCCATCGGGGCTGAGCACGTCCAGCTTGAAGTACTTGTTGCCCGTCATGACCACAATGTGCGTTGCGCGCGGGTGTGAGGTCAGCACGTCGATGTCTTTTTTGGGAACTTTGGCCGTGCCGAACTGACGCGCAAAGCCAGCCATACACTGGTTCTTGTCCTGCTCCAGCTCGCTGTTCTTGACCTTGGTCCACCACTTGACCATGGAGCGCACGAACGCGGCGCTGCGAGGGACCATGCCCTCAAGATTACCGTCCGTCTCGTCCAGCAGACCATAGGATGGGTTCACGTTGATAGGACTCTGGTAGCGGCCACCGAGGTACATCTTGTCCCAGTCTTCCTCGATGTAGCTAAAAGGGTAAGCACGACCCATGGCCTGTTTGAGCTCACGCTTCAGCAGCATTTCCTGCAGCTGGCGTCCCTCGGCGTCCTTGAAGGCCTTGGCTAGCTCAGCGTGCGCCTCCCATTCCTTGGCACTCACCAATGGCCGCACACTCTCCAGGTAGCGCTGCACAGTCTCCTCAAGTTGAGGGACTGGCAAGCGCGGCAAGTTGTACTCGTTGGTGAGTAGCATGCGGTTGAACCATCCAGGCTGCTGAGTACCCGCGGCGGAACTTAGTGCGCGGGCGTGAGTGGTTAGTGGGCGCAACGACGTAGGCACACGCATGATCTTGAAAGGCTGAACAGCGACTTGAGCCCGACGTGAGGCAAGTTAGCGAATGATCGCTGACTGCGCAATACAAAGACCAAGTGAAGATGTGTTTAAAACAGGGGTCTGGAATAAAACCAACTTCAAGTGCTGACGTTGACAGTGTCAACTTGACACCGTCGTGTGCCGGTCATCGTGTGAGAGGCAAGGTGCGAATGGCATGACAAAAAAAAAATCCCATGCCATCCGCAATCAGGGGCTGCTGCAAAGCGTTCATTCACATTGGGAATTATACTACTGGAGCACCACACGGTTCTCGCGCTTTTGGGCAAGATAGTACCGCCGAAATGTCGATTTGCTGCTGCTGCTGCTGCAATTGCTATGCGTTGGGGACACCGATGGATTGCTAGCGACGTCTGCACTAGGGACTACTACCAGCCTGGAGGAAGGATCTGTGGGTGTACTACACGTGGAGACACAAGTTGGAGATTCACCGTTCGAGGCTTGGTTTTCAGAAGCAAATTCTCGTTTGAGAATCGGCACTGCTGACGGTGATAAGTCGCACATGAGCATTTTGCTGGCGATCTCTTTGCCGCGTGTATTCCTTGCCCGCACATGATCGTGAGATGGAGGTCTTGAACTTGTGCCTTCGTGACTAGCGAGGTGAGCTTTAAGTGCTGTGTACCGCCCTCGCTCCTCCGCAACCTTTTGGGCCATTTCACGCTTTTCGACGATAAGCTCTTCGCAAATGGATTTCCAGTATCGCGTCTGGTCTTTCATACCCGCCTCAATAACTTTCTGTGATGCAGCGAGGGACGAATGCATGTCTTCCAAAGTGCGAGACGTGCTATCCAGAAGCTCCTGCTTGATGCGATCCATTGCTATCCGAGAGCTCGCCATTTCTTCCTGTAAGGCTCGCATCTCAGTAGCATGCCTCTGCTCGTTATCCTCTCGAGTTCGCTCAGCTTCGGCCATTCTGGCTTCAAATACCCGTTGGAGACTCATCATTTCTTCGTGCGACTGAGTCAAAAGATCTGTAAGCTCCACCTCCACGATATCCTCGGCGGATCTTGGGATAGCTGTGCGTAAAGATTCCCTTTGAATAGGAGCAGGTGGGGGATACCTGCAGTTTACATCGTTGGCTGGCGCGTTAGTCCGCGAGGAAGCGAACTCACCGATTGAATCAATTGATAAGAGTGAAGGAGCAACAGTATCGGGCGTACTGTTAGCGCGGTCTCTTGGAATGAGGTCATCGCGGTTTCCAACTACATTAGTAGCAACTGTGACACCAGCCTCCTTGCATATAGCTGCAATGGTGCAAAAGCTCTGTTCAGCAGCTAAGATAGCCGCGTCAGCACCAGCGTCGTCGTGAAACCATTGCAGAGCTGTCTTGCAATCTGCGGCTAGTTGATCCAGTGCAGCAGATACGGCATCTAGGAACCCGTCATCTTCTGCAACAAAATAGTTGCCCCCTACATCGTGGCCTATAGCATCATTGTCGATCACACATTAGTACCAGGATGCACCAAGGACTACACGAACAATTATCTTACGTGATGAAGCAGTCCTGTCCTGAAGTTGACCAGGCAGTATCCTGCTAGTATCGGTTGCAGAATGTCCCCGAAGCGAACGGGATTCCGTCATTGCTCATCTATCGAGTGCCAAAGCAAGACACCGTGCTGACACTAAATCAGTCATGCCAGTTTTAGCTGTTCATGTTGAAGTCATTGCACGCCTTTTCAGCCAATCACAACTAAACTCCGTATGTATTGGCTAAAATATTTACAGATCTCAACCAGCGCTTTGGGGGAAAGCAAGGTACGCATGCTACAGTGCGAGGGACCCGCTTGCTGTGGCCTTATGGCCCTGCGGGCACGTGAATAATGATACAATGTCGCCGACTTAACACTTTGCCTGTACTGCTGCTGCTCAGACAGAAAACCTACCCAGTGTTCACGCCGTTCCAGCCACCATGAGTACCAAAGTGCAGAAGTTGATGACCCAGCCCATTAATCTGATGTTCAGATTCCTGCAGAATGTACGTGCTTGGATTGCATTATCTTTCTGTTGTGAAACTACCGTCTAATGAAATGCTGTTGGATGTCCACAGAAATCTCGCATCCAGGTGTGGCTTTACGAGCAGGTCAACACGCGGATCGAGGGTCGCATCATGGGCTTTGATGAGTACATGAACCTGGTGCTAGACGACGCTGAGGAGCTGGACGTGAAGAACCTTAAACGCACACCGCTAGGCCGCATCCTGCTCAAGGGCGATACCATCACGCTCATGATGGCCGTCGACACAACCAACGGATCCAACTAGCCAACCCGTAACAAATATTTTCCTGCCACGCGCGGGACCTTGCAGTTTTGCCACTATTGACTGAGTTTTGGTCAACTTTTTTGTGGTGAAAATGCAAATATTATTGCACTGCTTGGTTGCTCTAGGACACGTTGTAAGCGTTCTTGAAATGCTTCAAGAGGGCGCTCCCGTCAAAAGTTAACTCGGTCACCTCTTTGAAGCTCTGTACGAACACTTCGATATCATTCACAACTCTAAAGACACAACGCCAGGTATTACGTTAAAATAGTGTGCACGGAACAGAGAGAAGACTGCTACAACATACCGTTCCTTGCCTGCTGCCGTTCGTGGTTGCACCAACTTGAAGCACTCGGGCAACTTCTGTGTGAACATGTCGAACACGCGCGACATCACGTCCTTCATCTGTGGCGGGGACAGGACGGGATGTAGCACTCCATGAAGCTTTAGCGTGCTCTGCGTTATGCCGCGCATCGGATTTGTCGGAACGGAGAGACTGGTGGAGTCGTAGTCAACCTGAATGAGTCACATGACAAGAACGTTAGAGTGCTGATCACTGGCTGTCCTGCATACACCGACGCACCTCCGTTGCAACATTCTCCAAAAAGCGCTTCATGATCTGATCCTCTACGATGCTTGTGAACTTGCTAAATATCTTTTCGTTGTGTTCCGCGTAGTCTCGCAGGACGCGGTCAAACTCGTCTAACAGCAGTTTCTGACGATCAGTGAAATGTGCAGCTAGGGCAGCCTTGATGTGGGGGATTAGAGTCATGGACAACTCCAAGGACTGGGAAGCCAGAGCTGAAGTCGATATACAAAAAAAAGATCACACATGCAGGTTAAGTATTGCGGGCAATTGCCAATAATGAACCATCGTGGGTCGACGTGCTTACCTAAGTGCCGAGCTGAAATGCTCTTGAGGCGGGCAATTTGCATTGCGCCAGCGCCGAGTACCAGCTGAGTCGTTCGTGAGTTAAATAGCTACATCGCAAGGCATACTTACGTAAATGAGTTTTTGTGACAATCTTGAAATCATATCGATATGCAAACAACGAACCCGGAAAATCTCGATGGATCGCTGAAGCACATCGGTAGCTAACACAGGGAAATTGGCGGCACACGACATATAGTTCATCACGATCTCCAACATGAGAAGAACTGACCATACAACTCGGAACGATTTGCCACAAATGGACACCATCTTGCGCGGTGGTGCTGTTTCTCCAGCAATTTCACGGTCGTCAGAAAGAAGAAGCGCAACACCCCGTCCACTAGAAAGATCGTCAAGGGATTTATGCCTTGTTTCTGAGATTTCCGTGTTTTTCCACAGCTCGTGATCTAAGGTTGACACCAATTTCGTCACTTGTGTTTGGTGGTACTTCTCCAGGAACAACTTTAGCTGAGAGAAAAGAGCACCACGGAGAGTGTAATCGGTCTTGCCCGTCAGCTTTTCTAGGCTAACGACGAAATCCATGGTAGTGTCGTACAACTTCCGCAGTTGAGGCATAGTGTAGACAGCTTGGACTTCTTTTCTTACGGCAAACAGGTTCGATACGCTGCGTTGCGAGAACTCGCACGTCTTTCGCACAACTTCGTCGATTTCTCGAATCACTTTAGCACACCGCGTTTTCTTCTTCCAATCACCAAGTGTCTTCTGCTCGTCACTGGCATTTCCAGATGGTGACCAGCCCTCTGGTGAAGCGCCTTCTCCAGTCTTTGAACCTTCTGTACTGCTACTCTTGCCTTCATTACCCGCAGCAGCCTTGAGTCGGTTCTCCTCTTCTGTAGCTTCGTTGATTTTCGTCTGCATGGACTTTACAAGAATGCCCTGCACCACTACAGCACGCTTCAAAACCATGAGCAAATGCTCAAAGATCATCTGCACACACTGAAGAAATTCGTCCGACGTCAACGCTCGCAGCTGAATCGAAACTTTCGATTCACTCCCGGAAGACGCTCCAGCATCAGAGCCACTGCTGTTCTTGCTGCTGCTTGATACCGCAATTGTTTCAGTCACTACCGTTTTCACGACAACGCGGATCTCTTCATTAAGCTGATCGAGATATGTCTTCACAGTATCTTCAAGAGCATCCAAGCGGAAAAGTACATCCACGAGACGTTTCGTTTCCTGTTGCACCGTGTCTTTTTCGTCACCGAGGCTGTTCTGTCTCTTTTTGTTAGAGTAAGCTGACTCCTCCTCATCTTGAAATGTCCACTCGGGAGACGTAATGACCGAGATGAAGCGCTGCGATATTTGTGTGCTAATAAAGCCATGATAACCACGAAACTTCTCATTAAGCGAGCTAAGTCCGTGAATGCCTTGCAAATGCTCCCGCAGAAGTGTTTGTGAGCTCTCAATCAGGTTTAATGCGTTTGTGTAATCTTGACACTGTACCAACGCCTCAACAGCGGACTCAGCACTCTTGACTTCCTCCACCATCGTCACTAAATCATGAAGCTCCTTGATACGCTTCTGTCGTCGGTGCAAGCTCACAATATCAAGGGTTTTGTCAGCGAGAAGGCTTCGCAATCGATCCATCGTCTTCCTGGGAGGTGTCAGGTTTTCAAAGTAAGATAGTACGAGGATTGGATGTCAGTATGAGATAACAAAGTAACCAGCCGCAATATCGCCCACCTTAGCGTTGCCACTTGGTCACAAGCAACTTTAATCGACTGCTTCATAACTTCCTGGTCTGCTGATGCCTCGAAAAATCGGTCTGATCGAGATGATACTTGACGAAGCAGTGTAAACTCGACGCGATCCAGATATGTCGTCAGCTATGAATGAGCCAAGAATTAATTCCGCACGTTAATTATCAACGGAGCAGTGCAATTCACAATTTGCTAATGAAACGCACCTCTTCTTGAAGCGATGTAGCGTTTGGCATATTCATAACCTCTTCAAACGTGTTCGGATCGGTCAAGTCGAAATCTGGTCGAAAGAACAAGTTGGGTACGACATCTAGACACTTGGTTACATCCTCTGCAACACAACACAAAATGGAATCCGTTAAAGTTACTTTTGCAAAGTTGACACAGAGGCGTGTTGCGATTGCATTACCATCCGCGACGGAGATCGATGGCACGTTGCTTGACGAGAGCTGTTCACTGACTGGCTTCGCGTGATTCTCTTCGTATTTGGCTGCGTTTGTACCAAACTGGCGGAGGTACGGTTGAAAGTCACGTGTCGATACGTCTGCAAGCCCTGGGAACGGTGCCAAAGTAATGTCGACATCCAGTGTTGGATAGAAAGCGTCGAGCAGCGCACCACCCCAATTATTAACCTTAGGATTGGTCAAAACTGAGTGCAGATTATGATGACAGACGGACAGATACGCACGCTCCTCCTCCCCTTGAGCATCATTCAACCTCTCCTCTGGCCATCCTCCACTGCTCGAACCTGTCCGCCCAGAACTGCCCCATGATCCGGTCCTCGTGCTGCTGCTGCTTTCACGTGCCGACTGTGGCATACGTGCCTCGATCTCATGCTTATGACTGAATACAGTCGCTCCATCGGCCGAACGCGTGGAACTTGGGCCCCGCACGTCGAAAAGACTTGGATACTCTGTAGGACTGGGCAGTGTCATGCGGCTCGTAGGCGTCGCGGCCACGGAGCGGGGCGTTGCCGCCGCGACTACCGAGTCTTTGAGCGCATTTAGCGGACTCGTGACGCCATTCCATCCACGCTTCAGCAGTCCGCGAGGCGACAGACCACCCAGCGGCTTCTTGCCGCCGTCGTGCCGCTGCTCCATTTTTCAAGGTCTAAAAGGTTTTGGGGAATGCAACCGCCACGTCAATGTTGCACGAAGGTTACGATGACAAAAACGGAAGATAATTCTATGCACAAAATTGAAAAACAAAAATGACTACGGACAATAGAACGAGCCTCGGTGCGGCGACGCAAACCTGGGACTGATACCCATGTACACAAGCAGCATGTGACTGTCCGGTTGAGTGAGCGCCAACGCAATAGCACGGTGGTTGCCATCCCATATTGTGAAGGGGCCGTCGACGCTGGTGCCTACGACGATAATTGTATGGTTGAAGTGGTCAACACGATGTTGAAGCTGACGTACGTGGTCCAGCAGAGAGCCCTCCACTGCAGCGTCCTGTGAGCTCAGAATCGTAACAGCTTCTCCAACCGTACTGCATGGAGGTAAGTGCTGCCTCCAGCTATTCTCCTTTAGCACACGGAATTCCCTCACGCGCTTCATTTCTAACTTTCCCTTGTACCAGAGGGAATCTGTCGGCAAATGTGCCAAAAGTGGCAGCCGACTGGATCCCAAGAAAGCTGCACGATGAATGTTTTCATGGCTGGAAGTTGGATTTGGGTCTAGCATACCGGGCGTCAACTCGGCCTATAACAAGCATGCGGTTAGAAACAAAGGTGTATATGTGAGGGGACCAGCAGCGCGTACATGAATTTCAGGTACGTCCAGCTTAAATCGATACCACTCGCTTTGCATCATAACGCCAAGCATTTCCATCGCATCAATTGCGAGGAATACTCGACTCCATGATAGGATATACACGCTGTCATCGACACGAAGGTCTTCATTCTGGGTAGCGGTCCACTGCTTCTCAAGGCGTAGCGAACGAAAAATTTGTCTACCAGTCTCACCAAACAAGAACATGTAGTCGGCGTCGGATTCTTGCCGAGTCTGTGTCGAATGCACCTGATACCATTGTGAACTCTCCTCACGGAGGAGATTTTTCAGAGCAAACATGTTGGTGTTCAATACCATGCCGCGTTTGAGATCGTATGCGTATTTTGGACACAAATCCTCGACAACAGCCACGTGAAAGGCTCCATCTCCTTTCACATGCACCATGTCAACTTTGTTCGATGTGCCGAAGTATAGACCATAGTAGGTGTCTCCGTAAAACCGCTTGTACCAGCTCTCATCGATGCGACGCTCCACACCTGGATCCGCTCGAAATACTCGGTGCACTCGTACATGGTAGTCGCCTTCAGGGTAGTTGGCGATGTCGGAAAGGGCGGCTATCGCCTGAAGGTTCCTCGACACTTCACCATCCGGCATGGCTGACCATAAGATCAGGAGGTGGAGCTCTGGAACCATTGGACACTCTATCCCTGGATGCTCCAGTTTTGCGTTCGCGTTCGTGTCCAAAGGCAGATATCCATCGAAAACAAAAAAATCGGTCCTTGAACAGGGCGAGCCCGGCATAGCCACAACCGCAACTTGTACAACAAAGAGCACAGTTAGTCTACAAGTTAAACGTGTTGACGACATCATTTAGACTTACGAATGCGATGCCTGCCGGGGGTATCAATTATGATCTTCTCCTCCCCTGCACAACACCACCATGTCTCGATGAGTACAATTCTCCGTCAAAACGTGAGCGTACAGCACATAATAACCGACACGGCATGTTCCTCGCGTTGTGTATTGCAACGAAATTAAGGCGGTTGGATGCAGTTGGGGTCGTTGTTGTCGTCAGCTGGACGATCACTGGCAGCGGCACTGCGGTGGCATTCTGGACGCCTAGGAGATGTGGTTGTGGTAGCGCGCAGTTCACTGCACCGCACAACCGAAGCAAAGAAGCGACCCACCAAAGCAGGAGCAGCCTGGCCTTGAGGGCAGGAATCCTACCAGGATGCTGCTCCGAATGTCGGTCCATCGTTTCCATTTTGCGAGGCTTCCATGGAATCTGGCAGCCGTGACACGCAATGTGGCACTTCAAGATCGGTCTGGGCGAACTTAACAATAGCGCTTGCTTGTGTAACTCTTTCAAAATCATGCATTGAAATTATACTGCAGTCAGCGCTGCCACCACAGTGTCAGTGCTGCTAGTGAATAATGTAGTCATTAGACATTAACATGCCAATAGTCTCCAGCCATTCATCTATTAATACACTAATTCTGCTAATAAGAATTATCAATTCTGCTAATAAGAAACGACTCTTCCGTAAATAGCAGCAAATCTATCAAAGTGAGGCGCAATAACGGTGTTCGTGGACGCGTCCAATGCGCAAGATAATCTTTCTCGTCGCTGCACGCGATTCATGCATCCCAAAGTGGTACGCATTGACGAACCATTAGGCTTGCGCATGTGTGTCGATCGGTTACTCTGACAACTGGATCTGCGTCCCATTCGATCTGACCTGCTTTACATGGGTTCAGAATAGTGCTACAAAATCCAAGAAATATCAGAAACGCTCAACTCTCAGGACCACATCCACTCTGGACAGCATTGCGAACTTAAGGCGTACCTACGTGCATTTTCCCACGTTTTTCCGTTTCACATTCCAACTGATCCCAAAAGACACCAAGACGAATAAGAGTCAGAGACTGGCACACACGACCTCATGAGCGACGACAAGACGCAGCGCCAGTCCGCAAGTTCCGCCGCAGACAACAGCAAACACTCACACCGACCGTCGTTCCTGTCGCACCACAAGGACATGGCGCTCTGGGGCACGCTGCGCCACCGCATGGGCGGGTCTGTGCCCACGGACTCGAGTGAGTTCGTGGAGGAATTTTTCAGCAAGACGCCAGAGGATCCACGCTGGGAGCTTGGCGCTATTCAAAAGCAAACGGAGGAGTTTATTGCCTCGCAACTGGCTCACAACCGCCGCGGCATCGCGCTTATCACTTCAGGTGCCACGATCGTGCCGCTGGACCCAGAGAACGACACGTTCGTGGATGTGGCACCGCAGGTGCAGGAGCAGCGAGGGCCTGCCTGTGCCGAGTACCTGCTGCAGCTGGGTTATGCGGTAATCTTCGTGCATCGCGAGGATTCGCTGCGGCCTTTTACGCGCCACTTCCAAAAGTATATCCAGAATGGAGCCTTCATGGACATGTTCCGCATGCAGGACAACGGGCTCGTACTCTCCGGCATGGACATTTCGCAGCAGTTGCAGTTCCAGAAGATTGCCCAGCTATACACTGAATGCAGCACCCGCGTGCTCAACCTGAGCTTCACGTCCGTGCAGCAGTATCTTATGCTCACGCGTATAACAGCAAAAGCCATGGAAGTGGCGAAGGACCGAGCCATCGTCGTGCTCGCAGCCACGCTAATGGACTTCTACGTGCCGGTAGATCCTTCTGTTGCAGCGACAGAAGTTTCGGAAGATACGGATAGCACAGAGGCCTCGTCATCGTCGTCCTCTTCTTCGTCGAAGCACAGCAAAGTCAAGCACATTAAAAAGCTTGCTAAGAAGATCACCAAGAAGCAGAGTGACGAGTTTTCCGTCAACTTCGTGCGTGTCCCCAACATTATCCGCAAAATCCGCAAGGACTGGTGCCCAAAGGCTTTTCTGGTCACATGCAAGCACCAGCTCGCAAGTGGAGAGGACATCGAGGACGCGCACGCTGATTTGGAGAAATGGGGCGTCGATGTAATCGCAGGAAATCACTATTCTCGCGAGATTCTGCTCATCACGGAGCAGGAGGAAGCGATAGTGACTTGTCCCGACGATGAGGACATCAACGATGCGTTTGCGTCGGCTATTGCTGACATGCACCGCAGCTTTCGACGCAAACGAGAGATTCTAGTGCGTGGCAAGCAGCTCTTGCTTCTTTCAGCCAAATTCTCAATGCTGAAGGAGAATGATGTGGTGAATGAAGACGCTAACGGAAACAAGAACGTCCAGTTCGGTCTAGGTGTCAAGATTCGTGCTGATCGGAGGGCTCCCGATGCAATCGCTCCCGTATATGAGCTCAAGCATATTTTCCAAAACAAAAGCCATTGTGCTCGAGCACACGTTTGGGAAGGCGTTGTGGAGCACCCTTTGAGCGAGCCAACACGCGACGTTGTGGTGGCATTCAGTCCGGCTGGTAACCCAGAAACAATCCGTGACGTGTGGGGGGATTTCTGGTCAGGCTGGGCGGAAGACGAATTGCAAGAGTTTAAGACAGAGATGAAGGGGATTTCACTCTCGTCGGCAATCAACCTTGTGACCTCATCAGTCTCGGGTCACTACGAGCCTGCCTCTCAGCTTCTCAAATTCATGTGGAGCAAGATTGGTCATGCGTGGTCTGACGGCGAGAAGACGCGTATTCGCCAGAGTATTCAAAACATGATGGCCGTGGCTTTGGATCGTGGCTTTACAGAACCTGCAGGCATCTCAATTTTGGAGAAACTGATGCGTAGGCCTCGGATTCAGCGCTTCGACTCGCTCGTGCTTGACCAACCGACGGCTGTGCCTGTGCACGCGCAGACCCACACCCGACGCCGTCGTCGAGACAGCGACACGGACAGCAATGGATCTGGAGAAATTAACCCTGTGCGGCTCAGCAAGGCTCGTGTGGTTCGTGTGCATCGCGCTATCAATGATTACATGCAGGATATGATCAAGGAGGGACTACTCGATGCTATCTTAAAGTACGTGGAGCAGGGTGTTCCTGTGCACGTTACTGGTTACAGTATGGGCGGCATGCTGGGTCAGCTCTTCATGCTGTACCTGGGTGATCACGCTCGCATGAACGGCTGGGACGCAAGCAAGATCAATTTCGTGGGCTTTGGCTCTCCTCGAGTAGGCGACATTGGCTTTGCCGCTCGGCTTCGCGTGCTCTTTGACCCCCAGCAGTTGCTGATCGTCATGCATCCTCAGGACACTGTGCACGCTTTTCCTCCTACGGCTGAGGGGTACGTGGACGCATGTATCAAGATCTTCCTACGTGAACACGGAATGGGTGTTGGCCGACGCACACCAAAGCATTTTTCTCTTCTTCCCGTTACGAAGTCTATTGATCGTGCCTTCGAGCACGCCCACAAGGCCCATGCGCACGACAAGGCCAACGACCCAGCATGCTCCTTTTGCAAAAGCAAGGCCCACCTTACGGCTCAGCACCGTTGCCGCTACTGCATCGAACGTGGCTCTCATCGTGGTGCTGACTGTCCGAACCGCAACAAGCCGTGCCTGTTGTGTGGTAATGCCAACCACTGCACGGGTGAGCACAAGTGCCGCGTGTGCCAGCAGTACGGCCACCGTGGACGCGAATGCCACGCACAGCGTGACGTGGGCTTTGCTGAGTTGCTCACTTACTTCCGCTACCACCACTTCCTCTACTACAACGCCAATCTCAAGAAGTCCGTCGAGTTTACGTCGTAAGACAACATTTAAGTTAATGTCATTAATTTTTGACTCATTACACGTTAATACGGCCTCAACGCACTTGCAACAGCGGTTGCTGAGGGTGGGTATATCGACCAGAGAGCTATCTTGTGATCCTTGGAGCAAGACGTCAGCAGCGCGTTGTCAGCACTGAAGCTAAGACCGAACACACTTTCGCTGTGATATTTGAGCACGGCGAGAGGCTTGAGTTTTCGCAAATGGAATACACGCACACGATGGTCCCAGCCAGCAGTAGCCACAATGCGCTGATCTCCACGAATGCACACGCTGCTAAATCCACCGTGAGCACAGGAAAAGAAAGATTGAGAGTTGAGCGTGTACGAAGCCACGTCAATATTTGTGACATACAGCTCGTCGCCGGAGGACCCGCAGATTGCAGACCGCCCGTCACGTGTGACGTCGAACGAGAGCACTAGACCCACACGAGAATATTAATCTAGAGCTGTAGTGGATCATACGAGGTGATGATAAGCCACGTACATGCATTCGCGCCCTGGGTAACGGTAGTTTCACATGCCACTTTGCCGCCCGCCCGCAGATCCAAAATGGCAAGTTGTCCACCTTCAAATCCAGCTGCGATATACGCCTGCATGTTACCTCCAGCGCCAACTTCATCTTGTACAACACTGCTGTCGAAGAGTGATAGCGACACACACATGCCTCTCTTGGCGGCAACATCAGGCACTGACAGCGTCTGCGCTGGCGATGTGGGGTCCTCTCGAATGTCGTAGACGAGTAGCTGCTCGATCAAAAATACCAACACTATTTAGACGCCAAACCAGTCGCAGCAAACGATAATAAGAAAGAAGTTACCTTGTTGTCCACGCTGCTGGGGCACACGATCAAGTGTGCGTTCTCCTGGGTGTCACCTGGCCAGCGCATTGTTGCGAACTTGGTGAATGAGTATGACCCGCAGTAGAGCTTCGCCAGTGGCTCTGCTGCACTGTCAAAGGTCTGTGCATCCCATAACTTTACGAATCCGTCGCGACCTTGCGTGACGAACTTGTGCTCCGATGCAGCGGATCCTCGCAAAGCGGCAGCGTGCAACACGCCAGCTTTCGAGTGAGCGGAGTGGTTCGTTGCCAATTCTCGACGCGACTTGAGGTCCCAGATCTTGACAGCGCCGTCTCCAGCACCAGACACAACAGTGGAGACAGACAGGAAACTCACGCTGTTGACGGGTGCACCATGGCCGCGCAGGACGCCGAGCGGCTCCGGGGTAGCCTTCGTACGCATTTGCGCCTCTATCACTTTGAAGAGGGGAGCTCCCTGATTGGTCTTCGGCCAAGTTGAAGCGTCTTCAACAACTTCCCACTCTGATCGACAACAAACGGTGACATATTTGCTGGTTTGCCTCGGAGGATGGCAAGAATCGGCGATCTAGTACTGTACGGCATTGGAGAACCGTTTGTTTTCTCGTTGAGTACCAGAATGAACTGCACTGGGAGGGACAAAGCTTACGGTTGTTCATATCGCAGGACGATAACCTGGCGTTTAAACTGAGACTTCCGTCTCGCAGTACCTGTTGGAGCTCGAAAACGGATACGTTGTGGAATGACAATTGTAGTATTACTTGTTGCTTCCTGCCTCACGCTTGTCTCACTCGCGAATCCAAGATTCTTCAACGTCGAATTTGTCACGAAAATGTAGATCGACCAGAGGTGTTAGTATAACAAGATACCCCCCGCATACTATTGAAAAGTAGAAAGAAGAATTGTCAAGCTTATTCCTGCAAGCTCAGTGCAGATTTTCCGGGAACTAAGGGGTTAATAGATTATGTCCGAAGCGCAACTATTGCTAAGCATCCTGCTACTCACACACGACCTAGAAAATCCTCGAAGAACAGTGCCAACTCATTCTTCTCTTCTGCGTCAAGCTCCTCGTCACCAGCAAAACCCTCAGCAAGTTTCTCCACGACGGTCTTGATACCTGACGTTTGATGGACCTGTTGGCACGCAGGAAGCTGGTGCCGCATGGCGTCCACCAGCTCAATGACTTCGCGATGAGCAAGTAGGTGCGCCTGAATGGCAGCCACATTATTGTGATACAAATTAAAGTGTTAGTGTCGGCGTTTTCAGCTTCAATAAGCTTCGCAAAGCGAAATGCACGTACCATCTTGACGAAAGTCGTTGAGAAACGTTGGCACCACTTTTCAGACTGGAATACTTTTTCGAGCTCAATCAAAGCGGAAGGAACTGGATCATCACCACCTCGCAACTTTATCTCCGTTGCTTCAGCCAGCAGGTCGTACATGAACAGAAGTACCTGCGTTGACAAACGAATCAGTATCGTGAGGTCGGAGTGAGTGCTGGAAAGTGACCCAACTGCAGCATGAGCTTACCTTCAGCTGAAGTTTAGCAGGGTGAGCATCATCGAACAATCCTGCCAGGAGCTCCGGTCCATTATGAAGCGAAAACAGGCGCTGTCCCCGCTCATTGGAACGGACAAGGGAAGATAGTGCGTAGATGGCTTTCTTCTTCACTTCCAAGACATCCTTCGCTGCATCCTCGCTGCTCGGAAGCTCCAGTCTTAAAGAGTCAACCAACTTCGGAATGACACCGGCATCGATAGCCCACTCTTGGCCATCCTTGTAGTTTTTTGCCGCAGACCCGACCACCCACGCGGCACTTGCACGGATGGGCAAGTTGGTTGAGTTCAGATACTCAGCAACAATGCCAAAACCACCAATGAAGTTGAAGACGTGTGTCTTGTCGAGATCCTGCACTTCCCATTCCAGCACTTCGAGCACAGATAGCTGGCCTTCCGTGTCGCCCTTTTGCTCAGCCTCCTTAAACTGCTCCAACAGCTTGCCCAGATACTTGGCGTCATCCTGAAGAGACTCAAGCGCCTCTTTCAACTCAGCTTGACGCTTTTTCCAGAGGGTAACAATCTGCCTTCGGAACTCTGCTGGAGACAACTTTTCATGTGCTTCGTGGATGTCCATGCCCTCAACCTTGGGTGGCTCTGGCAGCGCCTGTAGCACGTCGTAAATCTTTTCGTGGTTCCAATTCGGTTCCGCTGGTGGTGCTTCGTCTTCTTCCTTCACAACCGACGCGACATCTTCACCACTTGCCTTGACAGTATCCTCACTAATCTCCTCCTCGGTGACAGTAAGTGTGTCGTCTTCGTTCTCTTCAGTCACGATGTCGCCGGAGATGTCCGTAGACACCGTCACGGTAGTCTCCTTAGCATTTGGGTCGACGACCACCGAACGCATGGATTCCTCTGTCTCGGCTTCATTAGGGTCAACCAGCTTTGCCTCTCGTTTGCCAGTCTCTAGGTTCAAACGCACGTGCAGTCCCTGCATTGCAAAAAAAAAACACGTAATTGTCAACGTCACGCCCACAGCAACCACAATAACTACAGCCGCCAACAGTAGTACTCACACGCGGCACGCCTTGTCCAGGTAGCAGCTCCTGCCACTCGTTCGTGGCAACAAACTCGGGCACAGTCACTCCAGAGGTATCAGGTTCGGACTCGGTAAGCTCAACAGAGACCTTGCCTTGCTCCGCTGCGGAAGCGCTGCCAACTGCCAATGCTATTAGCAGTGTAGTCGCCGTCAGCAGCAGGAATCGGCGCAATCTGAAGCTTCTTAAAGCCATCGCGGGCACAACTCTAGTGATAGTGTGGTGCGTCAACTGTTGGAATCGAGAATGGCAACTCGCTGACGTGGATACGAGGATTTCATCGATTATTGCAGCAACTTTCTCGCAACATAAACCTTGATTTGCAACTTAAGTCATTGGAGCAACATAAAAGAAGTTCGAGAATAGCAAAATGCAGTTCTTGTGGTTCTTGGCTATGAACGACACGTGGCTGCGAGGCTACAAATGACAATGCTCTGCATACACCGAATATGTAGATACGAGGAAGGCAGACATAGCTTCATGTTAAGAGATACGATCATCAGTCGAGCAATTTTGCCTCCTTCTGACCAGTCTGCAAGTTGACCCGGATGTGGAGACCCTGCTCAATACAATGGACAGTGTTAACGATACTGCACTGCTCAACACAACTCTGTGACTTAGGAGTCGAACGTCTTGACCCATTTAAGCCTGACGTACTGCTGGAAGTACTTGGTTGGGAAGGATCTCCTTCCATTCATGGGTCGGTTTGAACATGAGTGGTGTTGCTGTGCTAGCACCTCGATTCTCGGATGCCGCCGCCGCTCGTTGTCTCCGCACTGGAACAAGTGTGGTCCTTCTACCCGATTCTTGCTCATCAAAAGTAGCCCGTACACGCGCAGCAGTCAGCAGAGGTGTGCTGGCAAACAAACTCACACGTTGTTGAAGTGACCCGTGCTGCATTGTTGTCTACAAATTACGAAGTGAAAGTAAGACGATAATATCTCCAAATACGCTCTATAATCACAAAATACATTTCTCCTTATCAATAATCCCGGTGTATTATCTACTCGAGGAGCTTGGCTTCTTTCTTGCCAGTCTCAAGGTTCACACGAATGTACAAGCCCTGTGAGATGCAGAGGCGAAAGTAGAAAAGTGAGTGAATTCTACCAGACGATCATCCAATCAGTTACACGTACCGGAGGAATGGCTTGGTTCGGTAAAATATCTTGCCACTCCTTCGTCGGTATGAACTCCGGAGGAGCATCGAGGCGTCCTTCGTCTTGTTCTGACAGCCGGCGTTGGCACCCTGGGCCACTTGAAGCATCGCACGAATCGTCGGTTATCTCAGCTGGAGGATTCTCAGACAGCACCAACGCCATGGATTCGCCGCCTCGGATGTGGCCGTGAGCTTGTATCTCCGCTATGATAAAAGTTGCCAACATAGCAAGCGCAACGATCATCTTGGTCGTGGTCGCCGCCCTCTACCTCTTTGTGAGCTGATAACTTTTGGCTTAATTTTGGAGCACTTCAAGTGTACCGAAATTAAGGTACATTGAGTTTTGTTTTTGCGTCAACAAGCTCAAGCAACAAAATGCAGCCGCATCTACAAGCGGCGGCAGCAGCACTGCAGGAGAGCCGAGGGACTGCCTTCAGGGACAGTAATGCTGTCGATCTGCGCGTACAATACAAGTCCTTGCGCAGTCCGCCTAGCAATCTACGCGTGAACAAATGGGACGCGTTGATCCTGGACTCGGAGATCCTCGGGCTGCTCAAAGCACCCATGAAGAGCATGTTTAGCATGTTCGAGCCTGGTATCGTGGACCGAGTCAAGCCGGAGATTGACGCGGTACTTGGTGCTATGCTATTCGTATTCACCACCGGTGTCGGAAGGGTAAGAGATGTCTGTTTGCGAGGAGCTCGGTGGGTTTAGCTGATGTTCTCCGCTTTTGATGCAGCCGACACCCGGCATGAAACTAGAAAATGTCCGATATGCTCCCCATCTACTTACTCGACATCGTGTGGGTGCCTTCTTCTTGCTGTCGGTGGGAGTGCCGTACGTGTGGAAGCGCCTCATTCGATATCTATCGTCTTCCCGATGGACTGCCCGTGGCGACAGGTCTGACGGCGGAGAGACTTCTCGTGAGCGGATGCTAGCACTGATGAAGAAGCTCGAGACGCTTGTAATCACGTGCCAGTTCGTCAACTTGCTCATTTTCTTACGCAAGGGAACATACCGCTCGCTCCCCGAGAGATGCCTAGGAATGAAAATGGTACAGTGAGAAGGCAAGGTAAAGATGAACTTGCATATGGGCTTTACTTATGTGACTGCTATGTTTGTAGGAGAGCATCACGCCGTCGACAGCACCACGATCAATTAACTTCGAGTACATGACTCGGCAGTTGTTGTGGGAGGGATTGATGGTGCGTTGCTATAATGGGGTGTGAATTATCAAACCATATTTCCGTAACGGTATCTGACTTATTTATTCATGTCATGCAGGAGTTCGGCAACTTTGTGCTGCCCTTCTTGACGTGGAGTAGTTCGCGTACAACAGCAGCGTTTCAAGGAATCTCGTCAGTTGCGAATTCTCGTTCGTCGCAGTGCTGCCTGTGTGGCATTTCGCCGCCACAAACGCCATACATCACGTCCTGCAAGCACGTGTACTGCTACTACTGTCTGCAGACAGCGGTTGCCACGGAGGATGATTTCGCGTAAGTGTTGGCTACCTTGCTGCTTGATTGGGATAGTTTTGTAGACTGACGTTCGTGTCGTTCATGACGTAGGTGTGTTGCATGCGGAGTGAGGTTCGATTCGTCACAGCGTCTGCACATGTAGACTTACACCGAATACAGTTACTGCGGTACTTGAAGCTTTTGCTTTTTTGCTACACTAGTACTAATATTTGATCATCCTTTCCAATTCCAACGAATACAATTCTCAAACTGCTGTCGACTGTAAGTCTCCTGCGAAAATGGAGATGACGAAAGCAACGCTACTACTACGTACGAGTAGTATGCAGTGCTTAGTATATCCGAAACAAGGCGAGATTTTCCCTACCACTACGTTGCTTGCAGTTTCTTTTCAAAAAGGGTGGTGTTAAAAAACACCAGGATGAAATGATAGCCGGCTCAAGAGAGCCAACTAGAGAAGGACTGGCTCGCCATTTGTAGTGGTCGAGCCGTTAGCGGGTTAGATGACGCTATCCAAGATAGTGACAACTTACGAACGCTCGCCACGGATGCGACGAGCCAGCTGAATGTCCTTGGGCATGATCGTGACACGCTTGGCGTGGATGGCGCACAGGTTCGTGTCCTCGAACAGACCCACAAGGTAAGCCTCGGCGGCCTCCTGCAGGGCCAGGACGGCCGAACCCTGGAAACGCAGGTCGGTCTTGAAGTCCTGGGCGATTTCACGCACCAGACGCTGGAACGGCAGCTTGCGGATCAGAAGCTCCGTCGACTTCTGGTAACGACGGATCTCACGCAGAGCGACCGTACCAGGGCGGTAACGGTGCGGCTTCTTGACACCGCCGGTGGCCGGGGCCGACTTACGGGCGGCCTTTGTGGCGAGCTGCTTGCGCGGGGCCTTGCCTCCGGTGGACTTGCGGGCGGTCTGCTTGGTACGAGCCATTGCGACTTAGAAAAACTTTGCTGAGCGGGCGAGTGCTGAGAGCGGAGCAAATTGGGGAATGCCCCTGTTCATGCCGACTTTCAAACGAGGGTGTCGAAGACAAGGCAACAAAGTCACCAGAAACCTCTCTGTAAACGAGAGGCTCCACCCAATCGGTGTCTCTTTCAACAAATTTTGACCAGTCATCGTGGCGTATATTGTTGCTCCACCAATCAGCGAAAGGATACTAAGACGTCAGAACGTCAGCCAATCAGCGCGAGGTATGCGGGGACACGGTGGAGATCAGTGTCTGTTGACCGAAGGTCGCACCAGCTGCGGTACGCAAAGGGCGGGAAACTCAACATGGCAGAGCCAAGTCAAAAGAGGCGGCCGGATTTGAATCGCGTCGCAAAGTCTCATTCTGCAATCTTCCAACCAAGAAGCAAGCAACTCAACCAACCAACTCAAGCAACATGTCTGGACGTGGCAAAGGCGGCAAGGGACTCGGCAAGGGCGGTGCCAAGCGTCACCGCAAGGTTCTTCGCGACAACATCCAGGGCATTACCAAGCCCGCCATCCGTCGTCTCGCACGTCGTGGTGGTGTGAAGCGTATCTCCGGCCTCATCTATGAGGAGACCCGCGGTGTCCTCAAGGTGTTCCTTGAGAACGTCATCCGCGACTCTGTCACCTACACTGAGCACGCCCGCCGTAAAACCGTGACGGCCATGGACGTTGTGTACGCTCTCAAGCGTCAGGGCCGCACCCTTTACGGCTTCGGCGGATAAGCGCATTGCGGCTAGCTGCCTCGGGCTCCCGACGGACCCAACAATCTGCTTTCGAATGCAATCTCTGTCTATTTGTTCTAATTGAACGGATAGCCTAGTGGATCAATTCGAAGCTTCATTTCCTGGTGTTTTTTAACACCACCCTTTTATCGAAGAATGATCATCTAGAGAAGAATTTGAGTAGTAAAAGGTCTAGAATGCTGGTGATTGTCGTTTCACTGCTTGTTGTTGATGAGCTGTCCCTATTGTGTGTGTGTGTGTGTTTTTTTTTTTCTATAGTCCCTACAACCTGACAGTGGCTATCCCCGACGAAGTCTTTGTTGCCGTGCTAGGTTGTGCTGTTGCGTGTAGAATTCCTGCTTTGATAAAATGTCTGGCGAGTTCGGTAGATCTGTGACCGACACTACGAGATCGTAACTCGTATCGACGCCTCCTGCTCCGAAGACACCGATATGCAGAGCGATCCAGCGACGACCGCCCTCCTCATTCTTGCGAGGAAATCCGTCAAGGTATGTGAAAAGTTTGATGAGCTCGTTGCCGCGGCGCTGCGCGATCCACGTAGAGTGGCCCATGCGTGGGTACTTGACCTCGCTGGAGAGATACAAGTTGGCATCGCCACCGTCGGACACGTCGTCATCGTCGCACAGCAGCTCCACTGTGATGAGGTGCTCGTGCTCATGACGCCCCACGCAGAGGTGGTAGAAATTATAGCCATCCGGCGTCACGGTGCCATTCACAGTCATGTTTGGCGCGACGCGTGTACCCAGCGCCAGTCCCCATTGCGCGATTGTCCCGTCAGAAGCCAACTGGATCTCATCTAGTTCACACTCCGAGTCCGCCGAAGATTCCATAGGCGACTCGACGCCAAATGCTCCTTGCGAGTAGACTTGGGTGGCCGAAGCAAGCAGCGAGTAGGTGCCGCACAGAAGTAGCAGCAGCCAACGTGGTTGAGTTACGTGCAGCATTGAAGAATGCTTGACGCTCGAAGACACTTCTTCACCGAAGTATTCCTATTGTGCGATAAGATCGGTGACGTTGAAACGTCAACGTTGAAAACGGAGAGATCACTGCATGATTGGTGATGATGCAGTAACGACTCGTTGCTGCTATTAAAACGTTAAGCTTACTCTTCGAAGGTCTCGATTTGGACGCCAGCTCGACGTGCTAGAGCTGGTGGATCCCAGCTCACCTCTTGCGTTAACGTGTCCACGTAGTATGCTTGGCCAGAACTCGGATCGAAAGCTTGCTTGAAACGCTGCATCAGTCTCGTACCAAGTTCCTGCTTGGCTTTCTTCGCTCGGTAAAGACCTTGAAGTCGTGTCGCTGCCTCCTCCTCCGTCCACTGAAAAGGTTTCCTTGATATCGTTGCCGACATCAGTGATTCTAGTTTTTTCTGGCGAGTGCGAGGTGTAAACACGTCCGAGTCAGCTCCACGCAACAGCAGAGGTTTCTCCCATGTCGTTTCCTTCGTACGGGTGTTGTGGTAATAGTACATGCCCTGGTCTGGATCGTAGATCCGCTCGTAAACTGCTCGGCACATCTGAAGCAGATTCTGGAAACCCTTTTTCCGTCGGAACGCGCGCTGCACCATTCGTGCAGCTTTGTCAGGTGTTAGCATCTCTTCACGTTCCTTCTTCTGGCGAGTCCGAGGCGTGAATACATCGGATTCCGCCCCTCGTAACAGCAACGGTTTATCCCAAGTTGTCTCCTTTGTGCGTGTGTTGTAATAATAATACAGTCCCTGTTCTGGGTCGTAAATGCGCTCGTAGACAGCGCGACACATCTTTAGCAAGTTCCGAAAGCCTATCTTGCGTCGGTATGCGCGCTGTACCATGCAAGCTGCAGTTTCAGGCGTCAACGACTCGCTCCGTGTCTTTTTTGGATTCATTTTCGTCACCATATTACTCGGAGTTGCCTCGTCAGCTTTAAGCTGCTTGTAGCGTGATCGAGGAATTTGTAAATCTTCATCATTCACCCACCGTGGTTTCTCCCATTTTACTTCTTTCGACTTGGTGTTGTGATAGTAGAATCGTTGCGTACTGGTATCCCAAATCTTCTCGTAAATAGATGAGATTAGCTTTCTCATGTGACGTCGCGCTAGATGACAGCGTGCCATCGCCTGCAGCTTCAAGACTGCGTGTCGTTCTTCCTCCTCCCTCGACTCAAAAGTTATCTTCGTCTTCTTTCGCGTATTAGAGCAGCAACTTGACAGATCTTCGCTTCCAAGTGCAGCTGGTTTCGTCCATTGAGTTTCCTTGGTATACCTGTTGTAATAATACGTTTGACCTGTAGTAGGGTCCTCGAAACTGGTGTAGACCTCACGGACTAGTGCCTTTAGTTGTTTTCGAGCCTTACGAATCTTCCACATCGACTGAATTTTCGCTAAGGCTTCTTCACGCGTCAGAGGCGGTTTCTGCTCGAGCTGATCATGAATTTGACCCAGCAACTCTTGCAAAGTGCCATATACTCTCGACACCGTCGTGTAAGTATTCTTGAAATCGATTGACGTTGAGATAGTCTGGGGTGCGGAATTTTTTTCGGTGGGTGGTGGTGTCGCGGTTGTTGCAGGCAAAGAAGACCGAGCCAGAAACGCCTGTGTTTCGGTGAGTAGCAATTTCAGCTCTGCTGCATCCTGCTCAAGGTGATGCCTGGAAATGAAACACCAAGTTGATAATTGGAAGATCACAGCGGTATGCGGGCTTGTACATACCTTGTGATGTGTGCTATCCATTCTTCTTCCTGGTTAGTGACATCTTTAACCGAAGGTCGGCATGAAAGAAAAAAAAACTTAGCGATCAAGCCGTATTGAAAGTGTGGAATGTGTGCGCACCTTGAACTGGAGTCCAGGTGTGTGGTAACCGGAAATCAGGGTGTCGAGCAGCGAAACAGGCATCGCAATAGTATCCATGCTGGTTCTCCCCAAAACTGCATCATCTAATTAGTTCGTCTTTCTACGAATTTATCACAGCGTAAAGAATACATACTTGGCGCAACTGTGGCACTGCTTCGTGGCAGGAGCTCCACGGCAATGAAAGTGGAAACTGCATCGACTCTATCAATTGTACGCAAATAAAGATACATGAAATAGTGAAGCTTGACTGCTGGATAATTGAACCCATACTTGTGGAAGCTGAATGCCTTGAAAATGACGAATATGAGGGCGCTTCTTTTGTGCTAGAGGCTTGGCTTCTCGGGCTCTGAACTTGGCTATAACTTCATGGCGATCGGTTGCCGTACGTGGGTGGTTTGATGCGAGAGCGCTCACTCTTGGATCGCCGAGACCGTCAGGCCACTCTGGGTACGTGTCGAAGCTACTCATGATGGTGCTACTGGAACCTATTAGTTGATCAAAGGCTATTTCTGTCGAACGAGTTATGATGACTTCTCGTTCGCATTTCGAGCTACCAGTACCCCGCACTTACATTATAATCATGCGGGTGTTGATCGTGAATGCGTATCCAGCTTCAAGCAAACGTGGCCGCGAGAGGTTTGAGCAGTTCCGTCGTCATGTTACGCGCGTGGTGAGAGAAATACAGAAAGCGGAGGTTACACGAGTCGAAATCGTGGTGAGGAATGAAAACACAAAACACCATGGAATTGTACTTGGAATACTGATTGTCTTGTGTCTATGACGCTGTGCAGGAGAAACACCGCAGCAACCTTGATTCGTTTCTGTTCGAGCTTCACTCGGAGTTTGCTGATCCGCACAACATCACAAATTTCGATCAGTTGGATTTCGTATTCGTCGATGGAGACGCCAATTCCAGTCCATGGGCACCAAACATGCGAAAGATTGCACTCCTGACCAAAATGTGTATGATGACGGGGAAATGTTTTTTTGGGAGTGGGATTGGTGCATCGTTAGTGGCATTCGTATGCTCCACTGGAGGCGAGCAATTACGAATTATGAATAATGAAGGAAAAGGCAGTATGATCGACAAGCTACAGGACATCCCCCCACCTCCACAAGAATCGAGACCGGTCGGGTTTGTATCTCCTCGTGGAGGAGATAATAATGTGTTGCTCGACATTAAGAGTGGTGATTTTTTTGTGTTTGTTGAACGCGAGCACTCCTGGGCCCCGAAGGGTAATACTGGTCTTGTACTCCATTCCAGCGATAGGGCACGTAGCTACGGGGCTCGGCCGAACTCCGCCCGTGCTGGAAATAAGAAAACGAACGTCGGTAAGATCAGTCAACCACTTTTTCTCTCCAAACGAGGAGAAATTCGATGCTGTATCCGACTCGAAGTGGCAAATCAACACTCCATTATTACGACGACATTTCCGCGAGAACGAGAGCTGGTCCTCAATTGTAAAAGCAAATGGGATCTGGACGAGGAGATCGCTACTACCGGTGGCAACAAGTATCGAGTGCTTATCGATAGCAGTCGCGGACCGATGTTGTTAGAATTTGGAAATTGCTTTGGATCACATTTCGAGCTAGCTAGCGAATATCCAGAATCTTTAGCGCTGCTGCGAAATTTCACACTGGCAAAGTATGATGAACTCAAGGTGCACGCACATATCGACCGAAGTTACGTATCAGCGATCAGCGGATCTGCACGATTGAAGCAGAGGCTCAGCCAAGCTCAAAACAAACATGTTGGATCCACCCATATTTCTCGAATGGAAACAACTCTGCCAATCAATAACAAAGCACATCTTGTTGAAGGACATGAAGGAATCGGAGTCGGAAGATCGTCTCCTAAACGCAACCGTCCCGTATCAGCAGGTCCTTATCGATCGAAACCACACGAAGTAATTCCAAGGCGTATCCACACCTCCAGATCAGCCTATGCATCTTCACTGGATTGTCATTCTTTCAAGGCTCAAAAGGCTCACGTGGAAGAAAACAATGTCACGGGTATGTCTTCTGAAACAAATGACCAACGTAATAGCACTGCACGAATGGAGCTACACCCCGAGACAGCAGAAGCTTCGCCAAAATCAATATTTCAAGCTAAGCCGCCGCGAATTGTGCGAGTTCCCCAGAAGAACGAACTGGAAAAGCCTTATTGCGCGCAGCACCGCTTTGTCAAGATGCGCAAAGAAGAAGAAAAACAATCTACTGGTTACTATTCAGTGGTGAATGATGCACCCTACGTAAGTGCCTACGAACATGAAGTCGTCAACAAACAGGTACGAACGCAAGAATTGTAGATTTGGTTTAGAATTTGTTCTCATGAACGATTTCTTGTAGAGGAGCAAGCTGCGATGGATAGGAGGACCTTTCCGCTCTGCTATTGGGAAGGCGTCCACACATGTGGTGCCAGAGGCTAGCATCTTTATCAACGACCCATTTGTGCAGAAGAACGTGCCGTTTTACATGACTCTGAGACGACAACTTGACCCTGATGAGTCTAGCAGATCATCGCAACAGCAGTCAAGTGGAAACCGCCAGCAAACTCGAGACATATCGACGTTAACGGTGGAAAATAAGTAGTTGTAAACACGAATTCATAAAGTCAGCGCCACAGTCAGAACAAGTCTAGACCGATGACACACAACTACCATTCTCTTCGCCCGTTCTTGCTTGCCTTAGCCAATCAATTGTACTGGGCAATGGCTTGGAGCAGATCTTTTGACTCTTGCACAAAGTTGACGGGCTCCAGGTTCACGACGCCAGCCTTCACACGAAGCTCCTCCTGCACATTCTCAGCCTTCACCCGAAGCCGGCACACGTACTGCTTGAACAACGCCTCCTTGAAAATTGACTCGAACAGCGCCGGATTCGTATCACGAAGCTCGCCGATTTCATCCGCTGTCCGGCCGCCCATCACTACCTTGCCTTGGTCGTTGAAGCATGTTGTCCACGTGCTGCCAGTGTGGTCCAGCATAATCACCGAGAGAATGTAGCGGTTCTCGCAGTTCGGATAGGAAGTCTGGCATTTCTCGCATGTGTAGTTCTGAGCGACGTCAGCCACAACCTTCTTCTGACACTTGGGGCAAGCCTGGTAGTAAATACCCGTGTCATGCTTGATGAAATTCACCGTTCCCTTCACTGTGATGTAATCAGGCTTCTGACCAAAGCCAAGCTGCTTGCCCTTGATATCGTTGATGACCGCACGCTCGGAAAAGCTGCCAAGCGAACCACCACCGAAGCCGCCACCACCGGAGCTGAGAGACTTTGTTTGCGTCGCATTGCCACCGTTGGAGAACCACGTGACAAGGTGTCCTGCTTCAGGAATCGTTGGATTGACAGTAATGCTCGAGCTCCCCCCTGTGCTGATCGATCGTCCATTGTAATCGCTCACGCGACAGCCCTTGATAGCCAACACTTGGTTGAGCCAGTTAGAGCAATCCTGCTGAGCTTGCTCATTCCACATCGTGCACTTGATCTCGGCGTTGGAGTCGTCGACGAGCGAAATGTCACGCTTGAAAAGCTGCTTGCCCGCCTTGGACGTGAGCTCAGTCACTTGACTGACGTCTCGCACGACGCCAATGATATCCACATTGGCATCGGTCGGCACATTTTCGATTTCGGCGATTTTCTTGAAAACATACTGCATCTGCGAGATCTGTCCGTCTTCCGGGGCTGGAGAAATCTCCGAGTGCGGGTCGAAAGTCACCTCGTAGTCGTTATCCACCGACGAGAAGCGACGATTGGCCATCTTGACCTTGCCACCAGCAAAGTAGAAGACGCCACCAGGACGCAGCATTTCGTAGAACTTGTCCACACCGTCATTGAAGAAAGTGGCGCGGATCTCACCTTTCTTGGCGTCAAGCAAGTCAACGCTGAAGAGCTTGCCGGAGCCGCGCGAATTGGTCCAGTTCTTGATCGGAGAGCGAGTCGTCACACGAGCCTTGATGGTCCAGCGTCCACCCGCGTACGGGTTCAGACTCTGGATATCCGAGAGACGAACATTCGGGTCTTGACGCACGACAGGCCCGCGGTTATACGTGGATGGGGCAGGCTTCACAGGCGGCACGTAGCTGGACGGAGCAGCAGGAGGCTGTTGGTACGGATTGGTGGGGGCTTGCTGCTGGTAGGAAGGTTGTGCGGGTGCAGCAGGTCTCGCACCAAGAGCCGCTGCGGGTGGGACAGAGGCCGCAGGAGCAGTGGGGACGGGTGGACCCCTGGAGCCATCAATGTTCTGAGGCGATCCAATGCAGTCAAAGTGCGGCACGATGTCGCCGACTTTAAGCACGATGATGATCCTGCGGCCCTGCACTTCATTGCCGAGGTAATCCTTTAGTTGTAGCACGTAGTTTGTCTTGAGACTCTCGTTTTCCATCATCTATGAAGCAGTAACGAATTATTGAGAAGATATAACTGGAGGGGAGCTGGGCTTTGGACGTACCGGAGCCAACTGGGTTGCGAGCATTCCACTGAGGTAGGACGTTCCGTCCGATAGTACGATGCTGTGGTTGATTTACAGGAGATCGAGTAAAAGACAGCGTTAGTGGGGCTCTTCATTCTCCATCAAGAGATATCTGCCTTCATACCGGTATCGGTCGCCGCCCGTACCGCTGGCCGGTTTAATCTTCTTGGTGTCGATGATCTGCAGCCATGGCTCAAAGCCATCGGGCGCCTGGTTGTGGTACAGCATCGACACAGCGTTGGGCGTGAGGTTCACCATGACTGCTCGCTAGGTTGCTACTTGCTGGGTGGACTTGGTTATGAAGGATGTTTGCAGTTTGGCGCCAAATTTGTCGTACTTAGTTAATACTGAGTGCGCCACACCACTTATTGTAACCTGGTTACAATTCCCTAAAATTGTTATATTCTCGAAAATAGCTATCTTTAGAAAATGTAATCGCAAGTACATGTATTAGTTATTTTCGGTATCCTGCTAAACATGAAAGTTATTTTCGTGGTTTACTTTTTACTACTGTTATTTTCAAGTCTTACCGCGCCGAAAATAACTTTTTAATTGAATTGTGATTATGGCTTCGTTTCTACTTGAGCAGCTCTCGACGAAGGTAGCAGTGGACGACGCTATCCGTGGCACCAAGGACCGTGTGCTGGTGTTGCGCTTCGGCCGAGCCTCGGATACTGTATGCCTGCAGCAGGATGACATCGTGGGTAGTAGGATGGTAGTTTATTGAGTAATTTGGTTGGTATCCTTTATTCTGACGTTGTGTGTGTGTGTGTGTGTGTGTGTGTGTTTTACAGCTGGCCAGATGCGAGCGCGAGCTGTCCAAGATGGCAAGGATATGTCTGGTGGAGGCAGAGCAGGTCCCTATATACTGCCAGTACTTTGACATCACCCTTATACCCGCCACCATTTTCTTTGTTAACGGACAGCACATGAAAGTGGACTATGGGTGCGTTGTTCAAGTGGTTGTCATCCGCTTTTGCCGCTGCAACGTATTACACGAATTCTCACTTGCTGCGATATACTATTGAATTGGCGCAGTACACCTGACCACACCAAATTCATCGGAGCGTTCCGGACAAAACAAGACTTTATCGATCTCGTGGAGGTGCGTCAGAATGCAGAAGCTCGTCCCCTTGAATCGCTCTTAAAGGCCGATTTGGTTACGTGTGTTACAGGTTATTTATCGCGGTGCAAAACATGGCAAGTCTATTGTGAACTGTCCAATCGAGAAGTCGCACATTCCGCACTACGACCTCCTTTACAAGGACTTCTAGCGCGACTGGATCACTTGAGGGTATTCATACTTGGTGGGGGCACCACGGGCCGATTACGGAATAGATCTTGCACGCGTTGGTTCGTCCTCTTGTACGACTTTCGCGCATCGTCCACTGTGGCTTGCAATTCCTGGGAGCGGCGCTGCTGCGGTGAGCGTGGGAAGGAAACAACGGGTTTTGCCGAGGCCGGGGTGCGTTGGTTGCTGGTTGTTGGAAGCGGGGCTGCATTGTACTGCTGAAGTTTTGTCTACATGAAAAAGAAATAGCTTTCAATCAGATTGAAGGAGTTATGGTGATGCCAAGGTGATGAAGACCTACAAGAGTTTCTGCGTCGCTTGGGTTGAGTCTCAGTGCTTGCTGGTAGCTTTCGCATGCAGTTTGGTGCTTTTCAAGATATCTCGCAGCGTCGCCCTTCCTTACATAATAATACGACACATTCGAATCCTGTTTGACAGCTTGAGCAAATTCCAACTCGGCCTTGTCGAATTGAGCTCTGTTGAACAGCTCCACGCCAAATTGGTAGTGTACGAGGGCAACGCGTGATTTAATATTTTGATCGCCTGGAAGCAGTTCTAGTGCATGGTGGTAATCTGCCAAAGCCTGGACGGTGACAACACAATAGATTAGATTCGCGGTGCTAACGGGGAAACATGTTCACTGACGCACCGCTTGAAAGTTCCTGAGCCCGCGGTACGCATCGCCACGATGAAGAAAGCATTGTGGGCTAGCAAACTGCTCACGGAAAAGCTCTGTGAGTTCCATCTGACTGCGAATGGCTTGATTCATCGCGTTTACAGCGAGCTGGTACGATTTTTGATGCAAGAAACGGATCCCAATGTCATTCAGAATGAGGCTTCGTTGCTTGATGATGTCGCGGTATTGTGACGAAGTATCTCGTTCCGAGTTAAGACGCAAAGCTGGCACGTGTGCTGGCTTTTTATGATGATTGTCGTGGAACACCTGCGCGGACTGTATGGTATTCTTTTTGTGCTGATGGCAACTAAGAGCCTTCTCGGTATCACGCAAAGCCATGTGATACTCTCCAAGCTCACGGTAGGCCGACGCTCGTAGCAAGTAAAGTTTTGTCTCTTCGGGTGTGATTTCTGTCGCTCTGGAAAGGTTTTGGATGGCGTCTTCAAATTGATGAGCCATCAGCTGTGTGCGAGCTTGTTCGTAGATAGCTTGGGATTCTTTTAACAAGCGTTGCTCGTGACCAAGCACCTCCGGATGATCGGGTTGCAAAAGTGCTGCCTTGTGGATGTCGGCGGTCGCTTTCTCTTGCATGTGCAGTCTCCAGTGTAATTTGGCTCGAAGTACGAAGTATTCGACGTCGCGGCTATTAAGGCAGATACAGTGATCAACGTCCTGTACTGCTTTCTCATAGCAACCTGCCTCGATATTCGCCACAGCTCGATGCAACCAGTAGACTTCGTCGAGTGCGTTCAACTGGATAGCCTCGTTGAGATAGCCAAGCACAATAGTTGGTGATTCGCCCAGACAGAGCAAAGAGTAAGCGTGGAGGTCCAGCAATACCGCAAGCTGGTCTTTGATGCGCTGCGGTGGGTCTGGATCCACAGCGAACAGCTTCCGATAATTTGCAATCGCTGATTTGACGTCGCCAAGTTCCCAATACACTTGTGCACGTTTGGCATAAAGCTGCGCGTGTTCTGGTCGCAAGAAGATAGCTTTGGTGAGGCATTGTAGTGCTCCATCTAGATCATGGACAGCTATACGAGCGTCGGCTTCCTCCTCCTTCAGTCGTGACGCTTCTAAAGGGGTCAAGTCCGGAGCAGTTTTGCTTGTACTTGGTGCGTCCATGGTGCACGGACTGGCGACGTGCCCTCGGCCAGGATAGAAGGGTTAACTGCCGACCAAATCGAGAACGCCCTTCGACATTTTGCGGTGAAAGGTCGAGTGCTACAGAAGTGGGAGATACCCAACAGCACGCGATGGGGACCCAAGTGAAGCCCGTGGTGAAGACATCGACGATGGAGCAGGAGCTACAGGACGAGGTCATCGCCGTCGCCCAAGTCGCTATGAGCACCGAGACGAACGAGCAGGAGATTGCTGCCAAGGTCAAGCAGCACTTTGAGCAGAAATATCATGGGCTATTGTGGCATTGCTGTGTTGGGCGCAATGTTGCGTGCTATGTGACTCATGAGCAATCCAAGTTCCTCTACTTCTACATCGGCCAAATGGCTGTCGTGCTTTTCGCCACCGCCTAAGCTTAGCAAACGGGTTCTGCTCCAACAAGAAGAGAGATCCGAATACAGAGCTTCATAAAAAAGAAAATGGAGGAAACGACAACGTCGAAACTATTTTCAATAAGAACAGTACTCTGTGGTGTTCACTAATATTACAATAAAACCCAAGAGCCTTCTGCTAACATTTATCGTTATCGAATGCATGATACGGTGTTGTTTTCGACATGAGCCTCAAGCTGTACGCCGAGATACCGTACAAACTCTTGCGAAAGCGTTCTTTGGGTCCTGTCCTCAGCACGCCGCCCCCTCTACCTCTCATCGTACTCTCGCCCGATGACGAGCTGGAAGAATTCGACACTACCACACAGACAGGCTTCGGCTACGTCCTGCCACATTTAGCTGCCCTAGATGATCCTGAGGCAGGCAAACATGTCGACGGAGATGCCGTCGCCGTACCCCCCGAGGCTCTCAGGCGAGCTCGTCTGCTAAGCGACTACATGACGAACAACGAATTCTTTCAATCACCACGCCATGGATTTGGTCTTGAGACCCGGCTCATCTACAAGCGTAACAAGGAGCTCGAGAGCCGTTCGAATGCCAGCACAAATCTCTCAGACGAGATAAGCTTCAGCGCTACCTTTGAGAGCGGCAATTTGGACCGAGCCTATCGAGTTCTGGGGCGTCGATACGCTCCTAGCCACGAGCTACTCATGTTACGCAGTTCTTCCTTCATCGGTAAGAGCTCAACGAGGTCGAGCGAACCTGGCCTGGTGTCAACCAAAGCACCAACTTTACAGACATCGACGATGCCATTCCCGTTTTTCGTCGACGTTGATTCTGAATACGACCTCTATGCAGACACTGACATGAACACACAAGGCTGTATCCAATGGTACTTTTTCCGAGTCACAATTCCGTCAACTTTGTTCCAGCAAGCCCGAGAACGCGGAGCTACCAGCTTGAAGGTGCGCTTCAATATTCGTAACATGCTCAAGAGATCCAGCCTGTACACCGAGGGCATGCTCCCTGCCGTTTACATCGACAGCTCGGGCGCGCCCAAGTGCGGTTGGAATCACGCGGGGGTCAACGTCTGCTACTTCAAGAACACGGACACCTATCGACATCGTCGCACGGGGAAAGTGATGAACTACTACACGTTGTCTTTCGTGAATGAGTTTCCGGTGCAATCCCCATCTTCTTCAAAAGCATCGTTCTCGTCGAGTCAGACATTTGGCGACAAGCCCTTTGTTGCATACTTTGCCCATTGTTACCCTTACACATATACACGGCTGCAACGGTACTTATTGTCCATGCAGAAAGATCCCGATCGTAGAAACAACTTCAAGCGAAGAGTGATGTGCAAAACAATCGCTGGTAACAACTGCGACTTGCTCACTATCACGGACTTCAGTCAAGACGACGAGAAGGACTCGACTACAAGAAAACGCACAGCAATAGTGATCTCAGCTCGAGTTCATCCGGGAGAAAGCAATAGCAGCTTTGTAATGCATGGTATACTCGAGTTTCTTACGGGAAACTCGCTCGAAGCTCGGTTTTTGAGGCACCACTTCGTGTTCAAGGTTGTGCCAATGTTAAATCCTGACGGGGTCGTTCACGGTAATTATCGGTGCTCACTCGCCGGTACGGACCTTAATCGACGGTGGCTTAACCCCTCCACTGAGCTTCATCCAACAATTTTTGCCACCAAGAACATGATCCTCTCCGTTTGCAAGACGCGTCACGTGAGTCTGTACTGTGACCTTCATGGCCATAGCCGCAAGAAGAACATTTTTCTGTATGGGTGTCGACAGTTCGACCCTGGTAGCAGAAGTGAAGCCGCTCGTGTTCGCCTCTTTCCCCATATCCTTTGCAAAACTAGCGATTGCGCTCACGGAGGATTCTTTAGCTTTGGGGATTGCACCTTTTCGGTCACTGCTTCGAAGAAGGGTACGGGCCGTGTAGTCGTGTGGAACGAGATGCAAGTGCTTCACAGTTATACGCTTGAAGCATCTTTCTTCGGTGTTGATGCCGGCGTACACAAGGCAAAGCTACTGCAACCTGCATCAACTACCCACAGTCGCGTTGAATCAGATCTCGTAGAGCAGATAAACCCTTCTCTTCGTCATTTTAGTCCTGCTGATCTCCATACTGCTGGTTTAAAGGTTTGCCATGCTTTGCTTCCATTTTCGCAAGTACTCGCTTTGCAGCGTGCCAGTACGATGCCTCTTTCTCCAAAACTTTCGGGAATTCCTACGAGATCGAGAGCAGAGCAAGACGAAATAGTTGTCCCTGAGCAGCGTTGTGACTTGGATTCTTGTGAGCCTCCAATCCCAGTTAAATGCTTTGGACCGACAACTGTTGCCAGCGATCTCGCGAGTAGCACCAAAATCCGTTTGATGCCGCTTGAAGGCTGTAAACTACCGATACAATTACCCACGGAACAAGATATGACGTGGACACAGCCACAAAGGCCAGCATCTCCTCTCCTTGACCCTGTGCCATCCAATCGATTAACGGAGAATTGCGACGTGACTTCGTTCGGCTTGCCCTCTGAATTTGATCAGCTATTTTCTGGCGAAGACGTGTCGATGCTATCGCTTCTCGATCATGACGATCTGATGAGTGAAATCGAGGCAGCACTTCCAGATAATTTCCAAGACAACCCGGAAGATGACGATTCCGCAGGCTCTGAATCGGATCCATCTGCTGATGCTGTAGAGGAGGAGGAAAAGGAAGAGCAACAGAAAGCCCCTCCAACAATTATCGAAGAACCACCAGCCACTGAAGCAGAGCCCACGGAATTGGCGATTTCTATCCTTTCTCGAAATCGAACGCCTCGAGTAAGCAGACATCTTTCTGAACCCCGATTGTAAGTGCTTCTTCACACCTTCGCTCCAGCTGCTGCGTGCTGACTTGTGTTGTGAAATTTTTGGTCAGACTTGAAGCAATTGTGCTGAAACGAACATCTTCTCAATCGGAACCTGCGCCTGCTTCAGCTGTAGTAGTCCGTACAAAAGCCAATAAGCCTCTTGTGCCGAAGCCAGCTCCAACTCTAGCACCAATTCGCAAGGAAACACCAACTCTTCGCATTTTGGTTTGCCAGAATATACCGTACGACCGTAACAGAGAAATCGCCGCCATGCATCTGCACGCTGTTCAGCGTCGCTCGAAAATTAGACGGAACGTTCGCCACGCTACGTTGGAGGTAGACGAGAGCTAGTATACGTGTACCTGAAGCCTTTTGTACTTCTTGAAGTACTTGTTTCTCAATTACACTTGTGAAATTAAGGAAAGCAAAACCCAATCATTTCAGTTCATTTTCTCGCTTGGCAGTCCAACTTAGACCGCGTCTGCTCTTCCCAGACTAAGGTTCACTTCATCCATGTTAGCGAGCGGCGAATGAGGTCTTCGGCGTATTGGCACCAGCTTGGGCGGCTCGCGTACATTCTTCTGCGAAGCAGGAGAAAAATTCATGTCCTCCTCATCAGTTAGAAAACCACTAGTACTGTTGGCACTCCCGTTACTCTCCACTCGTTCGCGTCTGTCAAAGTTCTGCCTTGTGGTAGAGTCTCTGTGAGCCGGAGTTCTCTGCACACGTGGCAAATTCTGCCACGCGCCCTCGTCAATACGCCGGATCAGTTGAAACTGGTCCACCTTCTTGATTTTAAAGACCAATACTGCGGTGACGTAAATGAGGACGACATTGATCCACAAAAGCATTAGACTGCCCACTGCAATCTCGTAGAAAACAAGTTTTTGCTCTTCTCCGATAACATCGTCCGTCTACATGTAGGGGGAGATAAGTTCACAAAAACGAAATCAGAAAAAAAAAAACTTCCTTCACGCAGCAACACGCACCACAAAATATTGCCCGATCATGACATAGGAGAAGCATATCCCGCAGTTAACGGTTGGTGGAAGTAGTGCCGCGGCGATGGCAACTCCGACAACAGAGGAGATGTTGGCATTTGATTCAGCCAGCGCAACACCAGTGCCCGAAAGTGCAGCAACAATCGCCCCGAATAACAGTTGAATTGCCTGGCCACGCTCGCGCATCTCGGCCGTGGGCCAGTTCAGCGCTACTGCATAGGGGCTTAAGAACGCGCCGATCATTATACCCAATAGAAAAGTAATTGTCTGCAAGCATGATGACAGCAGCATCAATAAACCGCGTAAGGTATTGGGCCAAGTAAACTCTTCCGTGTAAATAAGTACGCACCAAAGCGAACAGCTCATTCAGCATTCCGTTAATGAAGAGATTTTTATCGCGAAGAGCAAATCCGAAAGCGCAGCCCAAAATTGGTCCCTACAACCACCATCAATCACCATCACTTTAATTTCTGCCATGGTCAAAGTATTTGCAATTCAACTTCGGTACGAAGGTGCAGCGTACCATCATCGGGGATAAAAGCATGGAGGCGACGACGTAAGTCTGCATTGTAATCGTGGCAGCATTAGTTGTTAACTTCCACCTATTCCAAAATTCCGGTTATCCTTACCCCTGAATCTCCAGCCAGACCAATTCCAGCGATCGACCTGTGAGAGTACACGACCATAATGAGGTTTCCACCTCACCCAATCAGAGAAGAATAAAATCAAGCAGCTTACGACGAGATTAACAGCATCATCACTGAGTCCCGGGACAGTGTAGAGTTTGCTTCGATATGTGCGTACATCTCGGCCACAGGTACTGCAGTGCCCACGTCGGTGTTGCGCTCCAGGATGCGGCCAACACTGCGCTTCTTCTTCTTGCTGCGGTTGTGCTTGCGCATGGTGGTGCCTGGCGTGAGCGACATGACGTCGCAGAAACCAAACTGCACACCAACGCCCATACGCTGCAGCTTGTTGAGGATCGCCTGCATCTCCTCGTCTTCCACGCGGAACGTCACGATGGACGATGTGCGCGCCTCCACACTCGTTACGTTATCTAGTTTGAGCTCATCTTGCAGAACGGACACGACCTGAAGCAACCAGCCAAAATTGATAGTCAGTAGAGGAGTGTCTGTAGAAAGATGCACAGGTAGAACGAGGCAGGCACCTTGCCGTGCTGTTCGTTGGGCAGTGTCAGCTGGAAGAGCTTCATGCTGCGTACGTTGATGTCAAGTGTCCCCCAAAAAGCAAAAGTAGTATGTATACAGTAAATATTTGAATAGGTACGAAATAGCGCGCGTCACAGATTTAGGGACTAACTTCAATTCTTTCACGGTACATTACAATGATCATTAGGGCCATCATCACAATGCATCTCGCCTTTTACCGTCGTTTTCTTGCTCGGAGTCTTCGTCGCTTTCTTGCTCAGATTCTTCGTCGTCGCCTGAATCCTCCGTGTAGCCTTTATCTTCACTGTCGGCGTGGCCATCGTCGTCACTGTCTGCCTCGTCAGCTGTACGCTCACTTTCAGCCTCCAATTCCGTTGTACCTGTAGCAGTATTTTCTGCTTGCACGAAGTCCTCCTCGTCATAGTCCAGATAGTCTGCCACACTGTACCAATTGCATTCGTTTTGCTTGGACTGCAGCATCTGCAAGTCCAGTGGCCGCCCTCTAACGTGACCGAATACATAACCGCTGAGGGAATACCATAAGTGAGTTATCGAGTCCTGCACTTGAAAATGGTTCTCAGTCGAGAACACACCCACCCACTCTTGCTCAAACTGCGGTGGTTCACCATTTCCGTAGTCGGCAGGGTCGTACATGAGCAAGAACATATCGCTGGGTTCATGATACGCTCGGATGGTGCCGCTCCGCCAAAACATTCGTCGAGGATCGAATCGCTGGAAGTAGACCCCGATGAAAATAGCGGCTCGTAGTGCCCGCTTTGATGTATCTAGCATGGGAGCCATACACCAGCAGTGGCCGTTGAAGAGCTGCACGCGCGATGAATCGGTGTGTAAAACACTTAGCCACTCGTGATCACCGTCATCGTAGTCGATGCGGTGTCGATCTTTCTTCCGGTTGTAGCGCGTTATGCGCCCGTCAAACCAGCGCTGTTCTAGCGGCCACAACACCCGACAAGGCATTTCGAGAATGCTTTTTTCGCGCGCATGGTCGTTTGGACGCATGTAGACTCGCTCGTTGCGAGACGGGGAAAACCAAAATTGGTCACCATATTCGTCCTGAAAGTCGCGCCAGTCGTCATCGCTCTCGGGCTCTGAAGCTGAATCGCGATTCGCCAGATCGCGTGCCTTACGCAAAATCTCCTCCTGTTGTGCTCGGGCCGCAGCATCTTCATTCAGTGCGCTTTCGCGTAAGCGCATGAGCATTACGTCCAGCTCCAGTTGTCGCGAGTCAGGCTCCGAGTATCTACACCACGCGCGCTGGATGGTACAAGCAGCACGGTACTGTGTTTGAGCTCGAACACGCTCAGATCGTGCATATCGTCGCCCAAAGTATCCACGCACACCGGCATTAATGCGGCTAGCTGCTGCGTAACGAAGAGCTTCGCGAGCTTGTGCCTCCGCGCGGACTCGCATCAATTCGTGTTGACGACTTCGATGCCCGCGCCAGTTGCTTTGCAATCTCACTGCAATTTGTTCAAGTTCGCGGGCCTCTTCTTGATGTCGCGTAATAGCAGCACGCAACTGACGATACGCGCGACGTGTAGCGCGAGTTCGATAAAGTCGCTGCAACGTCACAGCAGCATTGTACTGCTCTTGTCGCCGCCTTTGGTTCAGCGTCATCAGATCTTCAAAGCGAGATCGACCAAATCGCGCACGGTAACTGTTTTGTAAGCGAGCTGCTGCAGCTTGACGCTGAAGAAAACTCTTTTCAAGGCGATATCGCTCCATGGATTTACGCACAAGTACGAAATGCCGTCGTGTCCAATATCCCCGATAAGCAGCCTGAACTTTGACAGCGTAGACAGCCCAGACATTGAGTCGTTGCTCTTCTTGTTGAGAACGGGCTAGAGCGGCTCGACCGAGCACTCCTCTAACTAAGCTTTGAATTTGCACGGCGCTGCGGTATATAAGCTTCGTGCGCTTTACGCGGAAATCAAGTTCTCGTCTAAGGTGCCAGCACATGTAACAGCGCCGAATCTTGCGACAGGCTGGAGTTTGCACCATTGTTTCACGCCACGAAGTAGCAACACGCCGACCTAGGTATCCACGATAGTAGGCCTGGAGCCTCAGTGCTGCCGACGAACGAATTGTCTGCTCCTGAATTGAATATTTGATCTGTAGTCCATCGACACGCGGTTCCAGTCCGCGATATGTACGCGCTCTTTGTACGAATGGCATGTTCTCGGCCAGTGTCTTTATACCAGTATCCGTGATCTCTTGACATCCCGTCAGATTGAGCGTTTGCAGAGCAGGACAAGCTGTTGCAAGTGGCGCAAGGATGTCCTCACGCATGTATAGACACCCCTCCAGGTTCAAAGACTGCAATGACGATGTACCCTGTATCATCGCTAAAAGCCCGGCAGATGACATCCCGTAGCAACCGCTAAGATTAAGCGTGCGCAAATTTACACTATGTTTTCCAATGTGCCCAAGTGTAGCATTAGTCAATTGGTGACACCGCTTCAGACTGAGGACGCGCAGTACCTTGCAACCTCGAACAACGTACAGTATCCCAGCATCCGAAATTCGTTCAAGGCCCTCCAGATTTAAGAACTGCAGCGCTTGGCAACCTACACCAAGAGCTGCGAGACCACGATCACCAATGGCACTTGTATACGAAATATCGAGCGATAGTAGCCGACGGCATCGAGTTCGAGATCCTTGAGGCCCCAGCGCGCCGCCGACCCACCCCAGTGCATCATCTGTTAATGCTCCACAGCGTGACAGATTCAAACGGGTTAACGAAGTGTTGCAACACGAAATAAACTCACGCACACCTTCACTCAGAAGCTGAGGGCATGATGAAAAATTGACACCGTCCAGACGCTCAATACCAGTGGCTAGAACCTGGAGCATTGGAACCGACAACATTGTGCACGAACAATCAAGCTGGCGCAGCGTTTCACCCACGGTGTGCACGAGAGAGCGCAAGCCTACCTGCAAAACCATTAAATAGACAAGTTGTTAGTTGGCAATTCTGGATGACCAGAAACTGCATGTACACGTACAGGTGTAAACCCGTTGCACCCGGAGAGAATGAGCAGTGAATAGCCAGTGACGAATCGATTTGCCCGTAGCTGGTATGCCATTTCGGCCAACAGGAAATCAGTGAGCTCTCCAGCGTAAGGTCGAAGGTCAAGTACGTCGGGATCTCGCTGCTGTTGCATCTTCAGAATAGCTGTGGCGCGATTGGCCATCACCATTGCTGTCCGCTGAGCGGCGAGCCTCTTTGCTTCCAGCTCGCTTTCGCTTTCGACATAAAGCGCGGTATTGTTGCCGTGTGCCGGTATCCCTTTCCTAGTGGTCTGGTGCTTAGGCTTCCTAGCATTGGAACGAATACCTGTGGTGGACGCAGTCTGTGCCTTGCCGATCGATAGTGATGGCATTTCGAGCGTCGCTTTGCCGACGTCTGTCCATCCGCGTGCCGTTTATAGAGTGTCCTGCTAGGTGATTGCAAAACCTCCGACAAAGATGATGTGAACAAGCTGTCAGCGGATGCATGTTAGTTTGTCAGTATTGATGGGCGGCAGCGTCGTCTGTCTGTCTGAGCCTTGGTTATACGTGTCTGCTTCCTGTTTCCATCCAATCCTAGTAGTCTTACTGCGCAATCTTGGCCAGCGATGCGATAGCATAAATCTTAATCTCAGAGCCACCGTCGACCTTGACAATACCATCTGAGGCATCTGTACCGATTAGCGAGCCCCTGGTGCCTGCCTCGTCGCCTGATAGGATGATCACCGTATCTTGCTTCTCTGGGACCACTGGCCGCACATCGTTTAGTGACACAGTGATCACACGCCCATCGATATCGATAGAGCATGAACCACCGCTCACACTGGTGATGGCGCCCACGCTGCCGTTGTGTTCACCAACGATCACCTCGACCTCAACGCCCTTCATCTTCCAAGTGACTTCTCCACTAGCAGGCCCACCTGTAGCGTCGTTTAGATCCTGGTTGAAGGCTGGCGTCATAGGAACGCCGCCACCTCCCATCATGCCAGGAGTCGCTGCAGGTGTGGCAGCGGAGTTCATCCGACCCATGGGAGTAGCCACGCCAAAGCCTGGAGTCATTGGGTTGTGGTTGTAGCCTGGCGTATTGATTCCTGGTGTCACGGGGTTGAGACCTGGAGTCATAGCCGACAAGCCAGGCGTCGTAGGGTTGAAGCCTGGAGTCATCGGCTCCATTCCCATCGGCTCATGACCCATACCAGGAGTTGCAGCAGACAAATGTGCGGGTGTGGTCGGATTCAGGCCAGGCGTCGTCGGATTATGTCCCATCATGTACGCTGGAGTTCTTGGCTGCAGTCCAGGTGTCGTCGGATTCAATCCAGGCGTTGTAGGGTTCAATCCGGGCGTCGTCGGGTTTGCAGCTGGAGTTACAGGCATCATACCATCTCTTGTCGGGGACCGCGGAGCCATTGGCGTTGTCGGATTCGAATACCTATTGCTAGACATATCACTGGATGGAGCAGTAGGTTCCAGAGGAGTTCCGAAGCTCGTAGCGTGGGTAATATCCTTCTCCTGGTTCATCTGCGTCTCAAGCAACGCATCGTCATTCCCAACATTCCATGCATCACCACCGCGTCCAGATGATTGCGGGGTACCCATACCACGATGCAGTGGAGTAGCCATTGGGGTCATGGCACTGCCGTGGAGTGGTGTCTGCGACGGCAGCGGTGTAGCGCCAGTCATCGGAGTACCAGCGTAGCGAGGCTTGTCTACCACACTGCCATCACGTGTGCCAGCAACAGAAATATGTAATCGATCAATGTCGACAATTTTTGCCTTACAATGAATTTCCACCTTGACCTTCTGGTCGCTTTCGTCGACAACAATACCGATGTATCCTTTCCAGCGTCCTTTCTTCACCTTGACGGTCTGACCAATCAACTCGGACTCGCGCTGATTCCTTCCACCTCGTTGGTTCTGCTGGCGCATACCGGCATCCATTCGAGGCACCGTTGAGTTTGAAATCATATCGGAACGCGCCTTGCTGCCCGACAAGATCACGCCACGTGCACGTGTCACAAAGATACCAGAGTTTGTCGTGACGCGGTTGTTGTGAATGAAGAGATATGTTCGGTAAATATGCTTCACCGTTCCGCTGTGACCCGCGAAAGGTCCTTCCACCACGTTTACCATTTCTCCAACACTAACGTGGTTGTGCTTTTTGTCTAGTGCAGCTGTTGTGCGTGAAGATACAATCTTGCGCTGTACTTCCTGGTCAGAGATGTTTCGAGACTGGCCGTTCTGGCAAAGTACTGTAAAGCCCTCGCGACCGACATGAGTAATCACACCCACATCACCGTGAGCTAGCGCAACGAGATCGTAAAGTTCTTTGCCCTTGTATGAATCAAGACCGTGCGAGATTTCTGCCGACTCCTGCAAGTCGCGAACACGAACCTGAATTTCTCGAGCCATACTATCCACCAGAACAATAGCCACTGGAGCACCCTCGCTGTCATCCACTGCCACGACAGTACCAGTCTCACCGGAGTACATTCCAGATATCACCTTAATATGATCGCCCACCTTGACGTACTTCATAAGCTGCTTCAGCTGGAAATCCAAGATCGTGTCCTTAATCTCTTCGTGTAGTGGCATGACACGAACAGTGTCGTTGGCTGTGTTGGTGCTCAGTACGACACCCATGAGGTTGATAAGGTCGCCTTCAATCACACGCACCGTATCTCCCTTCGTGAGATCCACTTTGTTCTTCCAATCGTCGGCTTCCACAGAGGCCAGCATCTCCTCAGCAGTGTGTTCACCATCTTCTCCAGCGACGGACGAGAAACGATTGATCTCGTCTAAAGTCGGGTTAACATCTTCCGTAGTTAGCATAGTTGCAATGTTCACTTCCTTGATCAGAAAACCTTCCTGGTAGAAATCGTTGTCAAACGTATCCATCATTTCTCCGGTCGAAGGGTATCGGCGACGAGCCACGTCTGCTCCAGGAACCATGTTGGCGTGGAAGAGCTTCTGTGGTGGACGTTGGCCCTTTTTGTACTTGGGCTGCTCACCTCCAGCCAGTACGATAGGATCAAGACGCGGAATCATCTTCACCACTGCTCGCGCACCATTGTCGAGAATCTCAATAACCTTGCAGAGATCGCCCTTGTACAGTCCCGCGCGCTTCATTCGCGCCCAAGCACCAGCAACGAGCGGCTTTCTCCGCGTCTGAACATTAAGGACCGACGTCATTTCGTGAATAGGCACCAGCTTCATCGACCACTGTTGCACGTCACGCAGACCATTCAAGCAATCCTTAGCATGCGGTTCACGCTCTGCCTCGACATAGATGAAACCCTTCGAGTTGGATGCCACGACGGACTTGACCATGAGAGGCTCGCCACGACGCGCAAACTCAATAAACTTGTTCATGAGAGCCACCACAAGGTGCTGCTCACGGCCAGGTTTGCACTTGAATACCCACATGCGCGGGTCCTGGATGGACGGCAGCAGCGACTGTTGCGCTACCTCACTCTGGATCACATCGCCGCCTTCCTCATCACCGTCGTATTGCTTGCGACTCTGCTGGTGGCGCTTCTTGATGCGGTTAACAATGGCCTCGGCGCTCTCCGACTCGTCGAACTCCGTGCGATCTTGAGGCTCGTAGCGATACGAGTGGCTAGTTTCGACCTCCTCCGCCATCTGACGCTCGGAGCGATAGAAGTCATCGTCGTCATCTTCCTCCTCTTCCTCGTCCTCGTCCACGTCAGCCTCCTCCTCGATAAACTTGTTAACCTTGCGGCGCTTCTTGGGCTTGGGCTTATCTGCGGACTTGCGCTTCTTTACGGGCGCCACCTCCTCCTCCTCTTCGTCGTCCTCCTCCTCGGGGATTTCATCTTCCGAGGCATCCTCATCCTCCGACAGGTTGCGGTCCAGCTCCTCTTCGCTCGATGACATCGTCGCTGCTCACTCACGTGTCCTCTTGGTTCGTTCTGGCGCAGTTTTCCCCCTCGCCGTTGGCCTCCAAATATTGATACTAGTAATCGGATATTACAAATATGAAGCCTTACTGAAATCAAGCTTAAACGATGGATTCGAGTGTGTTTGTATTGCCACCAGCCAGTTGGAACTTTCACCAATCCAAATTCAGTAGAGGTCTATCGGCACCGATGAAATGGAGATCGGTACAAAATCATGTACGGACATCAGGCGGGCAAGAAAAGCGCCAGGTTCCTCCCCCTCGCATTCCGGGGAATCAGGAGAGAAGCGACGATGGCTGACCAAGTCGACGTCGAGGTTTCGGCGCCCACCGCTCCGATCAATGTGCTTCTGGGAAAGCCCACCCTACTGGCACGGGTGGTGGCGTTTGTAGGGTCAGTGGACACTCGGCTGCTGGGTGCGTAGCGAAAAGGAATCCTGGAAAGGTAACCTTGGGTACTGACGGCCGATCTATGACTATGTATGTACGCTTCCGCTGCTGTGCTGTAGTATGTCTCAACCGGAACTGGGCCAGAGAAATGATGAAGCCGTCGGTGTGGGAGATCTCGGCTGGGGTGCCATATGAGCCGCTGCTGATTAACTGCTTCCGTCGCGCCTCCAATTACTGCTACCGAGAGGTGGACGCGCCCTCCCCGTAAGAACCCACCGCTGTATATTTACTGCACTTCCTTGTTTTTGGATAACTTCTGGGACGATAGGTGTAGAAAATGCTGACGCTTATTGCTCTTACGACGATAGCAATGTGAATCGCCGAGGGTCGCCCCCTGCCATCCGGGCTTGCTTGCTGAATGAGCGCACTTCCATGCGTGAATACGTTCATGACTTAAAACTGATGACAGCGGAGAACGAGTGGTTTGATAAGCCCCCAAGGATTCTCAATCTGGACAGCGTGCCGGAACTTAAGAACGAGGTGCATAAGAACCCTCGCACGGCGTTTGAGAATCCAAAACTGCTAAACAATCGATTCAGCCGAAGCCAAGAAGCTCGAGTAAGTAACCAAACTGTGTGCATTGTACCGCGTCTATTATCGTTTTTGGAGCGCAATCTTACACGATTCCGGTTGCATTCTTGTGTGCAGCTAGTTTCAGGCGATATTGACCAAGAGCGTGCAAGTTTCTACTTGTGGTCACTCGAGAAGCAGCACCTACGCGCTTCTATGACTCAAACCAATGCCTCGTGCTACGATGTATGTGATGAAGCATTAGCAGTGGGCTGCACTGACGGCGCGGTCAAGATTTGGAGCTTCTCGTCGCTTGAAAGCCGCAACCTCGATACAACGTCGTTAGTGAATGCCTCGCCTACGACCTCGATTTCCCATCGCTCCAGCCTCGGAATGGTTCCTTTCATTAGGACGCGTGCGAAGGACAAAGTGGTTAACGTTAAAATTGACCACAATGATGGCTCTTTCCTGCATTTGGCGACGTCAACAGAGAAGGGAGAAGCGAACGTTTGGGATGTCACAAAAGGAGAGATCGTTGTTTCCATCCCGTCCAGTAAGATCCACAAGTCGATGCTACCACGATCGCAGAGAGAGACATCCCCACAGATCACGAGCTTGATGCTGCTGCGTAACACACTTGTGTGTGGTACATCTTGCGGTCTTATCCGTGTGTTTGATGTGCGCAGCAGTCGACTAACACACCGACTCGCAGGCCACCCAGGTATAAGATCATTGCTACTATTTGATAACTTGACAGTTGGCTAATGCTGGCATGTGTGTTTGCACAATTGATTTTACAGGCGCTGTCGTCAACGCAGATACTAAAGGACGAGTTTTGTGGTCCGCTGGTAATGAGGGCACTGTTCGGTGGTGGGGTGGAAAAAGCGCGAAGATTTTATCGAAGTCCGCCTTATGCGAAGGTGGCATCTCGGCGCTTGAGATGGATGAAACCGTGGTTGTTGCTGGCTACTCTGAGCAGGGCATGGAAGCCTGGGATGTGAGAACCCAACAATCATTGTGTACATTTAGCAATCACGAGCACGGGGGTGTTAAGGCTCTTCAGTTTGACAACCGCAAGCTAGTTAGTGTGTCATCGACCGGCAAGGTAAGCTACACGATGGCAGCAACGTTACTGCAGGTTTCGTAACTGATCGTATATCTTTCGTTTGAATTTGTAGGCGGCATTGTGGAGATGGTACGAGCCTAATCCGGTGCGATGGTTTGAGCCACCGACTGCTTCTGCACGCTTCACCTCGACCAAGTTTAACGACCGGCACCTCGTGTTCGGTACCGATTGCGGAGAGCTTGTGGATTACGACCGACTCGCCACGGTTTTGTAGGCAATGAATGAGCCGTTGTTGTTTGTCAACAGGTGACGAGGAGAATTTGAACAAGGATAGAATAGGAAGCTCGGCTCTCTTCAATTCACGCGCGTGAAGAAAATATTGTTTTACCTTTGCCATGGAATGAAGTTCATGGTCGCTATGTGAGCTTTTTCGGTCTAAGAGCTGTGAGGTGAGCTACGCGGGGCTTTCTTCAGATACACAATGCTTCCCTTCAGCGCTTGATTTCGTTCGCCTGGCCTCACCACGGCAACGCGCGACTGCTGTCCTCGAAATTTCTCATCAACGTCTGCGATTGATGCGAGTGAAGTCGAAAGTCGCGAGTTATGCTCGTAAGTGGATGCACCACCCACAGGGTCTGGGAGTCGAATGATGATACCGGCTCCCGTGTTCAGCAGTGCTGCAGGTTCGCGCACTGGTTGTAGCTGCCCAGAGCTGTGCGAAGACCCCATAGTGCTGCTGGATAGGCTTCACAAATGCATGCTAATTAGAGAGCGCTTCATCGTGGGGACCGCTCCACCACCAAAATAACATCGCTGCGAGATCCGGCCGAAATGCTGCCGCGCGTACATCACACAGTAATTTTGTTACATGATCCATGTAGATATAACATGCACACCGCTTCCGCATGCTTCGTTTGCGCCCCTTTAGTTCGCTTTACGGGGGAAAATTCTCCCGTTCAAGCTTGTTTTGTTGTTGAAGCCTCCTGCTTCGTAGCTAACCCGACGAACCATTGTCAAAATGAGTCGTCGTGGAATAACGTATCGGTGATCGACGTGAACCCTATGTAAAGGATCTTGGATCCATCGCGCTCTTGCCTAACGCGGATCGGATAGCACTCCGCTTGGCGGTTCACCGGAAGGATGCACTGACCGTCCTCCAGCGAGAATGGCCACTTGTGCCGTGGACAGGAAATGCACAATGTGCCATCAATGTCTTCAATGTCGCCTAGGTGCAATGAGGCAGCCTGATGTGGGCATGCATTTTGAATGGCGTAGAATCCGCCATCGTATTTGAAAATGGCCACTGTCTTCCCGTTTACCTCCACCTTTGTCCCTGGAATAAAAGAGGAAAACTGCAGTCAATAATCGACGCTCAAGGAACATGCATCTTCATCACCACGAACCTAACGTAGTTGTTCTTGACCCAGGTTTGATGCGCTTCCGTCCAGTGACTGTGTATTCGTATTTCGGTCTGTGTTCCGTCGCCTCCACGACGTCTGCAGCACAGACGCGGACAGCTTAGATCGTTGTCAGACTTGCATCACGAATGCACTTCACATTACCTGATGGCCGCAAGTACGTACTGAACCACAGATAGCGGTCGTCGTCACGGCTTTCACGATTGCGACCCCATCGCACGGATGGCTCTGCCTCGACCTCGTCTTCTTCCCAGGACAGATCCAGATGCAGAGCGCTCATCTAAGTTATCAGACGGCCGACTCGAAATTTCAAATTTGAACTGTGCCGTTTTCGTACCTAGCTAAATACCTCTAGAAACGACACACCCGTTAAAACACTTTTAGCGAATTGTAAGGGGATACTCGTGGAATATGATAAATAGCTTTCAGCGTGTGGAGCGGAATCGATTTCTGGAATCTTTTGTGGTGAGGCCATGGCAAGCAGATATGGAGACGAGTTTCGAGGCCGCGGCCGAGACCGCAGTAGGGAGCGTGGCTACAACGGAGGTGGCGGCGACAGGGGGTACGGTGGCCGATCGGGAGGTGGAGGCTACGGCCGTGACCGCATGGGAGGCCGTCGCGGGGAGCAGAGCGGCGGGGGTGCCGAGCATTTGGCGCGCATCCACGGCACCGAGGAAGACCGCGTGAACTGCCCGTTCTACTTCAAGATTGGTGCCTGCCGACACGGTGATCGCTGCTCCCGGCTGCACAACAAACCTGTCTTTAGCCAGACTATCTTGGTGAGCCACATGTATCAGAACCCGATCGCCCAGGTGATCGCGCAGAATGGAGACCCAGCCTCGTTGGACCAGCGCCAGGTGGACGAGGATTTTGAGGACTTTTACGAGGAGGTCTTCGAGGAGCTGTGCAAGTTTGGCAAGTTGGAGGAGCTTAACATTTGCGACAACCTGGGCGACCACCTCGTCGGCAATGTGTACGCCAAGTACGAGGACGAGGAGCACGCTGCGGCGGCGCAGAAGGCTTTGTATGGCCGCTTCTATGCAGGTCGGCCGCTCGTGTGCGAGTTCTCGCCGGTGACAGATTTCAGGGAAGCACGCTGCCGCCAGTTCGATGAGGGAACGTGCAACCGCGGCGGCTATTGCAATTTCATGCACATCAAGACGGTGTCACGATCGATGCAGCGCGAACTAGAGAGAATGTTCAACCGTGGCCGACGTGACAAAAGTCGCAGCAGGAGCAGGAGCAGAAGCAGAAGCCGCAGCACAAGCCGCGGACGTGGACGGAATGCACGGGGCCGATCCCGTTCGCGCAGTGGATCGCACGATGCTCTGAAGGGCGATTCCTCCCGTCGTAAGGGCAGTCGTAGCCACTCTCCGTCGCCTGCGAAGAAAGACCGCCGTAGTCGCTCACGCAGTCACAGTCCGCGATCTCCTGCTCGGGGCTCGAAGCGTGATCCCCCTAGGAAGGAAGGGGGCGCCGCGGAGAAGAAGGATTGAGGGCTTTTTCAATTACAGACTAGTTCTCTTATTCGTTGTTGCCTAGGCGGGTTTGCCCAAGTGCGGATAAGAGGTGGGTAGTAAGTAAGTCTGATGTTCCTCTTGGTGCTTGCCGCTGAACCTAATACATGAATCCCTTCGTATGCTTTGGTCGATTGCCAAGGAGCCACTGGATGTCGTGCTATCGAAGTAGTGTTGATGCGGCCCGCGATGTACATGCAATGGTGCTGTGACTGACTGGTGCTGTGACTGACTGCTGCGCTATCTCGTCAGATTTCAGAGATGACACCAAATGCAGCGTTTAACATCCTCAGCACAATCCAGATCTGTGAAGCATTTGCAGCTAGCACAGCCCAGCAGACCGTAGGTCAAAGTGACTACGTAGTGGTTAAAAGTGTTGTCAGCAGGCCGAAAGGTGCTTTATAGTAGTAGCTTGAAAACATTTCCTACAGAATAGCAGGAACACCGTAGTCTAGCGCTAATACTGTCGTCTACTAGTAAAAGCCATTATCATAAAAAGCGTCCTGCATATGCTGCTTCCGCTTGCGATCCCCCTTCAATTCATTGCTGCGTTGCTTCCTTGAAGCAGATTTCTTGTTGAAGACATCGCTCTATTCAAAGCAGCAAACAAAGTCGTCAGAGTTCAAACCGTATACGAGTTATCCAAACTTCGGTGACGCACCCTATCCACTTTGCGGTCTTCCAAAGTCTCCGGGAGGTCCAGTATCGCACGAAGTATATTGTTGTACTTGATATGCTCCTGCAGACCGGTCTGCAAACATTCCTTCATCGCTTCAAACTGTTTGACAGATTTCCACGAGCTTATCTCCAGAACGTCACTCTTCACCGAAAACGAAACATGCGGAGTTTCTCCGCTCTATATCGAAGAAATCAAACACAACATTGTCAGTAACAGCAACTCCAGCAATGTTTGGAAAACTTACAGCAAGTGTCGAGTGAATGTCGCGGAAAACAACTCGTTGGGTCTTGCGGTCCTTCTTGCTATTCTTCTTGCTGCTGTCCTTGCTCATTTCTAGGAAACGAGCCAAGATCTCTTCGCTGTAGGGCAACGGGACACCGCAATTCTGCGCGCTTTCGTACAGGAAAGCTACATTCTCACCAGCAGCTGAGCGCACGTCAACATCCTTGTGATCCAGCAAGGCGAGGAACTTCGGCACCAGTCTGTTCAGTGTTACATGCAAAGCAGCTTGTCACAACAAGAGAGATTCGACAGATTCAACGCAATACAAAGCTTCACCTTTCCAGCAATTCATCGCTTGCGAGTATCTCGTCTGAAAGCGAGGATGCGACGAGTCCCCACGAGTCGAGAGCGGCCTTACAGATGTCACCAATGATTTTTGGGTTGAAAAATGTCTCGAACAGCTCCAAAAGCTCCTCTGTGTTCTCTTCTTCAACACTACACACGAAGCAGATCAGTCCCAGTGCGCGGATGGTCTGCGTAATGATACGAGGCCTTAGCATAACTCTAGGTCATCGTGGTAATAAGAGGTAGAGCAGTAACAAGCACTACATACCGAAACCTTTATTTTCGCGTTTCTGGCTGTCTTGATCAATGGCTTCAGCACGTTTTTCGATCGCTGAAAGTAGCGCTCTTCATCCTCTCCGAAAATGATTGCCATAATCGCCAGGATGCGAGATCCTAATACAGCCTCGCCTTCAGAAGGCTTGCGAAGGCATCCAAGCACGTTGTCCACGAAGCTGTCCATCAGAAGGAATTAGATCGAAGTCTGGTGTTTATGGGTTGAACAGATCGCAGTATTAGGGCGTACCTCTCACTCACGTCTTCAGGCGCCAAGTACTGCTGGAGATAGGCGGTCAACTTCTCCAAGGCAGCAACTCGCGTTGTTGTTCTGAGCAACGAGTGCATTTGGAAGCACCGCAAAATCTTAGCGTCCACATTTTAGTTCTATTGATGCAATTTCCCGACGTTTACCTCTTCTCGGTCAGCTCCTCGATAGCCTCGTCGATCTCCTGCTCGTCATCCACGTTCTTTGAGTAGCTGTCATAGAACTCGCCATCATCTGACACAAACGTCCCACGCGTCTCCACCGACGCCACGGACGCGGCTTCGTCGTCGTCATCCTCTTCGTGGCGCATGCGCCGACCACCTGCACCAGAATCCACAAAAACATCAGCTATTGGACTGCAAGAAGTACACAGCTTCCATTTCCATTTTAACAAACCTCCGCGCTTTTTTCCCATGCTACCGCTTTCTCTTCTCTTTGCTTATTTTCCGATGTGAGCACCTGAAGTTCCGCTGGTTAAAAGGTGATGGCGGAATGTGTCTCACTTCAGCCGACACAAAGAACAAACATCGCAATCCCATTGGGTGGAATAGAATCCTTAATTTTGACCAATCGACGTCTTAAACATGACCGAAGCTCTAGAACACGAATCAACTCAAAGGAACGAAGGTGAGAAAGATTGCGAGGTCGTGGATCGCTCAGACATATCGTAGCAGCCCCATGAATGGATAGAGAACTCTCTAGCGTACTAACAATTTCTCTGGTGTAAACAGGTCGACTGTGGGTTAGTAGAACACTACAGTAGATCTAAGCAATTACAAGGGGACAAGCACTCGTAGCCTTAGCAAGGTCAGTGGCTAATATTGGTATGCGTAGATTAGCTTCGCTGGTCAGCTAGAGCTACAAGGGCGTGGAGCTCAATATTCATGACATGTTGTCTGTATGTCATGACGCCAGCGCCAGCACCATGAGCTCGCACGCTGTAACAACGGGGGATGTGAATGAGACTGCTGACGGTGTGCGGAACTTGGTGCATGTCACAGACAACGCCATGGACATTGATCAAAGCGGTGCCGCGTCGATCGACGAGGGGCTCTACAGCCGCCAGTTATACGTGATGGGTCGTGAAGCTCAGTTGCGCATGGGGACTTCCAACGTGCTCATCGTTGGGCTCAATGGCCTCGGCGTGGAGATCGCTAAAAATGTTATTTTAGCGGGAGTGAAGAGCGTCACGCTTCACGATGATACGCCGGCCAGCAAGCTTGACTTGGCGTCTCAGTTTTACCTGACAGAGGGTGACATGGGGAAGCCGCGAGCGGCAGTGTCTGTGAAGAAGCTGGCGGAGCTGAACCCCTACGTGCCTGTCCGATGCTACAGTGGTGAGATCACGGAGGAGTTTCTTCTTGGATTCCGGGTGCGTGCAAAGTGATAGCATTGCTTGCTGAGGTGTGATTCTAATCGATTGGTTGGGTTTATTGTTTTTGGCGTTGTTGTCTTCAGGCGGTAGTTCTCGTCAACGCACCACTGAAGGAGGCGAAGCGTATTAACGCTATTTGCCACGCCAAGTCGATTGCTTTCATTACTACCGAGGCACGTGGCGTGTTTGGCTCGGTTTTCTGCGACTTTGGAGACGAGTTTATCGTGTCAGACCGCGATGGTGTCGAGCCTGTGAGCTGTTTGATCTCGTCCATTTCCAACTCAGCGCCTCCTTTAGTTACTGTGAATGACGACACCCGTCACGGCTTGGAAACCGGGGACTTGGTTTCGTTCCGTGAAGTGGCAGGTTTTCCGTTCTTGAATGACAGCAAGCCCAGGAAGGTAACAGTTACCGGCCCGTTCACGTTTACTCTGGACATTATTGATGAAGCCGACAAAAAGCTCTTTGAGGAGGGGCAATCATTCACTGGAGGTTACGTTACTCAGGTGAAGCAGCCCCTCGTGACCAAGTTTAAGAGTCTAGAGAACGCTCTTGCGGCGCCCGGGGAGTTCTTAATCAACGACTTTGCCAAGCTTGGACGGTCTGAGCTGCTCCACGTGGCGTTTCAAGCGTTGGATGCTTTCCAGGAGAAGCACCAAGGAAACTACCCGAAGCCAGGTTGCATGGAGGATGCAGAAGAAGTTTTCACTCTTTCTTGCGAAATCAACAAACAGTTTGCTGCTAAAAAGCAGTTCAGTGTCGAGGGTATCGATGATGCTGACTCGAAAAAAATCATTCAAGCCCTTGCAGCTGGCGCTGTCGGCGTAATCTCCCCCATGGCAGCTTTCCTTGGAGGTATAGTTGGCCAGGAAGCTCTCAAGGCATGCAGTGGCAAGTTCACGCCAATTCAGCAGTTTTTCTATTTCGACGCAGTGGAATGTCTTCCTGACGCAGTATACGCGGGGACCCCTGACGAGTTCGCTCCCACCGGCTCTCGATATGACGGACAGATTGTTGTGTTTGGCCGAAAGCTGCAGGAAAAGATTAACAGTCTGAACATGTTCCTTGTGGGCGCCGGTGCGATTGGTTGCGAAATGCTGAAGAATTGGGCGATGATGGGTGTGGCGTCAAGCAAGGATGGCACGATCCACATCACGGACATGGACACGATTGAGAAATCGAACTTGAACCGTCAGTTCTTATTCCGTTCGAAGGATGTGCAGCAAGCTAAGTCCTCGGTTGCTGCTCGGGCGATTAAGGAGATGAACCCAGACGTTAACGTGCAGTCCTACGTGTCTCGGGTCGGTGCAGAATCTGAAGACCAGTTTAACGACGACTTCTTCGAGTCGCTCTCTGGTGTGTGCACGGCACTGGATAATGTCGAGGCACGTTTGTATATGGACCAACGCTGTTTGTTCTACGGTCTCCCAATGTTCGAGTCCGGCACGCTTGGAACGAAGGGCAACACGCAGATTGTCGTCCCGCACAAGACTGAGAACTATGGAGCTTCTCGGGACCCTCCTGAGAAAAGCATTCCCATTTGCACGCTGAAAAATTTCCCCAACGCGATTGAGCACACTCTCCAGTGGGCACGCGATTGGTTCGAGGGTGAATTCTTCCAAGCTCCTTCGGATGTGAATCGCTACTTAGAGGGACCGGCATTCATGAAGGAGCTCAATGAGCAGCAAAACACCAAGATTGAAACCTTAGAGCGGCTGAAAAGCTCGCTTGTGGATGATCGCCCCATGTCATTTGAAGACTGCATTTCATGGGCTCGTTTCAAGTTCGAGGAACTTTTCAGCAACCAGATCAAGCAGCTTCTGTACAACTTCCCTCTGGACCAGGTACGCCCCTCACGCCTTCGTTTGAGCGACTTCGTTGTTACCACTTGATGCCACGACAACTCATTAACTCTTGTGTTGTGTAGTTGACAACGTCAGGTACTCCGTTCTGGTCTGGACCGAAGCGACCCCCAACGCCAATTACGTTTGACGCGAAGGACCCACTGCACATGGACTTCATTGTTTCGGTTGCTAACAGCCGCGCAAAGAACTATGGTCTCAAGGGACACAATGACAGAGACGCGTTCGCCCAAGTCCTCAGTGGTATTCACGTACCGGAGTTTTCTCCCAAGAAGGGTGTGAAAATTGCTGCTTCTGATGCAGAGCTTAAGGAAGGCGGTGCTGCCCCACCGCTTCAAGACGGCGATGCCCAGTGCGATTTGATTCTGAAGGAGTTGCCGAAGCCGGCAACTCTTGCAGGCTACCGCATGCAGCCGATTGAGTTTGACAAGGATGATGACTCCCACATGGAGGTTATCGTGTCGGTCTCCAATCTGCGTGCGCGCTCGTACAAGATCCCGGAGGAGGACATGCACAAGTCTCGTTTCATTGCTGGCAAGATCATTCCAGCCATTGCCACAACGACGGCACTGGTGACAGGACTTGTATGCTTTGAATTCCTCAAGGTGTTCCAGGACAAGCCATTGGACCACTACAAAAACGGATTCGTGAATCTTGCGCTGCCGCTGTTTACCTTCGCCGAGCCGATCGCACCGAAGTTCACGAAGACAATGCTGAAGGGCGAGGAGTACAAGTGGACGGCTTGGGACCGTTTGGAGGTAGACCGTGGTGACATGACACTGAAGGAGTTCCTTGCGTACTTTGAGAAGGAGTACGACGCCGAGGTCTCCATGCTGTCGTACGGCGTCACGATCCTCTACGCGATGTACTCTGCGAAATCGCGGTCGAAGGAGCGAATGGCGATGAAAATCTCGGACCTTGTGCGCACGGTGACCAAGAAGCCCATCGACCCGAAGCTGAAGTACCTCATCCTGGAGGTGTGCGCCATGGATGCAGAGGGAGAGGACGTGGAGCTACCCTACCTGCGTTACCACTACAAGCAGCAGTAAGCAAAGGACGATCGCAATAAACGTTTGCACTTCAACTTGCCTTTAAATTTAATTCTATTACTGAGTTTCCATGATATTTCACAGGTCGAACAATTGATCCGGCCAATTGTCGAGAGAGAAGGTTGAGCACGATGGCGCTAAACGTGGACTTTAAGCACCAGTCCAAGCGCGTGAAGGTCACACCCGGCACGACGATGGTGTGTATGCTGTATTATCCCCCGCTCTGGCCCTCGTTCTAATCTCTCTTTGATATTACAGTTCCAAGTACTCGCGGAAGCACGGGAGCAGTTTGGACTGAGCGACTCGAGCCAGTACCAGCTCCTGCACCGCAGTAAACCCATCGACCTGTCGATTCCCTTCCGCCTCACAGGTATTTCGAACAATGCCTCCGTCGAGATGAAGGAGCTGGAGGGGGCGGATGAAGTGCAGCAAGTGCGCGTATGTGTCCAGTTGCGCGACGGCAAACGCGTCCAAGCGTCTTTCGGGAGCGATGAGAGCATAGAGCGCATTTTGACGTTTTTCAAGCTGCTTCCAGCGCCAGAGCAGGTGACATTTACCCTCGTACTAGAAATTGTGGGACACGATGGAAACTAATTGGCTTTGTTCGTGAGTGGCAGTTCTCCCTTGGATTCCTGCGACGCGAGATCGAAGCACATGCTTTCGCGACGACCACGCTGAAAGGTGCTGATGATGCAAAGTTACAACTTTTCTCTTCTACTAACAATATGGTATTTTTCAAATGTAGAGTTGGGTATCATGAGTGGCTCAGCGATGTTTCGCGTTCAAGCTCCAGATGGGCAGCCTAGCTCCACGTCAAGCACCCAAAACTCTTCAGTTGCATCCACCCACACCATTACAGCGTCTTCACAGAGCCCTCATGTTTCATTTGCATCTAGTAAACCGACACCATCCTCCCCGCTTTCTACCACACCGAAGTCGCTGAACCGTGTTCTTCAGCCGCAGACTGAGGACGTCGAGATGAAAGAGCCTGTTGACGAGGAACACGCAAGCAACATGGAGACTACTGTCATGAGCAGTTATGGTGCACTACAGCTCTTGCGAGACAGCAACTTTGACGCAGTGTCACGGGCTGCAGTCACAACACTGATGAAAATTGTCACGAATATTTTGTCCAATCCAGGTAATACTCGCAACCCTCTTAGCTACGGGTCTACTCGTTCCGCTCTAACTATTTGTTTGCACTTGTTTTTGCGCGTCTAGAAAACGAAAAAGTACGCTCGATCCGCTTGTCGAATGCAGCATTCTATCGCAATGTGGGGCAGGTTAAGGGAGGCCTAGAATTCCTGAAGTCCGTTGGATTTGCAGTGGTTCCAGAAACTCAAGTGCTCGTGCTTAGTCCGGGACCAAGCGACAAAAGCGTGCTGGCGGAGGGTCTTCGATTATTGAGCATCGAGGCAGACGATTTAAACATCTCGCCGGACGCGCGTCCAGTTGTTCGTGAAAAGAGAGAAGATCCGAATTTTGATGTATTTAAGACGCAGATTACCCGAGTGCAGGTACGATTACTGTAAGTTTTAAGGCTAGTTTTGGAACTAAATCTAAATCTTCCTGTATTCAGATGCAACCTCGAGGTCCAAGTACGACTGAAGTTCTTGTTGACGCTCTAAAGTCCAAGCAAGACCAACTGGTTGGACACGAGAAGCCTCCCCGCAGCACAACTGTTGTTCTCGAAGGGAGACGAGCAAATAGTCCAATTAACTTGGTGGAAGCCTCTACAGATGGCGAGCCTGGCGAACGAAATGACGCACAGTTACTGATCTCGAGTCTTAAAGCTCGACGGGAGGAGATGGAGAAGACGAAGGTGGGCTTAATTGAAACTCTGCATGACGATTGATTAGCGGGACTGACTGGTTGTACACTAATGGTTCACATCCAGAATTTCCGTACCCAGGCGATGCGTGAACTTGACGATCTTAAGCGTAAAAAGGTCTTCCAAACTGCTTTAATCCGAGTTCAGTTTCCAGACCGAGGTACGTGAAGCTGCGCAACAAGGGAATGATGAGTAAGGTGTATCTTACTCTAGCTGTATCCGAATCGATAGCTGTCATGCAAGCCACTTTCCACCCGAACGAAACGATCCGAGATGTCATGGACCATGTGACGGAATGCTTGGCGGACCAGTATAAACCTAGCAGGTTTTATCTCTATGTTTCGCCTCCCACTCAGAAATTGGCGTCTACGAAGACCCTGGCGGAGTTGAACCTTGTACCTGCTGCTCTGACGTACCTCTCGTGGTTGGAGACACCTCAAGCTGAGGTGGCTAGCATCGGTTTCTACTTCCGTAGGGACCTGGTAAGTGGCTATGATCTGCTTGCCGAATGGACTATGTTACTAACTCGGAAGTGCTTAGTTGATGGACGAGCACGCCGAGTCGAAGGAAAGTGTGGGTCCGTTGCAGAAGGCGGCATATCCAAAGCCGCTCCATCTTGGTAAGTGTAAGAGAGCATAAGCTTTTTTCTGCACTATTATGCTGACGTTGAAATTTTACATTTCTGAAGAAACCCCTCCCAGCGCAGAGCCGCGTGTGGAGCCAACTAGGCAACCCTCTTCGAATGCGCAAGCGAAGTCTACCAAAAAGCCATCTTGGCTCAAGCTTTAGGTTCCATTCAATGCGTCAATTCAAATGAAATGGTACGTATTTGGAATCGCATCAAGTCAACTATGCTGTGTTTGGGCTGTCAAGATGAAACAATTAGCGATCCCTTGCAGCACAAAAAGAAAAGAGAAATGGATTGCTGCTTCATTAGTGCGCCTATTTGCCATCACCAACGCGCATATCAATGAACGAGCATAGCTGTGTACAGCAGCAGAAATAAACACGGCCACATTCTCAGATCTGTAGCTAGGTATTACTACGCTGGAATTTCCTCGGGCTCAGTGCCTACCGAGTCTTCTTTGGTCGACTCCCTTTTCTTAGGCTCAGAGACCACGAGTTCCTGAGCAAACTCTTGTCGGTCCTTGGCCGGATCTCCCTTTGACAATGATTGTTCCTTCGTTTCCTTTTGTTGGTTTGGTTCAATCTCATCCCCCAAAAGACGAACTGGGCTTACGGATCGACTTGATGCAGCAGTTGTCGAACCAGACACGCTAACGTGTTCCTGTTTCACTTGTTCCTGGCGCGCGATTCGTAGATCTCGCATTTCTTTGCGGAGTTTGAAGTTGAAGCCGTGCTTGGCATCTCGAATATTGAAAAGGTGATAGTACTTCGCCCACTGCAGCTCACGCGCTGCAGGGCCCGTGCGGACAACCATCTTATCCATTGTGGTTCGGTCACCCATACTGATTTGTGCTGTCAAGGAAAGCCGCCTAGCAGTGCTCTTGATTTCCTTGTCCTGTTGGATCTTTTCCTGCATAAGAGCACGCTTGCGCTGTTTGATTTGCTCTTTTTTCGTAAGCTTCTTTGCCGGTGATTCGAGTGCTTGGTTAATTTTCTCCGGTGCCATGGTTCCGCGACAATTCTTCGACTTGCAGTGGCATTTCCACTCCATCGCCTGTTTGGTATGGAATTGGTAGTCGTATGATAACTCGGTACCCGGCTCGATGTCCTTCAGAGCGGTAATAGCGATTCGGTTCACCCCCTTTACACGCCACTTCAGCAAGTGGCAATTGGGATCACACGAGTGGTTAATGAACCTGGAAACACTTCCTTTAAATCGCGCATCGATGTATTCGCCCTTGCCAAGCTCCATAATGTACATGTTCTTGTCCTCAGGGCTGTTCTTTGCGTGGTCAAGTAGCCGGCGCTCCTTTTCTTCTTCATTAATCACCTCTCCAACATACTCGATCACTAATTGTCCTGCCTTGACAGGCTCCAACAGGCGGAGAGCCCACCCCTTTTCGACCGTGTGAAACTTCTGAAAGCGGGGGTACACCTTCTGGTGAAGCGCGCGGTTCCCGCAGTTCTCACCAAGCATGCAGTTCGATTCTCTATTGTGCTTGTTGAACTTCATTCCTGGAGTCGGTGCTGGTCCGAAGCATTCAGTAAAACTTAGCCGATTGATGCAGTCATCTCCGCACTTTTCCTTGCACACACAAGTTGGCGCGTCTTCTAGTGAAACCTTCGGTTGTTTAAACGTATAGATGCTGCGACCCAACTTGCGGTAAGTCGGCGGTTGAAGACGGACATCCTCGATAATACTCTTCAGCAGGCGAAAGTGATGGCAATCGTTGGGGTTACTGGCATCCGGATCACGCTTAGGCAGGAACATCCATGGGAGGTGCAAACTCGAATCAACCGTCACAGTGTCAATGTTCCGATCAGACAGATAAAATGACGGGATCTTCGGTAGCTCTTCTTCAGAGTGTCGCCAACAAAGTAAACCTACGGAGTTATATCGGGCACTTGGAGGTACACATTGCGGGTGATAAGATTCCGGACACTTCAAACAGCACATGAGGTCAGAACTCTTTTTCTTTCCCTCGCACACAAAACAAACGTGCCGAGGGCATCGGAAAGAAGCGTCTGACTCGAGCAACTCCTCCACTGTTGCAGAACCAGGTTTGGCTTTACCTCCAGCTCGACGTGACATTTTGTTGGCATCAACGCAGGCCTGGTGAAAGAATTTACCGCAAGATGGGGCACTGCAACGAAATACACCTCCTTTCTCGTTGATCGTTCCATTGCGTCCACATGCAAAGCACAACTGCTCATTCGTACGACACTGTTCGCACAACCACTCCTCTCCATCAGGCGCTGAATCGATACCCAGACATGAGAAATGATACGATTTCAGGCAGCCACCGTCGCACAGTATCATGTCCGTAAGATCATCATCTTCAATCTCACCGCATACTCCGCATAAATCCTCTTCTGGGAACCCGGATTCAACAGCCGCTGCGTCCTTTTTCTTCTTGGGGGGCGCCTTTGGCTTCAGAGCTCCGTTCTCAACACGTTTGGTAATTGCACGCCCAGATCGGGTGAGGCCAGTTTGAACAAATGCCGGTACCAGTTCGTGTTGTTCCGCTCCAAGACGTCCAAGGTTATCATCAGTAGATGGTGTTGCCTCGACCTTCTTTACAACGTTACGCTTGTCAATCTTGGCTTGATGCTTTGTCCACGCCTTAGTGGCTTTCGTGGCTCGGGGTTGGATGCGGTAGCTGCTAGTTATGTCGATTTTTTCATCGCGCTTGGAGTTCCATCCCATGTAGTGAACAGAGCAGCCTTCATCATCCACGCGCACTATCTTGGCAGCAAGCCAATCCTTGGTACCCACGTCATACACGTCCACCTGCTGGTTTACCTCTAAGTTGCGATAGAACTCCTCATTAGCTTCCCCATTGGCGTGAGTTGTATCGTTACCAAGAACATCTTCCTCATCCTTAGCCTCAATCATCTCGACGTCATCTGAGCTGTCGCCCACAGTCTCGTCTGTGGTTTGACCGGAGCTCAGCACGGTATTCTCGCCATTTGCAATAGCGGTGCGCTTACGTGGGTGCGACTCCTGCGAGGCGGTGTCTTCTGTGTCCTCTTCATGAGCGCGCTTGTGGTTAGCACTCGCGGTTTCAGCAGCCTCGACATTTTCATTGACGATCAAGGTATCAAACGGAGCCAACGCTGCAACAGCTGCAGCAGGAGCTTTACCTTCCACACCTGTAGAGACCGTACCCTCCAATTTATCGGATTGTTCAACCGCAGGCTTGCTCGAGGCAGGATCAGCTCCCGTCGTCTCAATTCTTCCATTCGCGGTCGAAGAGATAACAGGAGTCGCACTAGACACGGCTGTGTCGCCTCCCATCTTACTAGCAGTCGCAATAGCGGGTTGCCCCGCCGTAGTCTGCGCCTGCTGCGGGGAATGGTCTGTTCCGCCGGCAGGGGCGCCGATGGCTCTGTCCATCTTATCCTCCACGCCAAACTAGGCAAGTGCGCTCCCTCCACTGCCTTTCGCGGTCTTTTATTAGCTTATACGTGGACCACACAACTAATGACTTTTTGACCAATAAGATTGAGGAGTACTTGAGGTATGAAACATCATTGCTATGTCCAATCCAACATGTATTGCTCGCCTTGCATTTCATCGAGGCAAAGCAGCGCCTCTGACAGAGACTCTGTTGCCTAGCACCCAGAAGGAGATCCTGCATAACGAAAAGGGTGCGACAGTGAGACCCATCGGACCACTTACGCGTGCTGGAAGTCGGCAACCAGCTTCTCGATCTGCTCCCGCATCTCCCCTTCGGGAATCAGCTCCAGCGGGGTCTTTCCATCATCATTCGCCGCGAACGGGTCCGCACCATGCGCAAGAAGCTCCTTTCACAGACTAGCACTCGCGTCGAAAGCGGCAGCCACATGCAACGGTGTCACCCCAAACTTGCTCTTCGTCAGCTCCACGCGCGAGCAACACCGCTGCAGTGCGTTCGTACCCATCGCGAAGAGCCTGGTGCAGCGGAGAATACCCCGAAGTGTCATTTTCCACATTCACGTCTGCCCCATGCGAGAGCAATAGTTGGGCAAGCGCAACATGAATGCGTTCTGGTTGTTCTTCGACGACGGTAGCACCAGATTGAAAAAAAAAAAAAAAAAAAACTCTTCTTCGGCAAAGCTGGCTTCGTCGAGAACGATGGCATCGAGCAGCGGGGTGTTGCCAGTGTAGTCTTTCGTGTTCGGGTCCGCTTTACCATTCACCAGCAGCATTCTGGCAATATCTACACGTCCACGACGTACTGCCAGATGCAGAGGTGTCACCATTCGGGTATTTGTAGCATTCACATCTGCCCCTGCAGCAAGCAGACGCGCGGTGAGGTTGACGTGGCCGTAATTGACGGCATAGTGCAGCGCTGTGTTGCCCTGCTGGTCTACCTCGTCCTTGGGTGCGTCGGTGACAATTAAATCGAACACTTTTTGCGCATTATACTCTGTCGTCGTGTGCAGCAAGGTGTGGCCTACAAGATTGCGATCCTTCAAGCTAGCTCCACGTGAAAGGAGTAGCTTCACCATCCCAGTGTTGTCGTACTTCACCGCTTCAAACAACGGTGGGTCTTCGTAGCGCACTGTGATTCTTTTTCCTGGAGCCCAACTGCAGTTCACTGATGTCCAGTACGAGGGACACAGCATCTTCGCTGCCACTTCGAATGGCTGCGTTCAGCACCTCTCTCCAACACTCCTCGGAGGCTTCGTAGGTGGCCGCCTTGGTCTTAAATTGCCCCTTAGCAGCCGGGAGTAGTAACTTGAGTACTTCGAGGTGACCATTCTCAGCTGCCTGGATGAAGCGGAGCGTCGGCTCCGCTTCATCCATTGATTTAACGGCCTTATCTCCAATATTTGGAATAATCACTGCGCCAGCCTCCAGCAGCTTGCAGACAGACATCACGTCGCCGGAAGAGCTGGCCGCCGACAGGGGTGTCTTGGTCCGCAAAATTGAAAGTGAAGGAGTTGGTTGGGCGGTCGTTGGATGGCATTCAGATCTCTCGAAATATGTTTTCCATTCCCATTTAAGTTGTGTTGGGAAATCTGATTGGCTGGGATGGCATTCAGACGAAAATAAGCCATTAAAATTTTAATGGTTTTTTTTTCGTCTGAATGCCATCCCAGCTAATCAACATGCATCACGACGAGATTTTGGAACTATGTGTTATACCACCCAAGCCCCTATATTATTACGACCCAAAATTTGACTTTTTTTTGAGTTGGTTCCGAAAACCCCAAATAAACCGTACCGTTGGATGGCATTCAGACGAAAAAAACCCATTATTTTTTTTAATGTTTTTTTTGTCTTTGAATGCCATCCAACGGCAAGCGACATTTTCATCAAAAGTTCTACAAGTTCGTTGTCGTTGAGTAATAAAATATGGCAGTGGGCGACCAATAATAAATTCTGTCAAAGTTCGATCTTTCCAGATCCTGTCTGAACGCAAGACGAGAGAGCGTAAGAGAGATCAAGAATTACTTTTTGTAATTCTTGTAATTTACTTTGTAAAGTAATTCTCGTATCGGCCACAACACTCGATGAATGTTACTCCCTCTATGCCATATGGCGATGTAAGGACTAAGATCTAAAGTGATTAAAGATTTGTATCGTGTTAAGCGGGTATTAGTTTTCACCAAAGAGAAGAACGCTGCCACGATCTCCACTCTGCAGCGTTCTGATAGCGTGCTTGTATAACTCGAGCTCACATGTCAGAACCCTTGGCAGACAGTTGGCTCTACGCAGCTTGGTCTTGCCCATATGTGGCAGCTTGTACTGATTTCCTCCATATTCCATCAGAATGCAGAGTATACAGCTCTGAAGAGTCAAGAAAATGTCGACTAAAGTGTCTGCGCTCATCGTTTTGTACGCGTCGTCGACCGCATCGATCAGATCCGTGATCTTGTAGATAGGAATCCGATACATTGTAACGACTGCATTGATGCAAACAGACCCATGTCCAACACGTTCAAGTCGGGCGAGGTGGGAGACTGGAAGATTAGGCAACCTCCTTCCAGCTCAGCCGCGAGGATGTCGGGGTCAAACGGCGAGATATGAGGCTTAGCGTTATCTTGCTGTATGCCTCGTCGCTGTCATCTAGGCCACTGGGTTTAATTGCTGGAAATACATGACAAATTAAAATCTTTTGTACACCTCCCGATCAATGCTCTCAATGTTGCGCGTGCATATAGTACCTTTCGGTCTATACTGGCTAGACCGCTGGGTGACATGTTCCTTGGTTAATGCCCAGATGCCGATCTTGCCGTTCCATCTGCACTTGCGATGGAAGTCGTATCTAGAAAACAAATGTTGGGGGTCAATTATAAAGTAGAAAAATATAATATATTGCAGATTTACCTCGGTCTCGCCACGGCAGCGAGAAACATGGTCTTCGGATGAAGTTCTTGCTCTTGCGGTTCCGTTGCGGAGGCAATTCTTCATCAAGAAGCATGAACGTGCGCTTGTTTGTATCTTGGTTGAACCATTTCTCATCTATATGAACGACATTCTCCATGCTTTCGAATTCATGGCTCTCGTCGTCGATATAGCTGAGAACGTGCTCCACCCTCATGTGCTTTTTTTGGGCTGTTAGGGCAGGCTTGAATCGGGTCAAACTGCGGTGCAAGCGGCCTTCCTTGAGCATGGCAGTTACTAAGTGACGCGTGATGCCAGCGGCGATCGCTGTGCGTCGAACAACAAGATGCTCTTCAACGGGAATCTGGGCCAACTTTCGGGCCACTTCATCGCGGTCTATTGGCATCCTTCCTGACTTGCTCTTGATCCTGCTTCGTCAGTCACCTCCGTTAATGTCATGCGTACACGTACAGGTGTACTGGGTTCACAGGCGCCCATCAGCAGCCAAATTTCCTCGCAACTTCTACCTTTGCTACGTGCTTTAATTTTCCCCCTCTAACGCGCGTCAAAAGCTCGTCGATTATTGCAAGGCGCTCGCGATCAGTAAGGTTTGGCATGATAGCGAAATCGCGGACTAAATGAGATTCCTGTGGCCGTGGCGGGTGCCCCCAAAATGAATGGCTGGAAACGCCAGTTTCTCAGAGCCATTACTTCTGAACTACGGCTCCGATCGTGCCAAATCGAGTATTGCCCAATAGCCTCAGTGACAAGGATCATTTTAAGCCAATCAGCACGGCAATTGAGCAGACATTGAGAAGTTATGGCCAACGTTTTACAAACCTGCGATCATTCCCGGACTGAGGAAGTAGCTTGTTTTGCTGGAGTTGCGCGGTACCGCCACAACAAATACTTATCCAAGTAGACGGCTTCCCGCTTCAAGATCCACCTTAACTTCTGTGAGTCACAGAAGTCATTATCGTGCAAGCCATCGGGTGTACAAGTACATGATGGAGCTGGTGCTATCGAAATAACTGCGCTCAGCGGCGCCAACTTCATAATAAATTCTCATAATTTAGTAGGCGCATGGTAATTTTCAGAAGGGTTTTGATTTTCTAACTGTAAGAATAAAGTTAGCCCTTTTCTGTCATGTAGGCCGATTTTTTATGTCGTCTATCGTACTTTTTTGTCCGTTACGGTATAGTTGGGCGTATTGCACTGACCGCTTTTTGGGTGTCCTGGCCATCTTTCACTTGAAGTTTGTATGGAGCGGTTTTTTTGTTTTAGGGTTTTTGACATGGGTAGAATGTTTAAAACCCATCAAAAATTGATGCATTTTGGTGGGTTTATAAAAATGTGTATTCACCCAGAACTGGATGAATACACTTTTTCAGAAACACATCTTTTGGATGGGTTAAATCTATTTAACCCATCCCAATATGTGCCCAAACGTTGGACAGCTCAAAACACTATTACGATAAGTATGAGCCGGATGCGCGACGAGGACGACGAGGAACTGGACGAGAGCTTCCAGCACGCCGACATCCCCAACACCTTCCGCGAGCTTCGCGCCTGCATGACGTGCTCGCTCATCAAGACCTTCACGCAGTTCTACGACACAGGTTGCGAGAACTGTGCCTTTCTTCAAATGGCCGACAACCGACAGCGTGTGGCCGAGTGCACCTCTGCCTACTTCGAAGGGTGCGCTAGCTTATTACCGGCGATTATATTTGCTTAATTTGTTTTCGTGTGACAAGATTCCTGTTATATGTTTCAGCATGATCGCCATGATGCAGCCGAAGGAGAGCTGGGTGGCCAAATGGCAGCGCATTGGTGCGTCAAGGTGGTCTAGTATTTTAAGGTTGCAATTGATGACCCTATCGGTATTCGTTGTTGGCGCAGTTCGCTTAATCCCAGGCATATATGCTGTGTCTGTCTCCGGAGAGCTACCCGACTCGATCAAGCGTTTTCTTGAGGACAGGAACATCCCGTACCGCGTGCAGAACTAAAAGGCCGTGGAGCAGAAATGCAGAGCAGCTTTACGTGAGGTCGCATTCGGTTAATGTAATGCACATCCATTAGCTCTACTTTCTCCGTGAGGACTGCTTTTTACGCTAAGTACCATATCATAAATGAAGAAAATCGGCCAAGATCTCAATTCTTTGGCAGGCGGCGAAACCCAAAAGACATCCGCGGCGTTGGCAAGCCGCTCGACTCAACAGGTTTGGGGATCGCGTTCGTTGAAATATTGGGCACCTTGTGTGGGCTTGGCGTTGGAAGAAAGCTCTTTGTGGTCTTGGATACGGATGAGGGCGTACCTGAAAGAGCAGATGAAGGTTGAGTCAAGCGAGATGAAGAAGGCTTTACCGCCATAGTGCTTGGCGTCATTGGTGTACGGACGAATGGTCGTGGACGAACTACAGCACTCGGAGGCTTCGCGATGCTGCTTGGAGCTCCGATGGACTTTCGTTGAGCCAGTCCCGAAGATGCCGCCGATACACTTGGTGGTACAACAGATTGGGTTGGTGGCGAGGGGGGCTTTACATTGTTTACGGTAGAATTCTCTGCATGTGCAGACTTGTGTTGATGTAGAGCGCTCGACGATTGAGCCCTCAAAGGAGAAGGCGCTTTCCCACTACGCCCAAGCCGACGTGTGGGAAGCGGGTACCTGAAAGATCTGACCAGATCGTAATCTCCATCGTTGTCGTCTAGAAGTCCCGACTCCAAGATTGCTTCAGGCGTTGCGTCGCCCATGATCAGTGTATAAGTGTCTCCTGAGTCACCACTTAGTGAAAGCTTCAACACAGCTGTACGCGGCACTGAGTGCAGTGTTGCAGCATAATGTCTTGAAGTTACATCGTGAAACCATTCATCGGAGAGGGGGTCATCGCCCACAAGAACCTCAAAAACGAGGTCCGCGTCGTCTTGATCCGCGTTAAACATTGCCCGGGATAATCTATCACTCACTGGGTATAGAGATTGCTTCCGTTCACAGTACTTCGTAATGCCAAACTCCTGGAGAAATAAAGCCGCATTATCTGTGCCTTCGACGTCCTTCTTGTCCGCCTTCTCTTGAGCTATTAAGCTAAAACTAGACGTAGTTACGCTGTTGTCCTTATCGCCAGTAGATTGTTCGCTTTCCTCCTTCAAAGCGTACGCGCAGGTATCTACTGCTTTCGTCGTGTCTTCAGCCAAGGTATCCACGATCAGCTCGTCGACAGGATCAAATACGTCATCCAAACCTCCTAAAACAGCAATGTCACCAGCTTCACTTTCGGAGTTTGATTCTGCTTTTGATCCGGAAGAACCAATGGTACCAAATATACGAGCCGACAATGCGGCCTTTGCAACTGCATCTCTATCCAGTGCCCGGTTGCCAGCATGAACGAAATCAGTACCAGCACCACTATCCTCCATCACTTTGACAGACGCTGCGTTAGTTTCTTCTTCCACAACGTTTTGTGCTGGACGAATCGGACGCTCATCAGGAGAAGTGACGGCTGCCATGACTTCCGAGC